GCCCCCCTGCCACGCCCGGGTACCATCTTCAGCCCGGCCCTGATGGCCGCGGGTTCTGACATGTGTGCAAAGTTTCAGGAGTTTTTGAGCATGTTAAGGCCTCCAAAAGTGTCCAAAAGGTAGCAGAAAAATAATAATAATAATAATAATAATAATAATAATAATAATAATAATAATAATAATAAATAATCCTAAGGAAAACAATAGGGCCTTCGCCCTTTGGGCTTGGGCCCTAAAAATTAGGTAATGTTATATTGTTAAACCTGGTTACATAAAATTGGTATCGGAAAAAAAGTATCGTTCAAGGAACCGGTCTCGGAGTCAAGGTATCGGTATCGAACATTTTGTCACGATACCCAGCCCTACCACTAGATCAGCGTTTCTCAAAGTGTGGGGCGCGCCCCACTGGTGGGGAATAGAAACATGACAAGTGGGGCGCGACAAACGGGAGAAAATGTGGTCATTTTTGTGCCCATCTCTATTAATTCCTTTATTTATTGAGCATAAACTCAAAACAAAAACAATGACACATTTAAATGGAAGCCTTACTTAACCTTTTCACACGTAAGTTTAAAAGTTTTTAGAGGCGCCCGTTATTTAGATCATATCCCTTTATGGTTTCCATGGTGACGCGTCATTGCTTGTCACACCGCAGCCACAATAGCGCTGAATGACTGATTATCTGCTTTTAATTCACAAATGTGTTGGCTATAGCAGGAAATATCTGATATTCCGATTGTCAAATATGAGCAAGTGGATGTGTTTTGTTGTTTAAACACCTTAGTTGAGCTATACGCGATGGGCGTTAGTTTATGCCGCATTTTAGAGAATCGGATCTGTTGGATTTAACAAACGTCAATTTATCCACTTCTCCCGAAATGAAAGTATGAAAGTAAGTGGCTGGTGAACTGAGAGAAGCATAGAGTAAACTTGAAAGTTACTTACACGATGTGTATTTGATATGAATAATACGTGTCATCTAATTATAATGGAAATAATTATTATTCCCGCTTCCATAGACATAAGTGTGTATTTGACAAACTCTAAATGTATTGCTTATTTAATAACTTACTTATGTGAATTTAAATGTCTGAAACCTAAAATAAACATTATGTGGTTGAAAACACTGAATAGTTGTGATGTCAAGCGGTGAGCGGCGATTTTCTGGTTCAGAAAATATGTGTAGCCTACTAAAAAACGGGCTCATTGCAGACATTAAATTAGTTAATCACTTAATTTTTAACTTTCAAAGTGCACCATATTTATGAATTTATCTTTAAAACGTATAAACTTTTCTTCCGGGGAGCATGCCCCCCGGACCCCCCTAGGGGTGCAGAGGTCCACACCACACACAAAATACTGTGGGAAACACAGTAGCTTATATGATATTCTTCGAAAAATACAAAATACAATTATTATTATAAAAATACCTAAAATACGTACATTATTAGGATTTTACCACCTCCGCCTCGTTTTGAGCCAGGAAAAACCCTGAGATTTTTATTATTCTTTTTCAATTTTGTTTGTTCTTTTTGCATGCAGTTTGCGAAGTGACAAAATAAAGCAAAGCACATTTAGTCCACACTTTTATTTTCTCCGTTTCTGAATTTGATGTTATCAGAGGCAAAATACAAACACAATTGCATTATTATTTTTATCTACTGTCATGTTTATGTTTTTAAAATGTCATGTTAATAAAATACATTTTAACTTAAAACTTAGTTTATTAACATTTTGTTGGGGCGATTGCATGAGGACAGATGGGGCACGAACCCTTCCCTACCTTCAAAGTGGGGAATGGCAGAAAAAGTTTGAGAAACACTGCACTAGATGCTGCTAAAAATAACACACTGCACCTTTAAAACAAATAAATCTAATTTAAGATAACCAGACCAGCTGACCATCAATCAACACTAGAAGAAGAATTAAAAAAATCTAATTGCTTGGGGCATAAAAGACCTGTTTCTCATGCATCTGGGAACAGAGTACTGTCGGCCAGATGGCAGTGATTCAAAAGCATAAGATAAAGGATGCCCTGTATTATTAACAATGATATTAGCTTTATATATACTCTCTATACTTGTTAACTTAATTCCCAACAAGTCTCAACAGGCAGTGCATTAACTAGAGGCAGTTTAACAGGAGGAACAGTGACTCTTACTGTGTGACGGGACATTGAGGAGCTCTGACAGGTCTGGGAAACAGCGATCCTCCTGCAGATGCCTGTCAATCAAGCGGCCCGAGTTTTCCAGAGCCTCCTGAAGAACTGCAGCGGGACCGCTGGAGCCCAGACTGGACGGCATGATCACTGCAGAGAATACACAAACCACCTGGAGACAGAGGAACATTCACATTAGTGTTATTATACATGCATATCACCATATATTTATAAATATATCTATATTTTTAGTAAAAACATGCATTTATTTTTTATTTAAATAGATTTTTATTTATTTTAATCAATTTATTTATTTAGTATGATCTTATTTTATTTTAATTACATTTTACACTGCTTTTATTTTTAATTGATCTAAATCAAGTACATTTATTTTATTCGTTTTTATTTATTTTAATCAAATGTTTAATTAATTAATTTTATTTAAATTAAATTGTATTTATCCTAATCAATTTATTTATTTAGTATAATCTTATTTATTTTTACACAGCTTTTCTTATTTTTATTTATCTAAGTTAAGATTTTATTTATTTATTTTAATCATTTTTATTTATTTTAATCAAATGTTTTATTTAAATAAAATTGTATCTTTATTTATTTATACACGTGTTGTCTTATCTTTATTTATCTAAATCAAGTTAATTTATTATTTATTTTAATCATTTTATGTTAATCAAATGTGTTACTTATTTAAATAGAATTGTATTTATTTATTTTAATCAATTTGTTTATTTAGTTAGTTAGTTACACATACAAAAACAAGGAGGTAGATGTCGGTATTCATTCCAAAAAGATTTAACCCAAAATGAAGAATATGTTAATCTGTGAAGCTGCTTATGTTATATAGTGTAATGTTAACAGAAAGTAACGTAAATAATAACCAAAGTCGTGTCCTTATCATCATATCATGTATTTATATACCCGCTAAATCACCCGTGACTGTAATAACAGCCATATCCAAACATAATACACAAACAATGTGGTTTTATTCACCTGATTTGAAAGTAAACACGTTTGATTATTTTAAATTCAGCAATATGAGTAGCATTAGCCGTACAGCTAATTCAAAATACACAGCGCCCGGAAGACTGGCGACATTCTCTGACCAGCTTTACTAGAGCTCTGATGAAACATAAAACACACAATACTCTTACCTCTGACTGAAAACTATATTCATAAAATATCAGCTGAAAGTGTAAGAAGAAAGTGAGTTTGTGAACTTCAATGACTCCCGCCAAGCGCGTGCGGCTGCAGCAGTGAGTGTGTGAAGCGCGCTGAAACCACACACACACTCACACACACACACAAAACACTGCTGGATTTCAAAATAAAAGTCCCCAGTCGGAGAGGAGATGATCTGGAGTGCGTTTCCCGAAAGCACTAACGATGCTTTCGGGACGCGCACCCCTGGATGTATAATTTTACACATACAAGATGTTAATTATTGTTTAATTATTTAAATTGTGGTTCATATTTATCTTAAAATGGGCAAAGAGCATGTTTATTTACACATATAGTGTGTAATTAAATATTTTTGAAGATAAATAAACTTTTAACAAAAGAAGCAGGTGATTACATTAAAATGATAATAAAGGATGTCACAATTTTACAGTGACATATTTTATTGTAATAATACAATATATAAAATATTATATCATATTTATTGTATAATATGATAAATAAAAATATAGCATATAAAATAAAACCCTAATTAATTAATTAATGATAATATAATATAATAAAACATTGAGATATCATACAAAAGAAAACATTAAATAATAAATGATAATATAATATAAAAATAATACCATATACAATGAAACCATAATTAATTAATAAATGATAATATAATATAATATATAAAACTTAAGATACCATAAAAATGAAACCATAATTAATAAACAAATAAATGATAATCTAATCTAATATATAAAAACTTGAAATACCATACAAAATGAAACCATAATTAATTAATAAATGATAATATAATATAGCATATGAAAAACTTGAGATTAATAAAACCATAGTTAATTAATTAATTATAATATAATACAATAAAAATAATATAGCATGTAAAAAAACTTGAGATACCATACAATATAGACCATTATTCATTGATAAATGATAATATTATAAATATTATGTAATATAATATATATTAATTATATTAATTTTAAAATAAAAACATTTAATCATTGTATAAATAAAACTGCAATTCATTAATAACTATAATACAATGCAATATAATATAAATAAAACCCTACATCATATAAAAATAAAACTTTGTGGCACTATACAAATAAAACCTTAATTAATAAAATTATATAAGTCAAGTCAAGTCACCTTTATTAATATATTTATTAACAGCTTTACAATGATAACAGGAAGATAATGCAACAAAGTTTGTTTCCAGAAGAAAATAGCGTCACAGTCGCTAAAATAAGTTCAGTGATGATTCATTTTAGTTCATTTATATTTACAGCCTCTCTGGAGAAAACCGTGATGTCATCGTCCAGCTCAGTTCTCATATAATGGTGTCGATGCAGGCAGATCAATAATATTGTTGAATATTAAATTAATCCTATAATCCTAATAATCATGATGTAATAAATAAACCATGTATGCACTTATATTAGCCTAATCACATGTTGTACCTCCCCTTCAATAAATGAGAACATGCAGGTGTATTGTGTGATATGTGTTATGAATGTTCTCCCACATGTGTGATTAGCGTGCATCTCATGATGATACATTAAAGTGGGCGTGGCCACGCCGTGTCTCTGCTCGCGGATTGGCGCTCTCATGTGACCAATCACAGCAAGTTGTACCGACACCCAACATAAACATCATCCTAATGTACTAGAGATTATCATAGCCTCTGTAAACCACAGCATCCCTGCAGAGATCGGATCGAGACAGACAGGTGATGATATCAGTCTTATGATATATATATATATATATAAAAGTATCGGTAGCGGTATCGGTTATTATTGCGGCTCTCTCGCCACACCCTGCGCGCGCAGCTCTGACTCACGAGGACACACTGTCATCCTGCGCACATTCACATTCACTAACAGCACAGCATCTCGGCACACATCGCTTCAGCCATGGGAGGTAAGAAGACATTGATCCTCATCTGTGGACATACAGCAGTTATAGAGGATGTTTGGATGAGAATCTGTGTGTTTGTTTGCAGAATCAGAGACGCGTCAGAGGCTGCTGCGCAACGTCAAGAAGGAGGTGGGAGATTTTCTGGATCATTGTTTATCAAATATGCCCTAGATGCCCAAATATAATCATCCTCGTGCATCCTGAAATTTAAAAGGCAGCTACAAAGACCCAATTAATACTGTGAAACATTAATATTAAAAATGCGTACAATATTTAGTTTCTATTACGTTACATCAGTACTTTTTTTTTACTCATTGTAGGACTGTACTGTTAAATGCAAGTTAGATGTATTAATCCAATTTTAATATAATGTATTGTGCATTTATTTAAACCTAATTTCATTAATTTATTCAATCTTATTTGTATTTATTTATTTTTTTCATTTAATCTAAATACAATTTTTATTTATCTATTTTAATTAACGTTTTTTATAGTATAATCTTATTTATTTTTTGTACATTTTTACACTGCTTTTCTTTTATTTACCTACATCAAGTTTATTTATCTAAATCAAGTTTTTTTAATCATCATATTTATTTGTTTATTTTAATCAAATGTTTAATTTATTTGTTTTTTATTTAAATAGAATTGTATTTATTTAGTTAGTATAATCGTTTTTACATTTTTACACTGCTTTTCTTATTTTTATTCATCTGAATCAAGTTCTCATTTATTTTAATAATTTTATTTATTTTAATCAAACGTTTTTTTATTCAAATAGAATTTTATTTATTTATTTTAAACAATTTATTTAGTTAGTATTATCTTATTTATTTTTACATTTTTATACTGAATCAATTTATTTATTCATTTATTTATTTAAATCATATGTTATTTATTTAAATATAATTTTATTTATTTATTTCAATCAATTTGTTTATTTAGTTAGTTAGTTAAATCTTATTTTTATATATTTATTTTTTACATTTTTCCCATGGACCCCTAGCTCTCCCTTGTGCCCCCCGGACCCCACTTTTTAAAAACCCTGCTTTAGATTAAATACAGGCTGTCGATCACTCAATCTGACAGGGAATATATGTGGTAAATGTGCAATAACAGCACACTGCATTCATCATCTGCTCATTCAGATAGCACTATTGTGTACGGTCTATTTCTTTTTAAAAGAGCATCTAAACAAGGTCATTCTGGTTTGTCCTCTTAGTACCAGAATGAATCACATGTCATCAGCCATTTGCCTTATCTAAGGAGTCCAATATGATGAAGACGCTTCATATGAATTGATTTCCTTTTATAAGAAGTATTGTGATTGTATCAGATAATGGCACGGTATTTAATTGGCACATGTCCAGTAAACATGTGTTACAAATGTCACGTCATATGCTTGTTTGTGCATTATTTGTTACAGTACTGAGCAACAACTCATTCATTTTAGTCAATTACCGTATATACCCGAATATAAGACGACCCTGAATATAAGACGACCCCCCATTTTCCAGACTTATTTTTTGGGGAAAAAGAAACACACATTTTATATACTTTATTTGATTCCACATTACAAGTTAATTTCATTTGGAATCAAATTTTTTGAATAATCCAACAGATTAAAACAAATCAGCACATTGTTATGGATTACTAAGGGTTAAGAGTTCTAAGGGTACAGGAAACATCGTCTTTTCCAAATAAACATGCTTCCTATAGTTGCTGAGATTGAGCAGTACTTTGCCAACTGTTTGGCCCTTGTTTTAGAAATCCCCCCAATGCAAAGTCCACGGACCGCCAGCCTGTGTACATGACCTAGACTACCAAACACTAGCACAATAAGTTGGCATCTGTACCCAAAGTTCTCAATGGTCGATATCTATGACTGATATTTTAGAATCTTAGAGCAGTAAGAGTCCTCCATAAACAAGTCAATGCACACACACGCGCACACACACACACACGCAAACACGCACGCACACACACACGCAAACACGCACGCACACACACACACACACACACACACACACACACACACACACACACACACACACACACAGATAGATAGATAGGCGCGCGCGCGCTCTGGAGGGAGGCTGTTGCGCGCTCTAGAAGCACGTGAAGAGCGCGCGCTACAGTGATGTTTCCTCGCGCGGACCCGCTTCACCTGTTTGTCTGAGGTACTTTTGAAATATAATCTTAACGTTTAAACTGGCCATTTTAAGTGGGTTTTGTAACTTTTCTCAATTTTTTTTTTTACTTTAATACACAAATAAAGTAGCTCACCGAAATGCTTGGCAAGAAATTTCTCCCCCCGTGATTTTGTCTATATCGCGAATATAAGACGACCCCCCATTTTTCAGCCTATTTTTAGGACAAAAACCTCGTCTTATATTCGGGTATATACGGTATATTCACATTTAGTGCTTAATAAAAGGGTCGCTCACCCAAAAATGAATATTCTGTCATCATTTACTTCATCTTTCTTCAGCTGAACATAAATTTAAGAATATGGGGAACCAAACAATAGATGGACCCCATTGATTTCCATAGTATGAAAAAAAATACTAAGTCATTGGGGTCCATCAATGATTTGGTTCCTTCAAAATATCATTTGTGTGTCAAAATATCAACTTGAGTGCGAGTAAATGACAGATTTTTCATTTTTGGGTGCACTGTCCCTTTAAGAGCGTAACTTTGCTGTGATCAATAGAAAGTCAATTAGTGTGGTTTGTCCTCCTTAATGTAATATTATTGTCCTTTACAATAAAGCACTGTAATGGTACATTGATAGCAGCACATGATAATACTATAAATGTACTGTTATGGTACAATGATACGATAATGTATCAGATGTTAATGATGATATGATTGAAATCACTTCAAAAAGGAAAATACAGTTCAGTGCAACATGTGCAGCGCAAGTCTGTTTATCGGCTACATATGAAAACATTATAATTGTGTGTTTGGGACATGGCTTTTAATGGTGAGACTTTTGTTTTTGTAATCAGGCTCTCAAAAATAATATAAAAATTTAGATTTAGATTTATCGGGCAATATATCGGTTATCGGCTTTCAAATATAAAGAATTATCGGTACTGGCCAAAGTTTTCACATTGGTGCATCTACTGTGAAACTTTGATAAATATACCATGGTACATGTGCAAAAAACACATGATTTTAGAAAACTAGAATGGTAGTGCCATTGTACTTTTAGGAAATAATTGCATTTTTTTACTCCAACCATCAAGTTCTGCGCAACCCAATCGACACTTGAATAAACCAACTAATCATTTACAGATGGAGCTTATAAAGGAGCAGAAATATTATTTTGTGATTACAAGTGTGATCATTTCTACAGCTCAAACAGTAGAGCATTGCCAATGTCTTGGGTTCGACTCCCAGTTAGTGCATTAACTAGGGTTGCCAACTTCAGAAAAGAAAAATGCGGGATAACCGTGGTTCTTTACAGGAAAATAAGGGACACTCAAAATATTTGTACGGTATCACACAGTATATGTCATTTCAGGTTCGTATGTGTTTAAAAGGTTCTCAGACATAAACACATTTGTTTTGCTTAACCTATTTATGTACAATTTAATTCTATGTCATGATTCTGCCTTAGTATCCTTGATTTTCCTAGTCGTGAGGCAGGATCATGACAGAATCATGTTTTGTGTACAAGCGCATGGCCAATTGTTTGGACCATGTGCTTGTTGTCTCGTTACGTTACCCCGCCCCCTTGTTATCCTCGTCTCGTCATTATTGTCTAGTCAGTTTCACCTGTCCTTGTCTAGTCGGCTTCACCTGTCTTTGTCATTAGTGTCTCCCTATTTAATCCCCTTGCTGTCCTGTGTTTGCTGTCCTGTGTCGGTACATTGTCTAACTTTGCGTGTATATCCCTGTGAGTATATAATCTGAAAACCTGTTCAATTAGAATTGTGAGTTTGCTTCTTGTCAAGTCTGAGTCTTAGTTTGTCATCGTATCTTAGTCTAGTTGTTCTCTGCTCCAGTCCTGTTTTGCCCCCTCGTGGGTTTTTGTTTTCTGTTTGTGTCAGAATAAACGTTTAGTGTCTGCGTTTGGGTTCGTTCCTCAACTTCATGACATTCTAAAACGAATTTTAAGGCCACCAACCATTATCAACCAATTGCCTGGATTTAATAAATATTAAGCAAATATAGCAGACAATACAATCATGGCATGGAGGCGCGGTCACTTGTTGCGCGTGAACTGGATCGCATCTCATCATAAATTAACCGAAACTCAGCGTATGCCTCATGAGAAATATATCTATATATAGAAAGCTCGAAATGTCTTTAAATGAAACAATTCAAAACGAAAAGAAATAGGCTACTCTCTGATTATGTAATCCATTATGTGCATTTCTCTCTGTTGGCGTTCACTACGGAGATGGCGATTGCTGTCAAATTTTTAGTAGTAGCGCGTTACACTACTTTTTACCCGAAAAAGTAGTTGCGTTACACACAAACCATAGTTCAAAATAATAGCATTGATCTGAGATAGAGATAGACATTATACACTACATTTGAAAGAAATTAAAGAAAGTAATAGCCTACTTTTATTCAGCAAGGACGCGTTAAAGTAATCAAAAGTGACAGTAAAGACACTTATGTTACAAAAGCTATTTATTTCAGGTAAATCTACTTTGAACCTTCTATTCATCAAAGAATCCGGACTTCTTTTTTTTTTAAATAATCAGAAATGTTTCTTGAGCACCAAATCACATCAGCATATTATTCCCTCAGGAAGAGTTCATGTTTTCTTGCGTGGCTCATGTTGGACCATAGACCGTATAATAAGTGGAGAGAGCCATCTCATTGGAACTCAGTTAAGACAGTTGAAGCCCATTTTTAGCGATTTTTGAGCACTTCCGTTCCTGACGCGCCGACTCAAACTAAGCTTGATGACGTGAGCAACCTGTCTGACAGACGTTAATCTTCTAGTAGCTGTGGGTGAAAATTGCCAACGTTAATCTGGCAGAGACGGGGAACTTGAGCAAAGCGTTCTTTGGCGCGAGTGAGCAGGAGTAAGTATTCCGTTGCTTTTATGGACTCATTATCTATGGGCTTCTCCCTTGACGGGACGTCCCCCCGATCGCCTGCGAGCTTCTCCTCCTGTCTGTACGGTAATTTCTGTACAGCGCGACAGAGTCGAGTGGTTATGACGCAATCGTTAGCCTATTTTTACAAAAACTGTTTCTACGGGGCCATAATGTAACATAGAAGGTAATGGAGCCCTTTATACATGGTCGTGTGTCTTAAGAAATAAATAATGGACAAATGGAGTCTTTAAACGCCTCAGATGTAAAGTTATTCGCTGTCAAAGTGACGCCAAAATGAATGGGAGTCAATGGAAATGCTAACGCAAGTGAAGTTCTGCTACAACATGGCGGCACCCGGCCGGCTTCAACTTCCGGTCGATAGATTACCCCCTTGTGTTGGACTCATGAACAATAATTACGTTGTTTGAATTTGCCAAAACTGATTTGCCGAAATCCAAACCTGGCCGGACAGTGAAAGGCGAGTCCGGATCGAACCGGGAGCGACAGACAGCAGAGGATCAAACAATAATTTGTCCCAAAATAATAATTAATTCTCAATGTAGAGTTTGTTATTGGTCTGGTCTGATGCGCGTGAGGGAGCGCTGTGATTGGATGATGACCGGTGTCGTGACCATTCTCAAGTGCCGTGTTGCTGCTGTATCAGTCAGTGGTTAGATCAGCATAGCAGTCTATTTAATCGGGACAAGGGAGGTCCCGTACGTGACAAATAAATTAGGCCCAATATGCGGGACGTCCTGGCTAATTCGGGACAGTTGGCAACCCTAGCATTAACCGATCAAAATCATACCTTAAATGCGATGTAAACTGTTTTGGCTAAAAGTGTCTGCCAAATGCATTAATGCAATGAAATTTAGGGATACACCGATATGAAAATTTTGGCCGATACCTAGAAATGCACCGATTACAATTTTCTAGGCCGATTCCGATTTTTCTTGAGTTTGACCTGCCGATACCGATTTTAGCCGATTCCGATTTCATTTTTTCTAACCACTTTACAGCACACACAAATGTTTATTTTCTATCATCTCTTTAATAGAACATTTTTTGAACAGATAATCGCTGTAAAATAGAACTATATAAATGACTCCTGGTGTGGGAAATTCACACACATCTAAAGTGCAGTGTTATGGAAGAACCATTTCCTTCTTTTCACATTCAAATCCAACTAAAACAAATTGATATATTTAAAAGCAAACTAAAGTTCTGTATTAAAACAGGTAATGGCAATAAAATAATATATATATATATAAAAAAAAATATATATATATATAGCCTTGCAGTATAAAGATATTTCTCAAAACACACACACACACACACACACACACACACACACAGGCCTAATGCAATCACTTGTACATCAATGGCAAGTTTTATTTCACAAACAGTTCTTCTCTCATCTGACACATGTCCAGCCAGGCTAAACAAGCGCTAAGCTCAGGCAATGGAGCAACAGGGGAAACGATTGGGAAATAATAAAAACAAGTTTAAATGGGTACATTTTCTATAAATATTTTTGAGTATTCATTTTCTTTTCTAACATAGCCTACTCCAGTTCTTTTTAAAACACACCAGACATGCACATTTTGGGCACTTTTGGTGTGAAATCATATTTATTTTGTCTATCAAAATCTCATCCCAAGACGTCATATGACTGACGCTTTTGACCATACTTCAACATCCGACGTTTTAGGGTACCCTTTAACGTCAGTTAGATGACGATCCTAAGGCGTCATCTAACTGACGCTTTACCTTTAGCGTCAGTTAGATGACGCGGGTAGGTTTAGGTTTGGGGTAGGGTTAGGATTAGATAGCGTCATCTAACTGACGTTAAAGGGTACCCTAAAACGTCGGATGTTGACGTATGGTCAAAAGCGTCAGTCATATGACGTCTTGGGATGAGACTGTGTTACTTTAAACGTGAGCAGCCCAGCAAATAGACTCTGCGCCGAAACCCCCGCTTCACTGCTGCTCGACGCTCACGCGCTGCTCCTGCTCCCGGTGTGAATGCACTCATTGATTAACATGCACGCCGAACAAAAAAACGCGCTGCTCACGCTTGGTTTCCTACATGTGCGTTCCGTGTGCACGTGTGATGCTGATGTTGCGCGATGTTAATCATGCGGCGCCCGAGTGCATTTGACCGGCATAAAATCGGAATATGTCAGACTGACCGGCCGGTCGCCGATCACGTGAAAACCGGCCGATTCCGGTCACCAGCCGATCAATCGGTGCATCCCTACCGATACCGATAACTCTTTATATTGCCGATAACCGATATATTGGCCGATAAATCTAAATCCAAATTTTTGATTAAATTTTTGAGAGCCTGATTACAAAAACAAAAGTCTCATGTCACAAGCACACAATTATAATGTTCTCATAAAAAATTTAAGTAGCCGATATGACAGACTTGCACTGCACATGTTGAACTGAACTGTATTTTCCTTTGTTTAAGTGATTCCAATCATTTTTTAATCCATTCAAAACCATCATGTTGAACAGTGCGCATCTGAAGAGTCTCAGCTGAAGGAAATAATACATTATTTATCGGCTTTAAGATATCGGCCAAATTTTCTTATTGGGCAGATAACATTAAAAATGAACATACAGGTGAAACTCGAAAAATTAGAATATCGTGCAAAAGTTAATTTATTTCAGTAATTCAACTTAAAACTGGTGAAACTAATATATTATATAGACTCATTACATGCAAAGTGAGATATTTCAAGCCTTTATTTGTTATAATTGTGATGATTATGGCTTACAGATATGAAAACCTTTTCACAATATTCTAATTTTGACTGGGGTTTTCATAAGCTGTGAACCATAATGATCAACATTATAACAAATAAAGGCTTGAAATATCTCAATTTGCATGTAATGAGTCTATATAATATATTAGTTTGACCTTTTAAGTTGAATTACTGAAATACAGAGTTTCACCTGTATATCGGCCGATACCGTATTATATGGTTGCCCTAATGAAATTATTGGTGCGTTTAATTCAGGAGTGATCATCCTTGTGCCATATTATAGGGCTCAAAAATCATTCTTCTGAACTTCTGATTTGAATGACCCCGTCATGATTGTTCACGAATTTGAATGCACCATATGAATATAATTTCAATAAGGCGTCAGAAAGTGAAAGCTGCTCTGATCCGAGTCACACACTCCCTTCTGTTTCTGTGGACGTGGCGTCACATATGTCCATCTGCACAGTCATTATGATGGAGCGCAAGTCAGAAACAACCTATGAGTAAGAGAGCGTGTTTTATTCCCCGTTCTTCACGACTCATTACGAACCTCGAGAAGTCTCCTCACCCCCGTTACCCATGATTCTCAGCGGTTGAACATCATCACAATGATGCCTGATGTTGTTTTGGACTTTCAGGTCAAGCAGATCATGGAGGAGGCCGTGACCCGCAAGTTCGTGCATGAAGACAGCAGTCACATATTTTCTTTCTGCGGTAAGATGATCTTCACTTCAAAACCCCTCAAACATTAAAAATATAGGTAACACTTTACAATAAGGTTCATTAGTTAATATGAACTAAGAATGAGCAATACTTCTACAGCATTTATTAATATTAGTTCATATTAATTTCAACATTTACTAATACATTATTAAAATCAAAGGTTGTATTTGTTAACATAAGTTAATGCACTGTGAACTAACATGAACAGCTTTATTTTTATTAACTAACATTAACAAAGATAACTAATACAGTAACAAATGTTTTGCTCATTGTTAGTTAATGTTTGTGAACTAATGAACCTTATTGTAAAGTTACCAAAATATCAAAATGGCAACATGTGTGAGATTGTGCATGTGCCTACAAGCAGCAATCTATGCCGAACTCTTACATGATGTAAATTGCATCAATTTAAACCGTTTTAAAGAGGATCTATTGTGTTTTTTACATGTTCAACTGTCTTTAGTGTGTATGTTGCTGTTTGAGCACAAAGTCTGTTTCTGAACTCCTGAAACGCCTCCATTGTAGTCTTGAGCTTCTTCCGGGAACGAACACGTCACAATATTCCTCATTTAAATAATTAATACGCAGAATAAAGGGGCGGGGCCTGGTTGAGTTAGTTAGTAGTGTGTTAAACTGGTGGTTTCGGTAAGGGGCGGGACATTTCCCAAACACATTTGAAGCGCTCGACCAATCACAACACACTGATCCAGCCGACCAATCAGAGCACAGTGTGCTTTCAGAAGGAGGGGCTTGATAGAGACAGGAACTAAACGGGTGTGTTTCCCAAAAGCATTGTTGGCCAATATGGTCGCAAGTTCCGTTTTTATCAGCATAGTTCAACGAATCGGCTCGAGCTGTGGTTAGAAGCAGAGTTTCGTGGACTTCATGTTGACTTCCTCTCCCTATGGAGGATCCCTTTCCCACTCTACAGATAAAGCCTTGTGAAATTCGGTTCGCGTAACCCGAAGTGATAAAATAAAACAAAATTCTGTATCAAAATTTATAGGCAAGACAAGTAGTTTGTTTAGGCATGGGTTGTATGGAATTACAAACCTGCGCACATATTTTCAAAAGCACATATAACTATAGAATCAATTCTGAATGAGCATGTGAACGCCGTCAGCGTTAATCACAGGTTCGCGTTTAAAGTCTGATCATTTCGACGGAGGTGAATCAATCAAAATTAACTTTAGCTGGAAATAACATTATTCAAGAACCGCTATAAAGCCAAAACAATCTCTGTTACCTTAAATTATATGTTTATCTCTGTAAAGCTGCTTTGAAACAATCCATTGTTAAAAGCGCTATATAAATGAGGATGACTTGACTTAATAAATAATTTTCTTGTGCAATATAAACAAACTGACATTCAGTATATGGAGGACCAACTCTACCATATTTAAAAATAAATACAGAAATAAATAAATGCTCAATAAATAAATAAGCATACAATTAATTGCCCCCAAAAATACAATAAACAAATAAATGTAGGTAGAAATTAAATTATACAGTGAGACATAAATGTATATATCTCTTTTAATTAGCTTCTTTATTTATTCACCTTTGTAATAATTACCTTATTTATTTATTGTCCGTTATAATCTTCAACTTTATTTATTAATTACTTATTTTTTGAAGTATTTATTTATGTGCATGTTATAATATTTTTGTCTGTTTTATTCTTCCTTTGTATTTTTTTACCCTATTTATTTCTTCAATGCTATTTATTTCTGCCTGTCGTTTTTACATTTCTGTATGCATTTCTGCCTCATTATGCAAATGAGGAGGGGCTGTGTCTTAAGGGGTCAACGCCCCTCCCCTCCACTTCCGGCTCATGGGACCTTATTTCGGAAAAAATATGTATGGTAGTCAATGGCGAGAGACAACTTTATCTTTTTATTCCGTCTGAACTGTGCCCTGAATTACACATATGATGTTTGTCAATTTAAAAGATAATTATGAAAGTCAAGAAAGTCGCAGTTTGTCATAAAACAGAAGAGTGACATTTAGTTTTATGTGAAAATCGCTCAATGAACGACATCTCCCGGGAAGCGAAACAACGAGCGAGATCCGCTGCTGATGTGTGTGCAGTCTGGTACAAAACACTCCGGCATGACGGCGTAACGTTACGATTATAACGTAAGACTATAGAAACAATGACAGACGTTAGCTTCAGTAAAGTTAGCTTCATTCATTGAGAGAAAATGTGCGCCTTTTGGGTTTGTAGTCTTTTTAATTACGTATTTTCACAGTCTTATACCTCAACAGTTTTACATCAAACTGCAACTTTCTTGACTTTAAAATGTATCTTTTAAATTGACAATCAGGGATGAGTTCCCTAATGAATATTAATGAGTCTTCCCCTACCACCCTGCAAAAAAAAAAATATCGCGGCCGCGGTGGCATGTAGATTCGACCGATGCAGTAAAATGCTAACCAACCAATGGGCAGAAGTTGACCCCTTAATACACAGCCCCTCCTCATTTGCATAATGAGGCAGAAATGCATACAGAAATGTAAAAACGACAGGCAGAAATAAATAGCATTGAAGAAATAAATAGGGTAAAAAAATACAAAGGAAGAATAAAACAGACAAAAATATTATAACATGCACAAATAAATACTTCAAAAAATAAGTAATTAATAAATAAAGTTGAAGATTATAACGGACAATAAATAAATAAGGTAATTATTACAAAGGTGAATAAATAAAGAAGCTAATTAAAAGAGGTATATACATTTATGTCTCACTGTATAATTTAATTTCTACCTACATTTATTTGTTTATTGTATTTTTTGGGGCAATTAATTGTATGCTTATTTATTTATTGAGCATTTATTTATTTCTGTATTTATTTTTTAATATGGTAGAGTTGGTCCTCCATATCAGTACAATCTATATCTTTTATTTAGAATATATAAAAATGTAACTTACATCTTTTAGTTTGTCAAAAGATTTAAAGTGTGTGAACGTGCTCTAGTACGTAAGAACAAGCCCATGATTGAATCTGGAAATAAAGCAAAATAACTGAGAAATAGTCCTCAGATGCCATGTTCATAATTTATAGCAAAACATCTAGCATTAATTCGATCTCAAACAGATTCATTAAAAGTAGTTATTACTCCACCACCTGCGTGACGTCATTAACCCATGTGGTTGAACGACCAATTTGCGACAACATGGTTTCGGGAAACAGTCGTGACTAGCTAGTTGATTTCTTCAACGCTGCATCGGACTACAGTAGTTAAGCAGCGAGTTACGCTGTTTTACGGGAAACACTCCCCAGAGCGTTACTGACAGACTGGGAAGAGAGGAGCCGCAACAATAGAGAATATGGGGAAAATAATCAACATTCAAGCAGGAAAACCTGTTCTAGAGCCTAAAAACAACATCAAGACTTTGTTAAAAGGCATAATAGGTCCCAATGCATGTGACAAAAGCATTTTCCTTTTAAATGCATATTTTAGTCTCAACTTTATTTCACCTTGACGTCAGTGTGTTGTATCTGGTATGTCAGTATGGTGAGTGGGCTGGTGAAAGGACACTAATTACTCGGGTTATCATTGATGGCTCACATCATATCCGTTTGCTTCAGTGAGCTGTCAAACCACCTCCACCTAACCATCTGTTCATGATGCTGTCAGATTACTGCGTTCTGTAATCGAGCAGATAAACACTAAGGGCTCTATCATACACCCGGTGCAATGCTGTGTGTGTTTTGCTAGTTTCAGCCCGACGCAATTTTCATTTTCACGTCCTGCGCCTCGATGTTTAAATAGCAAATGCATTTGCGCTCATCTGTTCGCCCGTGGGCTGCTGGTCTGAGAACGAGTGTGTGTTCAGGCGCAGTGTTGGAGCGTTGCTATTTTGAGGAACTGAAATAGACTGAGGCGTTGACCTACAAAAACCTGGTCTAAAGTCAATGGCGCAGTGTTTTTTGTTGTTATTTAAAGAGCGCGTTATTGGCTGGTCAACAAGGAGCGTACACTTTGTCCTGTAAATGGTCAGATCCGTTTCCTCGCTAGAGAAGCAGTTTTTCCGCTTGCAAATTCCTCCATGTAAATAGCGAATCCGCCAAGGCGCAAGCTCAACTGTCTTTTAAAGGGAATGTTTGATGAGACTTTATTGCACGTTACGCCCAAAACACACCCATTACTCATTAAGAGAATAGGGATGACCCTTTTAGACCATGCGCCGGGAGCGCCGACCATTTTTCCCGTCGTTAAACTAGCAAAAGTGTATTCGGACTCTTAGGGTGCTTTTACACCTGACTCATTTAGTTCGGTTGAATCGCACTAGAGTTCGTTTTCCCCCTTGGTGCGGTTCGTTTGGGCCGGTGTGAATGCAGCGATCGCACTCGGGTGCGCACCAAAAGCGGACCAAACAAGCGGGTCTCGGTACGCTTTCAAACGAACTCTGGAGCGGTTCGTTTGTGGTGAGAACGTGATCCGACCTCGAACAGACCCGACTGCCAATGAACTGCGCATCTCTGGATTAAACCAGCTGCCGTAGTCAAACAAAACTATTATTTAGATTGTCAATAGCGCTCCCTTTAAGCCATGACTGACTTACTGCGTTCTGCACTCTCACTGAAACTCTCTTCATGAACACATTGACAGGGAATCTCTTATTTATATCGTGTCTAAACTGTGTTGTTTATGAGGGGATTTGCAAAAGGATAAAGCTCTGCTGACTCTGAACATACATTGTGAGCGAATTATCCGCATGTCTGCCGGATCTTCCTCCTCTGTTTACTTCCAGGAGTCCTGTTGGCATTTTCCCGCACGTTCATTCTGACCAATCGGAGTGCAGTTGTGGAAATATGTTCAAGACACATCTGCCCAACGAGTGATGTGGATGTTGTCACGTGACTGCATTTTGGTTCGTTTCATCAACTGATTCGGACCAGAGCAATCAGTGTGGTGTGAAAAGGAACCAAAACACCTGAAAATGATTCAAAGTATAATTTTTTGTTATTCGCCAGCCTTTTTCAACGCGTTTGTGTTAACACCCAAGCGATTTTCGCTGACGATGAGCTGAGTGAATATGCCAATTCATTCCCTGACATTAGACGGCGCTTAATGTAAAACAGAAATAGTCCTTTTTCTTAGTCGCTGTCGCGTTTGTCATGTAGTTCTTTATGTTCCGACACCAACGAGAACAGCAGCTCTACATTCATCTGGCCTTGCATCTTCCTCGTCTTATTCCTTCCTGGCAGTGTAGACCATAGATATCCATAATAAAGGCTAGATGTCTTACGGCGGAGTCTCTATCGTCATCACCGGCGGCCATCTTGTCACAGGCAAGCTTTCTGGCGGGCTCTGTGGTACTGATGTATGGTGAGAACACAAATACTCTTATCTTGCTGAAATCTTGACGGATTTTCAAACGGTTTGGTTTCTTACAAAGCTTATTAACGTGGGTTGATTATTTATTTATACACTTATTTTTCATAAGTGTGCAGTGTCATAACTACATCTCTGACGTTTATAACAAACCAAACCGTTTGAAAATCGGTAGAAAATTGAGCAAGTTATGGTTATTTAAAAAGTACATGCACCATTAACACAATATTACGAGTGAGCGAGCTGCCTGTGACAAGATGGCCGCCAGGTGCGGACGTCGACCTCCATTGGCCAGCAGCGCGGACGAGACATCTAGCCTTTATTATGGATATCTATGGTGTAGACGCTACTTGGCGTATATCTTCTTCGCCGTTACGTGTGTGTGCTCGGCAAGACCGTTTTGTGTTTGAGCGCCCCCAAGTTGTGTTTTACTGTAACTTCAGAAGCTCCAGACACGTGAGCAAAAGCGCCAATCTCATTGGTCGGATAGTTTTTGACGCGGCGCGTCAAACCAAAAAAACGTACCCGAGGCGTTTTTTTTTTTTTTTAAATGACGCTTTTACGTGCGGCGTTTTTCGCGTCGGTGTGCACACTCACATTGGCGCCCTTTGTTTAGTCAAGAGGCGTTAAACGTCGGCGAATTTCGCGCGCCGGTGTGAACAGGCCTTTAGTCCGGACCAAATGAACCGAACTACAGATGTGAAAGCACCCTAAAGGCTCGTACACACCGGGACGAATATTGGCTTGCGTTATTCGTCAGCGTTTTTCAACGCGTTTTTTGTGTTAACACCCAAGCGATTTTCGCTGACGATGAGCCGAGTGAACATGCAAATTCATTCCCTGACATTAGACGGCGCTTAATGTAAAACAGAAATATATCAGTCCTATTTTGTAGTCGCTGTGGCGTTTGTCATATAGTTCTTTATGTTCCGACACCAACGAGACCAGCAGCTCTACATTCATCTTGCCTTGCATCTTCCTCGTCTTATTTCTTCCCGGCAGTGTAGACCATAAAGTGTCACATTCGCGGCATTATTACGTCTGTCTCCTGCACGCGAAACAGGAGGAGAGGAGAATAAAGGACATTGGCCAGCAGCGCGGACGAGACATCTAGCCTTTATTATGGATATCTATGGTGTAGACGCTACTTGGCGTATATCTTCTTCGCCGTTACGTATGTGTGCTCAGCAAGACCGTTTTGTGTTTGAGCGCCCCCAAGTTGTGTTTTACTGTAACTTCAGAAGCTCCAGACACGTGAGCAAAAGCGCCAATCTCATTGGTCGGATAGTTTTTGACGCGGCGCGTCAAACCAAAAAAACGTACCCGAGGCGTTTTTAAAAAAAAATGACGCTTTTACGTGCGGCGTTTTTCGCGTTGGTGTGCACACTCACACTGGCGCCCTTTGTTTCGTCACGAGCCGTTAAACGTCGGCGAATTTCGCGCGCTGGTGTGAACAGGCCTTTAGTCCGGACCAAATGAACCGAACTACAGATGTGAAAGCACCCTTAGTGGATTTTAGACCATGTGCTTCGATCCTTAAAATAGGGCCCACTGTGACTAAACAGATTGAGTAGAGGTGTATCTGTGGTTTGTGCAGGTGTGGTGGAAGCGTGTGTTCTTCATGGGCTGAAGCGCCGGGCCGCCGGGTTCCTGCGCAGTAACAAGCTGGCGGCTCTTTTCATGAAGGTGGGCAAGATGTTTCCGCCAGCTGAGGAACTGTGCAGGAAGGTCCAGGAACTGGAGCAAATCATAGAGAACAAGTGAGTTTCTCTAAGCAATGTGGTATTCAAATGAAAAAATATAACAAAAGATATTATTATTAAGATAATACTATATAATTAATTTTATAAATTTTATTCTATTATATTAATTTTATAAATTTAATTATTTTATTTGAAAAATTATATTATTATTTAAGCTTTGGTCAAATTCTCAGATTTCTGGAATTATGTTGTTTTTTGTTCCTTTTCTTTAGAAAGGTGCTATATAAATGAAACAATAATAATAAAAAATATGTTTAATAAATAAAAATAATATAAATAATTATTTTAATGACAATAATAATTGTAATTTAGATTTAATTTTTATCATTTGTATTAGATTATAATTTTGATCAATTATATTTATATTTATAATTATAAATATATTTTATAATATATGTATTATTTTCATTTCATGAATTGTACTTAATTATATTTATGTTTAATTATTAATAATAATAATCTTGCTAATAATATTATCATTTCTAACAACAATAATAATTATATACATTTTATACAATTTTAAATGTTTTTATTTATATTCATATATTTTTGATTATTTTCATTTTATGAATTGTAATTAATTATATTTATTATTATAAAATAACGAGTAATATAAATATTTCTGCTGGTTTGAAATCAAATGATAATTGTGCACTTTTGAGTCGTGCATTTGAGAGTTAAGAAAAATAAATATAGTTGATTTTCATTGCGTATTATTTTACTTTTCAGACAAAACCAGAGCCAGATGAGTCAAGAGAGCGTCCGAAAACATCCCCGGCCACCCAACCTGTCCCCGCTGGCCATCAAACACCTCTGGATCCGCACTGCGCTTACAGAGAAGATGCTGGACAAAATCGTGCATTACATGGTGGAGAACAGCAGGTGAAGAATCAATTAATTACATATATTATCTCTGTTTTAAAAATGCTTCAACGGCTTTGTTGCATGTTTAATTCAGCAAGTGCCATTCAATTATCACCTCAAATGGCAATTTTGTATATGCAATCCAATTTTGTGTACACATTTTATAGCTTCAAATAATAAGACAAAAAAAATGGTGTTTAAAAATTAGCCTTCTACGGGTGAAACTCGAAAAATTAGAATATCGAGCAAAAGTTCATTTATTTCAGTAATTCAACTTAAAAGGTGAAACTAATATATTATATAGACTCATTACATGCAAAGTGAGATATTTCAAGCCTTTATTTGTTATAATTTTGATGATTATGGCTTACAGCTTATGAAAACCTTTTCACAATATTCTAATTTTGATAATATCTCACTTTGCATGTAATGAGTCTATTAGTTTCAGCTTTTAAGTTGAATTACTGAAATAAATGAATTTTTGCACGATATTCAAATTTTTCGAGTTTCCCCTGTAGTTACTTTGTTACACTTTCATCCATGAGTATTGCATGCATACAGAACATTTACATACTAGGCTCAGTATGCAAAGTGCAGTATTATGTTATTCTGATCCTGAATGCCATTACTTTTACTTTTATTTCAGCAAGTTTTATGAAAGAGAAGCTCTTCTGAGAGATCCAGTTGACGGCCCAATCCTCGCATCTTTGCTTGGTATCAGCTTTGATATTTTTAAATATGTTCAAGAATTTGTATATTGCAATGTTTTTATTGTTGGTTTAGTTAGTTAATGCTTTACCTAATGTTAACAAGCGAGACCTTGTAGAGGTTATGCATTGACGTCACTGAGTGGCAGAAGAGCTGCTTTGTGACTGAGTTTAATAGAGGAAACTGTGAAAACGTGAGTAAAACAAACTATTATCAGTTTAAACTAAAGCTTGGACTCGATATAGTGTTCCTTACAACTGACCAGAGATCCAGTGATTATGGATATTGACATGCAGCAGGAAATTCTGTTTCCTCACATTTATATGAGCCTGATTTCAACGCCGAGGAAATACATAAAGCAAATTTTCCTGTGAATGCTTTATATAAATATAATATAGGTCTAAATCCATGTGATCACTTATATCAATGTTATATACATCATCATATCGCCAGCCTTAAAACTTGTGTAGTTTTTTTATTAGTGTTTATTTAAAAACGTCCAATTATGCAGAATATACAATGGTAAATATTGGGGAAACTCGGAAAATTCGAATATGGTGCAAAAGTCCATTTATTTCAGTAATTCAACTTAAAAGGTGAAACTAATATATTATATAGACTCATTACATGCAAAGTGAGATATTTCAAGCCTTTATTTGTTATAATTGTGATGATTATGGCTTACAGCTTATTAAAACCTTTCCACAATATTCTAATTTTGAATTTGGGGTTTTCATAAGCTATAATCATCAAAATTATAACAAAATAAAGGCTTGAAATATCTCACTTTGCATGTAATGAGTCTATATAATATATTAGTTTCACCTTTTAAGTTTAATTACTGAAATAAATGAACTTTTGCACCATATTCTAATTTTCCGAGTTTCACCTGTATTTAATTAATGAGTTGTCAATACAATATATAACAATACAAATATATATATATAATTTTACCCCATAATTCAGCATATTGACACTAAACTGCAAATCCAGCTTTCTCATCAGGATTCAGATGTTTCTGTGAATCGTTTCAGCGATTCGTTTGCTTCTCTGTCCTGTAGCTTTCAGCATCTGTACAAATATTTAAACAATGTAATAATTTTATGCAGATATAATGAGGTCATTGAAGTAATGAATACTTGTTTGTTAACAAATGATTATGACATTTACAAACTGTTATGATGCGTTGAGGTAAAGATAAATGTGTGTGATGTGTGTGTTCCAGTCGGGCCGTGTGCTCTGGATTACACTAAAGCCAAGACGGCCAATCACTTCTGGACGGACCCGTCGGCGGACGAGCTGGTGCAGAGACACCGCATCCACAGCGGACACTGCCGCCAGGACTCTCCCACGAAACGCCCCGCGCTCGTAAGACTGCACACACACACACGCATGCTCCGGATCGGGCGACTGCACACACGCATGCTCTGGATCGAGCGACTGCACACACACATGCTCTGGATCGGGCGACTGCACACACACACACATGCTCTGGATCGGGCGACTGCACACACACATGCTCCGGATCGGGCGACTGCACACACACACACATGCTCTGGATCGGGCGACTGCACACACACATGCTCCGGATCGGGCGACTGCACACACACACATGCTCTGGATCGGGCGACTGCACACACACATGCTCTGGATCGGGCGACTGCACACACATGCATGCTCTGGATTGGGCGACTGCACACACACACGCACGCTCTGGATCGGGCGACTGCACACACACACGCACGCTCTGGATCGTGCGACTGCACACACACACACATGCTCTGGATCGGGCGACTGCACACACACACACATGCTCTGGATCGGGCGACTGCACACACACACGCACGCTCTGGATCGGGCGACTGCACACACACACGCACGCTCTGGATCGGGCGACTGCACACACACACACGCTCCGGATCGGGCGACTGCACACACACACGCACGCTCTGGATCGGGCGACTGCACACACACACACGCTCTGGATCGGGCGACTGCACACACACACGCACGCTCTGGATCGGGCGACTGCACACAAACACGCTCTGGATCGGGCGACTGCACACACACACACGCTCTGGATCGGGCGACTGCACACACACATGCTCCGGATCGGGCGACTGCACACACACACACATGCTCTGGATCGGGCGACTGCACACACACACGCTCTGGATCGGGCGACTGCACACACACATGCTCCGGATCGGGCGACTGCACACACACACGCATGTTCCGGATCGGGCGACTGCACACACGCATGCTCTGGATCGGGCGACTGCACACACACACGCATGCTCCGGATCGGGCGACTGCACACACACATGCTCCGGATCGGGCGACTGCACACACACGCATGCTCCGGATCGGGCGACTGCACACACACATGCTCCGGATCGGGCGACTGCACACACACGCATGCTCCGGATCGGGCGACTGCACACACACATGCTCCGGATCGGGCGACTGCACACACACATGCTCCGGATCGGGCGACTGCACACACACGCGCATGCTCTGGATCGGGCGACTGCACACACACATGCTCTGGATCGGGCGACTGCACACAAACACGCTCTGGATCGGGCGACTGCACACACACATGCTCCGGATCGGGCGACTGCACACACACACACATGCTCTGGATCGGGCGACTGCACACACACACGCTCTGGATCGGGCGACTGCACACACACATGCTCCGGATCGGGCGACTGCACACACACACGCATGTTCCGGATCGGGCGACTGCACACACGCATGCTCTGGATCGGGCGACTCCACACACACACGCATGCTCCGGATCGGGCGACTGCACACACACATGCTCCGGATCGGGCGACTGCACACACACGCATGCTCCGGATCGGGCGACTGCACACACACATGCTCCGGATCGGGCGACTGCACACACACGCATGCTCTGGATCGGGCGACTGCACACACACGCGCATGCTCTGGATCGGGCGACTGCACACACACGCGCATGCTCTGGATCGGGCGACTGCACACACACATGCTCTGGATCGGGCGACTGCACACACACACGCTCTGGATCGGGCGACTGCACCCACACATGCTCTGGATCGGGCGACTGCACACACACATGCTCCGGATCGGGCGACTGCACACACGCATGCTCTGGATCGGGCGACTGCACACACACACGCTCCGGATCGGGCGACTGCACACACACACGCATGCTCCGGATCGGGCGACTGCACGCACGCATGCTCCGGATCGGGCGACTGCACGCACGCATGCTCCGGATCGGGCGACTGCACACACACACGCTCTGGATCGGGCGACTGCACACGCGCATGCTCTGGATCGGGCGACTGCACACACACACGCTCTGGATCGGGCGACTGCACACACACGCTCTGGATCGGGCGACTGCACACACGCATGCTCCGGATTGGGCGACTGCACACACGCATGCTCTGGATCGGGCGACTGCACACACACATGCTCCGGATCGGGCGACTGCACACACGCATGCTCTGGATCGGGCGACTGCACACACACACGCTCCGGATCGGGCGACTGCACACACACACGCATGCTCCGGATCGGGCGACTGCACGCACGCATGCTCCGGATCGGGCGACTGCACGCACGCATGTTCCGGATCGGGCGACTGCACACACACACGCTCTGGATCGGGCGACTGCACACGCGCATGCTCTGGATCGGGCGACTGCACACACACACGCTCTGGATCGGGCGACTGCACACACACACGCTCTGGATCGGGCGACTGCACACACGCATGCTCCGGATTGGGCGACTGCACACACGCATGCTCCGGATCGGGCGACTGCACACACGCATGCTCTGGATCGGGCGACTGCACACGCGCATGCTCTGGATCGGGCGACTGCACACGCGCATGCTCCGGATCGGGCGACTGCACACACACACGCTCTGGATCGGGCGACTGCACACACGCATGCTCCGGATTGGGCGACTGCACACACGCATGCTCCGGATCGGGCGACTGCACACACGCATGCTCTGGATCGGGCGACTGCACACGCGCATGCTCTGGATCGGGCGACTGCACACGCGCATGCTCCGGATCGGGCGACTGCACACACACACGCTCTGGATCGGGCGACTGCACACACGCATGCTCCGGATCGGGCGACTGCACACGCGCATGCTCCGGATCGGGCGACTGCACACACACACGCATGTTCCGGATCGGGCGACTGCACACACGCATGCTCTGGATCGGGCGACTCCACACACACACGCATGCTCCGGATCGGGCGACTGCACACACACATGCTCCGGATCGGGCGACTGCACACACACGCATGCTCCGGATCGGGCGACTGCACACACACATGCTCCGGATCGGGCGACTGCACACACACGCATGCTCTGGATCGGGCGACTGCACACACACGCGCATGCTCTGGATCGGGCGACTGCACACACACGCGCATGCTCTGGATCGGGCGACTGCACACACACATGCTCTGGATCGGGCGACTGCACACACACACGCTCTGGATCGGGCGACTGCACCCACACATGCTCTGGATCGGGCGACTGCACACACACATGCTCCGGATCGGGCGACTGCACACACGCATGCTCTGGATCGGGCGACTGCACACACACACGCTCCGGATCGGGCGACTGCACACACACACGCATGCTCCGGATCGGGCGACTGCACGCACGCATGCTCCGGATCGGGCGACTGCACGCACGCATGCTCCGGATCGGGCGACTGCACACACACACGCTCTGGATCGGGCGACTGCACACGCGCATGCTCTGGATCGGGCGACTGCACACACACACGCTCTGGATCGGGCGACTGCACACACACGCTCTGGATCGGGCGACTGCACACACGCATGCTCCGGATTGGGCGACTGCACACACGCATGCTCTGGATCGGGCGACTGCACACACACATGCTCCGGATCGGGCGACTGCACACACGCATGCTCTGGATCGGGCGACTGCACACACACACGCTCCGGATCGGGCGACTGCACACACACACGCATGCTCCGGATCGGGCGACTGCACGCACGCATGCTCCGGATCGGGCGACTGCACGCACGCATGTTCCGGATCGGGCGACTGCACACACACACGCTCTGGATCGGGCGACTGCACACGCGCATGCTCTGGATCGGGCGACTGCACACACACACGCTCTGGATCGGGCGACTGCACACACACACGCTCTGGATCGGGCGACTGCACACACGCATGCTCCGGATTGGGCGACTGCACACACGCATGCTCCGGATCGGGCGACTGCACACACGCATGCTCTGGATCGGGCGACTGCACACGCGCATGCTCTGGATCGGGCGACTGCACACGCGCATGCTCCGGATCGGGCGACTGCACACACACACGCTCTGGATCGGGCGACTGCACACACGCATGCTCCGGATTGGGCGACTGCACACACGCATGCTCCGGATCGGGCGACTGCACACACGCATGCTCTGGATCGGGCGACTGCACACGCGCATGCTCTGGATCGGGCGACTGCACACGCGCATGCTCCGGATCGGGCGACTGCACACACACACGCTCTGGATCGGGCGACTGCACACACGCATGCTCCGGATCGGGCGACTGCACACGCGCATGCTCCGGATCGGGCGACTGCACACGCGCATGCTCTAGATCGGGCGACTGCACACACACACGCATGCTGTTTTTTCAGTCTATCTATCATAGGGCTGTCAACTTTAGTCGTTTAGTCGACTAATCGGTCGATGCCGTCTTGGTCGACTGACATTCTTATTGGTCGACCAGTTGCATTTTTTTTTTTTTACCAATAGAAAGAAATTTTCAATGATTTACTCCTTGATATTTATTCCTTTTATAAGCAGTTAAATATTACTGTATTCTAAATATAATTAGCCTATGGTTTATCCCCAACTTTAAATGCTTTAATTTAGGCTATTTTGTAACAGCGCCACAGTTTAGCGCACACACATAAACACTCGGTTCGCACCTGTGGCTGGCTGCGCTGCTGCTTCGCACTCAGTAAGGGATATAGGTAGTTTAGCTGTATTCATTCAGTTAGAACGCTACTTGTTTCGGTTTTTATGTTTTTATACACTATGTTTTTATCTCGATGCGGCGTGGACGCACTTGGGAAAAAAGAGCGCATCGCACCGCGACCGTTGCTTCCATCATGAGCGCGCACACCGCGCGCCTACATTTGAAATCGAACTTGAGCGCGCAAAAGACGTGAGCAGTCCCTTTAACGGCTTTATCATGCTGACTCAATAGATTGTGTTTTCTTGATATGTTTTTGTTTTTATTTGTACACTTGACGCATTTGAAAATAGCCTAAATAATGTAACAAAACGAAAATAAACCTATATGCGGTCCTACAATACAGCCTATTATTATTAGGATTGTTTTTAGGCTCTTTGGTTTTTTTTGTGTGTGTTTGTTTTAAAACTCCTAGATCGGCTGGACAAAAGTTAACCCATAGCTTTGAAAGTAAAGAAGAATATACAGCCTGTATAAACGAGAGCTTTTGTTAGGATTTTTCATTGTGGCAGATGCAGTTATATTTTTTGTAGCGTGTGGTGTGGTCAGGTGCGCGATTGTGACTGTTACGGGCAGTGCTCCTCACTTTTTGCAGTTAAAAAAAAAATCACTTAATTTTCAAAGAATTGTATTATTATTATAGTTTTAGGTATTTTTGATGTTTTTTCGTTGTTGTTTTATAAATGCTCTATGACAATTGTTAAAAAATGTTAAATCAAAACATCGCGTTTTTTTTTTTTTTTTTTTTGACTAATCACTGCGCAGGACAAGACTTTGGTCGACTAAGGATTTCTTTGGTTGACTACAGCCCTAATCTATCATTCAATCATCCATCTATCTATTTGTCTTCTATCTATCTGTCGTTCAGTCTATCCATCCTTCTATCTGTCTATCATCTATCTATCTGTCGTTCAGTCTATCTATCCTTCTATCTGTCTATCATCTATCGTTCATTCGTTCTATCTATCATCATTCTGTTTGTCTATCAATCTATCTGTCATCCAATCTATCCATCGCTCATCTATCTATCTATGCATCTGTCTATCTACCTTGCTTTGCTTTTCTATTTGTTTGTTGCATATGTAAAAGAAAAATCTCAAATGCTATTAGAGAGTAATACGCTGAAACGAACCTTGATCTCCATCTCTGTGCAGATTCAGAAGAGGCAGTCGAGCGGCAGCCTGGACGACAGGCCTTCTCTCTGGGCTCGCGATTACGTCCAGTCTCTTCATCAAAACTCCAGAGCCACGTTGCTCTTCGGGAAGAACAACGTCCTCGTGCAGCCGGTACGTCAGCTGTAAATATTACTTTGACGTGCGTGACGATACTGTAGTGATATGGCGTTTTAAAGGTGCAGTGTGTAATATTTAGGAGCATCTGTTGACAGAAATGCAATATCATATACATAACTATGTTTTCAGTGGTGTATAAAGACCTTACTTAATGAACCGTTATGTGTTTATTAGCTTAGAATGAGGCATTTCTCTCTACACACACCGCGGGTCGCCTTACGTCGACATGTTTCTACGGTGGCCCTGAACGGACAAACGTGTTTCGTCACTATGTTGTTCTTCACGATAAGAAGCTGCTAAAGTCAGCGAATAAAACACTGACACAATGATGAACAAGTAACAATAATATTCGCAATAACATCGTTTTACTGAATAATTAAGTAAACCTAATTTCTTAATTTATCTTTGTAAAGAAACCTCATTGCTTAACTGGCTACTCTCTGCTGTCTCAGAAGACGACATCACTTCCTGTCGGCCACCGTAACTTCTGTTGGGTGCAATTCACAACCTCACCACTAGATGCTGCTAAAAATTACACACTGCACCTTTAAATAATGAATGGCAATAAATCGTCTCTGGTCTTTTAGACAGACGACACTGAATCTATCCCAGGATACCTCTCTCTACATCAGACGGCGGATCTGATGACACTGAAATGGACACCGAACCAGCTGATGAACGGAAACGTGGCGGAGTTTGATTATGAGAAAAGGTGCGTTATGATTGCGACGTCGAATATGTGGCTGTGTAAATGATTTTTAAGTCATTACTGGTGTCTCTTTATTTTCTCCCTTAGTGTGTATTGGGATTTTGCGATGTCCATTCGTCTAGAGGAGATCGTCTATTTGCACTGTCATCAGCATGGTGAATATATCAATGCTGAGCATCTTTAACACTGTAAAGCCAATAAAACTCAGAAAAAATCTTTTTTTATAATCAGTTTATTGAACCTTTAGACAAAACGTTTTTTTTTTGTTGACTATCATAATTGATCCATCAGGCTTTTATGGTTCATTTAGTATGATAAAGTGAGAATATGGAGGGGGGAAAACAGCTAAATTTTATTCAGAGACTCAAACTGAGCAAAAAGATGCAATTTTCAGCACATTTTGATATTTTATGGTCAAAAAGTGATGAAATTCTGATGCTTGTAATGTAAATCAATGAGATATTTATAACAGTACAGCAGATACTTACATAAAATGCATATAGATATCAATATCTGCCAATAATATGTCTTAGTGAGTTGATATTAAAATGCTTAGTTTTATGATCAAAGCTCTTTAGTTTTAAAACATATAATGCAATGATGATTAAGAGATGAACAAATAAACCTTCCTCAAAAGCCTGATGATCATATTTGATACTCGTGATTTCTCTAAAAACTGACGCATGGATAAATCACAAGTACCTTTAGTCTTCATCTTGAAATATTACTAACAATATCAAAGTTATTCTTACATTTACTTTATAAAAACCAGAAAACAAGCTGAAGATGAATGTTTGTACAATTATACTAAACTAATAAAGGTAAAGTCTAAGCTCCCAATCAGAAGGGCCGTATTAGATTGTGTACGACAGGATTTTCAAAGTTCTGATCATGTCGATAATTTAGAAATGTGCATATGAAATATGATACAGTATCTTTACAGGGTTAAAGGAATATTAAAGGTTTGTCTGAATCTGCTTGTGTTCAGTGGACAGTGGTGGTACTGTGGTTTTGGTCAGCCAAGACGGGATCCAAAGACCTCCGTTTCGATTCCCAAAAGGAGGCCACATTCTCCAGTTCCTCACGTGTCTGGAGACGGGCCTCCTCCCTCATGGCCAGTTAGATCCTCCTCTGTGGTCCCAAAGAGGAAAGGTTCGCCAAAAACTCATGCTTCAGTAGTTTGAATAAAGGGTAACACTTTACTTGAAGGGGTGTGCATAAGACTGACATGACACCTTCATAATCATGTCATGTCATGAATATGGAGGTTTTATGCATGTTTATGACAACTGTCATTAAGTGTCATTTGCTCAATTATGACATTTTTAATGCAAATATGACATTGTTTGAGATGTCTTTGTTATGACAACTTGACATAAACCAATAGATTATAACCTGTCAATGTCTTTGTCATGACAACTTGACAAAGACACTGACGGGTTATGATCTACTGGTTTATATCAAGTTGTCATTACAGGTTATGATCTACTGGTTTATGTCATGACAACTTGACAAACCAGTAGATCATAACCTGCCAGTGTCTTGACAACTTGACATTACCAAGACAACATAAATTGTCATAAACATGACATAGCAGATTATTTTATTAACTTAATTAACACAGACATAATTAACTTTAGAAACCACTTAGCTTTATGGGTTAACATTACATTAAACTGTCATGTGGTTGGTTTTGACATTGGCTGTCATGAGGCATTATAACTGTGTCATGAATATTTTTCTTGACATCAACTACAGCGGTACAAATTGAATTTGTCATTAAAATGTTATAATGGCCTCATGACAGCCAATGTCAAAACCAGCCACCTGACCAATGTTAACCCATAAAGCTAAGTGGTTTCTTAAGTTTGTTAATTAATCTGCTATGTCATGTTTATGACATATTTATGACAGGCTGTGTTGTCTTAGTAATGTCAAGTTGTCATGACAAAGACACTGACAGGTTATGATGTATTGGTTTATGTCAAGTTGTCAAAGACATCTCAAACAATGTCATATTTGCATTAATGTTATAATTGAGCGAATGACACTTAATGACAGTTGTCATAAACATGCATGAAACCTTTATATTCATGACATGCGTCATGTCATGATTATGAAGGTGTCATGTCAGTCTTATGCACACCCCTTCAAGTAAAGGGTTACCGAATAAAGCCCTATTCGCACTGGATTAGTATTATCTGGGGACCTCATGTGATTTAGACATTACCCCCCCACATCTGAATTTCGTGTGGCGCATCCGCACGGGATAAGGGAAGCCTGTGATTTTACTCCTGTGATAAAACTCATCTCTTCCGTATGGAAGCTCGTTTCCGCCACAGAATAAAACATTTTAAAAGATAAATGTGACTTTATCTCACAATTGCGAGATATAAAGTCAGAATTGCGTGAAATAAAGTCAGAATTCCGTGAAATAAAGTCGCAATTGCGTGTTATAAAGTCAGAATTGCGAGAGAAAAAAACGAACAATTCTGACTGACTTTCTCGCAATTGCGACTATATCACGCGATTCTGACTTTATAACACATAATTGCGAGTTTATATCTCGCAATTGACATCTTTTTTTCAGAATTGAGATATAAACTCACAATTGCGAGTTATAAAGTCCAATTCTAAGGGGAAAAAAAGTCAGTCTTAGTGACAGTAGATAGAATAGTTTATATCTCACAAATCTGACTTTATAACACACAATTACGACTTTATATTTCCCAATTGCGTATTATAAAGTCATAATTGCGAGATATAAGCATGCAATTCTGAGAGAAAAAGTCAGAATTTCAAGTATATTTCTCGCAATTGCGAGTGTATATGTTATAATTCTGACTTTACAACACGCAATTGCGACTTTATATCACGCAATTTTGACTTATATCAATCAATTCTGACTTTATATCACGCAATTCTGACTTATATCAATCAATTCTGACTTTATATCACGCAATTCTGACTTTATAACCTGCAATTGCAACTTTATATCAATCAATTCTGACTTTATATCTCGCAATTCTGACTTTATAACCTGCAATTGCGACTTTATATCAATCAATTCTGACTTTATAACACGCAATTGCGACTATTTCACGCAATTCTGACTATGTCTCGCAATTGGGATTGCAATATGTAAACTCGCAATTGTGAGAAAAAAGGTCAGAATTGTGAGAGAAAAAGTCGCAATTACCTTTTGTATTTTTCATTCTGTGGCGGAAACGAGCTTCCATACTTCCGTGAGCACTTAACAAATTTAAAAATAAATAAATAAATAAATAAATAATTCTTTCCTTTAAATCCTCCCTTGTCTGGCTTATGCTACTCTGAGCAATGTCTGAACTTTGTATTTTGAGCACTTCTTGCGTTGTTTTTGCCTCTTCACGATGACTCGCTTGGTTTAGTCCTTAGTTGTAAGTCGCTTTGGATAAAAGCATCTGCTAAATGACTAAATGTACTCGCATTTACTGACTTATCTCCCGGTTATGACGTCAATAGGCTATTGCTTGGAAATGTCTTATCGTTATTTTAGGTCTAGCTGTATGATATATCATAAACAGAAGAATGTTCCTTACCGCATGTCATCCATCTCCGTCTAATCATTCTTTTTGTTATCGCTCTTCTGATGGTTTTCAGCTTTCTCTTTCTGCAAATTGTATAGTTGTGGTGTAGGTATAGCGATATGGCAGCCTCCATTCTTCGCGAAAAATGGATAAAAAGGCGCACAGGAAACAAAAACCTTGAAAAAATTATATACGACCCCGCCAAATCACAGACATGGCCGATTCGCACGGGATTAAGATCACAGACAACCTCCGCAATTATTACAAATGATTAGAGGTCACCAGGTAATACTAATCCAGTGCGAATAGGGCTTAAGAAACCTTTTTGTGTTCTTTCCCCAGGGAAAAGTGTTCCCAAAACTGCGTAAACGGAGTCCACATGGATCCTGCGAGTCATTCTCAGACAAAGATGAAGATGAGGCCACGGATTATGTGTTTCGGATTATATATCCAGGCAGTCAGGAGTTTGGTAAGTTTACGTGATGTTGGTGTTTCATTAAGGCTGTTCACAAGCAAGATTATAGTGAATGAAAAAAAAATTTAATTTAAAAGTTAATTAAACTGAACTGACACTTTCCTGCATTGCTTCAAATCGAACTAAAATAAAATATTTAAAAATATATTTTCAGCTTTTGTTTGGCAATTTTCTTTTTAAAACCTTTATTACACATGTTTAGTCTGGACTCAATAGCATTATAGCAGCATGTTTGCATAAAACAGCACAGAAATGTAAAAATCGAGGGTAAAATATAAGCATATGAATTTTCCATGTGTTGTTTCTATTCTTAACCCACTAATTTGGTCATTTTTTATCGAAACATTTTACGTTTTTTAGAATTTTTGACTTTTTAAAAATCTTTTGATAAAGATTTTGGCACGTGCTATGGGAACACACACTAATAAATCAGACATGATTCGAAAAGGTTAGATGGTCTAGAAAAAACAGTCACACTTAGGGCATTGGAAACGAATGGGAGACTAATTTCACCTAGTGGAAGCGTTTGGTACTGCGCCTCACAAAATCCCACTGAAAGATAATTTTTTGAGATATCAACCTCAAATTCGGAACAACTCCTTTAGATTTACGATTTTCATTTTCTCACAGTTTTAGATTAAAATGTATTTTTTAATCCTTTTTTTATGCATAATAGACTTAAACTTCTATAACTTTTCCCCCCAAGTGTCTTCTTTAAAAAGAGCTCAAACTTCAGTCTGTTGCTCCAAAGCATTCAAAATTTACGACAGTAAATAATAGGTAATAAATTTATCATCTATCACTATTTTAAACATATAATTTAGTACCATAAAATCCCCTAAAAATACAAACTATAATATAGTACATTCATTTAATTGAAATACCGCTACGCAGGAACCAACAGATCATAAATCCAGTGTTTGTATTATTTTTATTTGTTTTATAAATATTTTGAATTGGCTTTACTTTATATTTTTAATATTCATGTTCATTTTAGTTTAATTTTTAGTGTAATTTCATATTTTGCCATTTAAGTTTAATTCATTATTATGACCGTTTTAGTTTTATTTATGTCCAGTTAATAATATTAGTGCTTCAACTTGAACTAAAAAAAAAATAGAAATGTTGTCTTGGCAATAAAAAGTTTAAGTTTTTCAACTAATATTTATATTTTAGTTTCATTTCAATTAACAGAAATGTTTTAAACATCATTAGTTTTAGTTAATGATAATAACCCTCCACATATATCAATATTAATTTCATACTGTGAAAGTGTCTCGTTTAATGGTATGAAAGAAAATGAATGCAATATAAAGAGAAGTAAAACTTTCCTTGTATGTTTATGAAAAACACATTCATACAGCATTTCTTATTGGATACTGTACATTTTTATTTTATTTCTTTTTACATCTGACTAATGTCTGAAGCAGGATGGCATTTTTTACACTGGTAATGATGGTCTTAAATACAGGGTTCGTACAGATACTGTAAAATTTAATTATAGGACTTTTAAGGACTTTTCAAGCTGTATCATATACTTGGATATTATATACTTTATTATGTACTATTATATATGTATCATATGCTTGGATATCACGCTCATAGCCATGCGAAATGGCTCTATATCTTTATCAGACGGACAGCAGCGTTAATTTTGCATGAAAAGATCATTTCATCGATAAAATTAAACACTAATTTCACATATATTGTCTTTCAATAATTCAAGCACTTTTTCATAAATATGGCTTTTTTCATGGGTTTTTCAGGACTTACATTTAAAAAAGTCAAATTCAAGTACGTCCTTGTACGAACCCTGTAAATATGATGCTAATTGATACTCTCAATATTAAAGTTGGCCCAGAACTGATCGACCAGAGTGTGAACATGTGGCAGCCCACACCGAGGAAGTCGTCTTGTTCTTCATGTTCACAGAACGGCTTGTTGGACGGTGGACTTCCCAACGGATGCAACCACGACAGGCTAGTCTGGATTTGTGATGTTTACAATATAAAATAACCTGCTATAATGTGACCCTGGACCACAAAACCAGTCACGAGTCGCACGGGTGTATCTGTGGCAATAGCCAACAATACATTGTATGGGTCAAAATTATCGATTTTTCTTTTATATGCCAAAAATCATTAGGATATTAAGTAAAGATCATGTTTAATGAAGATATTTTGTAAATTTCCCACCGTAAATATATAAAACATTTATTTTTGTGAGTGAATGTAGCATTATCGTGAACTTTAAAGGCAATTTTCTCAATGTTTACATTTTTTTGCACCCTCAGATTCCAGATTTTCAAATAGTTGTATCTCGGACAAATATTGCCCTATCCTAACACACCATACATCAATGGAAAGCGTATTTATTCATAAATCTCAATTTCAAAAATTTTACCCATGTGACTGGTTTTGTGGTCCAGGGTCACATGCTTTTAGACTTACTCCGGATGTCTGTGTGAAACAGGGCGCCGCTGAAGCTACTCTGTGAGACCATGAAGCACCAGATCATTTCCCGCGCTTTCTACGGCTGTATGTATTGCATGAGATTTTATGGTTTTGTAACGAACTCTCTTATGCACTTTCTCATGAGCTGTCGTGTATCTTCAAGGGTTGGCGTACTGCCGTCACCTGTCCACCGTCCGCACGCACCTGTCGGCTCTGGTGAATGCCACTATTGTTGAGACGGACATCCCTTATGATGCCAAAGGTGGTCTGTCTGCAGAAGTGTGGAAGATGTTCCTACAGGACAGTGCTGTATGTGACCTTCACTATCTAGTGTACTTACTCCACAGCCTCATTAATAATCAGATGAGATCTTGTGTACAATAAGGTTATTATAGTTAAAGGAGAACTCCGGCGCAAAATGAACCTTTGGTCTAATAAAACATTGGTACCTAGTCAACCGTTCTCTGAGATTTGTTTTCATGATAATCGAATGTAAAGAGTTTTATCTCTAAAAACTGTTTAGTGTATAACGCTAGTAATGGGGGCATCTATTAAATAAAAAGAAATCGCTAGTTTATACCACTAACAAGACTCAAAATAGCCCCACACGAACACAGTAACATAATGAGGGTCCCTACATGCAAAACGAAGCATTGAGAACTTTGTAAGTGTACAGACCGTTTAATAAGAAGATAAAGATAAAGACAGTCCACTTCGTGTATACAGACAGGAGCCATCTTTGGAAAACAGTCTCAACTAGTCAAACCACGAACGACGTGCCGAGTGAGCTGAACTGTATGAAGTTCAGTGAACTTCTGAACTGTTTGAATGGCGTTCGTGGTTTGAGGAGATGGCTCCTGTCTGTATACACGAAGTGGACTGTCTTCATAAAATATCTTCTTATTAAACGGTCTGTACACTTACAAAGTTCTCAATGCTTCGTTTTGCATGTAGGGACCCTCATTATGTTACTGTGTTGGTGTGGGGCTATTTTGAGTCTTGTTAGTGGTATTAACTAGCGATTTCTTTTTACTTAATAGATGCCCCCATTACTAGCGTTATACGCTAAACAGTTTTTAGAGATAAAACTCTTTACATTCGATTATCATGAAAACAAATCTCAGAGAACGGTTGACTAGGTACCATTGTTTTATTAGACCAAAGGTTCATTTTGCGCCGGAGTTCTCCTTTAAAGCTCCAGTCCGTAACTTTTTTAAGTTAAAAATAATCCAAAATAATTATATTAAAAAAAAACTTATTCTGCCAGTGGTCAAAACTATCTGCTTGCCATAGCTAGATTCAAAACGGTTAGCTTGTAATAATGATTTTAATTCCAGTGGTACTGGTGGGTTTCCACGGGAAATTCGAGCATGTTTTTTGCGTCATTACGTCACACCCGTACACATAAAGGAGGAGTTTCGGCTAGCCGGCTATACTGCGCGTGACGAGATGTTTAGATGTATAGGCTTTTCTCGCAGCACTTTACATAATTAAACTTATGGCATCCAGAAAGATCCAAACAACAATCATCAGTGTCAACTGGAGATTCAGCAGTTATAAAACCCAAAAGACTTCGTACTTCGGATTTAAGGTGGCTAGAGAAAGAAAAAGAAACCGTCTCATGCGAACACAAGGATTAAACATCGGCGGGGCTTTTGAAAAGTGCGTGAACTCCGTGTTTTGAAGGGGTTCAAAACAGAAGAAGAGACGGCTTTTTTCTGCTGAACAAGTAAGACATTTCAATAGTTCAATCGTGTAACAGTACGTTTTCTTAATTCACACAGTTATGGAGTTTCCTTTGTTGTGCCTTTCTCGTTTTGCTATTATGGAGAATATGAATTCTGAACTACACAGCTAACCATAAAACACATTAAATTTACCATTAGTCACGCAATGCTGATGTGATGTTGTTAACATGAACAATTTGAGAACAAAGTAGGCTATAATTTGCACGGTTGCTGTAAATCGCGTTGATTAAATCTAACGAAGCTTATGTCGAATGCTTTTTCCCCCTTAGTTGGTCAGAACAAAAATGGATGTTACTTACTTGTTCAGAAGACATTTTCTTATGAAAATTCTTATGTTGGTCAAACTTTCAAAAAGTGAATCAGTATCCACACAGCGCGGTGACTGACAGCAGCACTCGCCTCAAAGCACTGTGTTCATCCGCGCTGTTTCATGCCGATTTACAACCCACGTAAAGATAATAATTCCGCGAATCACTGCAGTTACAGATTTCGAACAGAGAGATGGCGACAAAGAGGAAAAGATACGGACTGCAGCTTTAAGTAAAACCTTATTTTCCCCATATCGTCCATTGTTGCGGCTCCTCTCTTCTCAGTCTGTCAGTAACGCTCTGTTTAGTTCCTGTCTCTATGAAGCCCCTCCTTCTGAAAAGCACACTGTGCTCTGATTGGTCGGCTGGAACAGTGTGTTGTGATTGGTCGCGCGCTTCGAGTGTGTTTGGGAAATGTCCCGCCCCTTTCCATAACCGCCAGTTTAACACACTACTAACTAACTCAACCAGGCCCCGGCCCTTTATTCTGCGTATTAACTATTTAAATGAGGAATATTGTGACGTGTTCGTTCCCAGAAGAAACTTAAGACTACAATGGAGGCGTTTCAGGGAGTTCAGAAACACTGACACTGATATAGAGAAGAACTGCTCCGAGACACGAAGTTTGAGAATCCAAATGCAGTGTTTTAAAGAAAGGGTAATCCACAATCGTAGTAAAAGACAGGCAAAAGGTCAGAGCACAGTAAATCAGTCCAATCAAACAACCAAATCCAGACGATGAGACAGAAACGGGAAAACCAGGACAAAGGCAGATATCAAAAACCAGGAACATGGATAACAGTGGAAACGCTCAGAAATCCAGTGTTACACGTACAAGACTTCGCAGGGAGTGAATGAGTGAACATGGTTTAAATCATAGACTGTGAAAAATACTCCCTTAAATGACAGATAACATCTTTGGAAAAAAAATAATTTGAAGTGTAATTTGATTGTTTAGTTTCCATCGTGTTATAAAGTTAGAATTGCGAGATATAAACTTGCAATTGCAAAGTCAGAATTGTGAGTTTATATCTCGCAATTCAGAGAAATAAACTCACAAAAGATGTAAACTCGCAATTGTGAGAAAAAAAAAATCCAAATTGTGCGATTAAAAAGTCACAATTACCTTTTTCATTCTGTGGCGGAAACAAGCTTCCATAATAATTGGACCCTTTTAAAATGAAAGTGAAAATGGAAAATAAGCATAAATAAATCTCATTTATTTTTAAAATGTTTTAAAAACTTAAGATTAATAAATACTGTACAAGTAGTGTTCATTGTTAGTTCATGTTAAGTCTTATTGTAAAGTGTTACCATAAAAACATGTAAAATATGAACAAGAACTATAATGGTATCTCAATGATGCTGTGCAGGCGTACGAGGAGGAGGAACTTCTTCGGCTGGTATATTATGGAGGCGTGGATCCCTCTCTACGCAAAGAGGTCTGGCCGTTTCTCTTAGGCCACTATCACTTCACCATGAGCCTCGACGAACGCAAAGAGGTGAGCGAACGTGACTCTGATCGACAGAACGAGACCAGAGCAGAAGCAGCATAACTGTGCTATAGGGCTGTCAAAATGGCTGAAAATTGTAATTTCTTTGTTAAATATTAGCAAAATTCAAATTATTTTTGAATTCTAAATTCTTCATTTTAAGATAAAAAGTACTGTATTGTCTCCTATGCCCACAAGAGGGCGCAAGCGAGCGCAATAGGCAAATATAAACCAAATCCAGCATCGCATCTTTTATTGTAAAAGGATTAGTTCACTTTTAAAAAAAACTTTTGCTGATAATTTACTCACCCCCATGTCATCCAAGATGTCCATGTCTTTCTTTCTTCAGTCGAAAAGAAATTACGGTAATGTCTTTGATGAAAACATTCCAGGATTTTTCTCCATATAATGGACTTTGCTGGGCACCAAACGGTTCAAGGTCTAAATGACCGTTTCAGTTCAGCTTCAAAGGGCTTTAAACGATACCAGACGATGAATAAGGGTCTTATCTAGCGAAACGATCTGTCATTTCAAAAAAAAAAAAAAAAGTTAAAGTGTTATAGGCACAAATGCTCGCCTTGCGAACTCTCCTGTTCGAACTCGTTCATCAAAATGAACAAATCTTTTTTCGAGTCAATGACTCAAAAAAAGATTCGTTCATTTTGATGAACGAGTCAATAACTCGAAAAAAGATGTCATTGACTCGAAAAAAGATTCGTTCATTTTGATGAACGAGTTCGAACAGGAGAGTTCGCAAGGAGAGCTTTTGTGCCTATAACACTTTAACTTTTTTTTTTTTTTTGAAATGACAGATCGTTTCGCTAGATAAGACCCTTATTCATCGTCTGGTATCGTTTAAAGCCCTTTGAAGCTGAACTGAAACGGTCATTTAGACCTTGAACCGTTTGGCTACCATTGAAGTCCATTATATGGAGAAAAATCCTGGAATGTTTTCATCAAAAACATTAATTTCTTTTCGACTGAAGAAAGAAAGACATGGACATCTTGGATGACATGGGGGTGAGTAAATTATCAGCAAAAGTTTTTTAAAAAGTGAACTAATCCTTTAAGTGCATTGACTTTTGAAACAATTGTTCTTAAATACAATTTAATTTCCTTAATGTGCATGCAAGGAAAATTAGGTTACAATAGTGCATAAAACTGTTTGTGCATCAGTAATCTGAGAAAACACACTTCAACACACAGCGTAATGAACTATATGAACACTAAATGGCAAACTGGTATTCAGAAACACTCACTTCTACTCACTACATCTACATATAGTTCATCAAAAACACCAGACGCTCATCTTGATGTGCAGCGAGTGCGAAGCGCTTTCTGTTGACAGTGTTTCCACCTGATGAACACACACACTCAACTCTGACCGATGTGCCAGATATGGTCAAGTATGTCGTTGCACGATTTTTCCCTCCAACTGAGAGGGTTTTCATCAGCAAGAAGCCTTTTCCCGCCATTTTTCAAATTAGCAACGGAGCCGCAGCGCTGTATACTGGATAAGCTAACAAAAACACACTGCATCAGTTACGCCATCATCATCATGCCTCACGCGCCTCTTGACACACCAAAAATTCAAATGCACGGTTTTTGCATTCGAATGTGCAGTTTTTTTAATAAATTCAACGAAAATGTAAAAATTGAAATTTATTTGACAGCCCTACCTGGTAATCTTGAATCAGAATCAGTTCCTCCTGCAGCATCTCTTCTCTTCTCTGATGTGGGCGGGGCAACCTGTCACTCACATGAGATCAGCCAATTGCAAACCACAACCATCCAATCAAATTCCCTGCAGTTTTGTTTTAAAATCGAATTTTAATTGACAGCCCTATTATACTCTCTCTAGGTGGACGAGCAGATTCGAGCGTGTTACGAGCAGACCATGAGCGAGTGGTTGGGATGTGAAGCCATCGTGCGCCAGCGAGAGAAGGAACAACACGCTGTCGCTCTGGCCAAATGCGCGTCGGGCGCTAACGTGGACAGCGGATTGCGCCAGGACTCCACCATCAGCACGGACGTAAATGTTTACGCTCGAGTCGCCTACGCATATCAGATGCACAGTGATGTTTGCATGCAGATTAATTGTGTTTCTCTCTCCAGTCGTCTCAGAGCAGCGGCTCCGATAAACAGAGTCACGCAGGATCACACAGCGACTCCAACAGCAGCACTCGGGTGAGACGGCATCGCATTAAACACCACGATTAACTAGGGGTGTAACAATATATCGCAATACAAAAATGCAACAATATGTATCAGATACTGGATAGTGACAATCTGTATTGTACGGAGCCTCTAAAGGGACGTGGTGGTGGGAAAAAAATTAGGATGGGAGAATTTTTTTTTTCAAATCTTTTGCATTCCCTCGCAAAACTTTTGCGTTCCCCCGAGAAACTTTGCGTTCCCTCGGGTCCCTAGGCTATTCGAACTTCCCGGATCAATATTCTTGAACTAAACGTTAAAACACAAACGTCACCAATTTACAATCATAGTAAACCTAGACAATGAGTTACAACCCAATTCTCCTCAAAACTATTGGCTATCGGTCGATATCATTCTGAATAATCGGCTACCGGTCGATATCATTCCGAATAATCGGCTACCAGTCGATATCATTCTGAATAATCGGCTATCGGTCGATATCACTCTGAATAATCGGCCACCGGTCGATATCATTCCGAATAATCGGCTATCGGTCGATATCATTCTGAATAATCGGCTACCGGTCGATATCACTCTGTATAATCGCCCATCGGTCGATATCACTCTGAATAATCGGCCACCGGTCGATATCATTCTGAATAATCGGCTATCGGTCGATATCACTCTGTATAATCGGCTACCGGTCGATATCACTCTGTATAATTGGCCATCGGTCGATATCACTCTGAATAATCAGCCATCGGTCGATATCACTCTGAATAATCGGCCATCGGTCGATATCATCCTGAATAATCGGCTACCGGTCGATATCATTCTGAATAATCGGCTACCGGTCGATGTCATTCCGAATAATCGGCTATCGGCCGATAGCACTCTGTATAATCGGCTATCGGTCGACACCACTCTGAATAATCGGCTACCGGTCGATATCATTCCGAATAATTGGCTATCGGTCGATATCATTCTGAATAATCGGCTACCGGTCGATATCATTCTGAATAATCGGCCACCGGTCGATATCATTCCGAATAATCGGCTACCGGTCGGTATCATTCCGAATAATCGGCTATCATTCCGAATAATCGGCTATCGGTCGATATCACTCTGTATAATCGGCCATCGGTCGATATCACTCTGTATAATCGGCCATGGGTCGATATCATTCTGAATAATCGGCCATCGGTCGATATCATTCTGAATAATCGGCTACCGGTCGATATCACTCTGAATAATCGGCCATCGGTCGATATCATTCTGAATAATCGGCTATCGGTCGATATCATTCTGAATAATCGGCTACCGGTCGATATCACTCTGAATAATCGGCCATCGGTCGATATCATTCTGAATAATCGGCTATCGGTCGATATCATTCTGAATAATCGGCTACCGGTCGATATCACTCTGAATAATCGGCCATCGGTCGATATCATTCTGAATAATCGGCTACCGGTCGATATCATTCTGAATAATCGGCTACCGGTCGATATCACTCTGAATAATCGGCCATCGGTCGATATCACTCTGAATAATCGGCAATCGGTCGATATCACTCTGAATAATCGGCCACCGGTCGATATCACTCTGAATAATCGGCCATCGGTCGATATCACTCTGTATAATCGGCTATCGGTCGATATCACTCTGAATAATCTGCTATCGGTCGATATCATTCTGAATAATCAGCTACCGGTCGATATCATTCTGAATAATCAGCTACCGGTCGATATCATTCTGAATAATCGGCTACCGGTCGATATCATTCTGAATAATCGGCTACCGGTCGATATCATTCCGAATAATCGGCTATCGGTCGATATCATTCCGAATAATCGGCTATCATTCCGAATAATCGGCTATCGGTCGATATCACTCTGTATAATCGGCCATCGGTCGATATCACTCTGTATAATCGGCCATGGGTCGATATCATTCTGAATAATCGGCCATCGGTCGATATCATTCTGAATAATCGGCTACCGGTCGATATCACTCTGAATAATCGGCCATCGGTCGATATCATTCTGAATAATCGGCTATCGGTCGATATCATTCTGAATAATCGGCTACCGGTCGATATCACTCTGAATAATCGGCCATCGGTCGATATCATTCTGAATAATCGGCTATCGGTCGATATCATTCTGAATAATCGGCTACCGGTCGATATCACTCTGAATAATCGGCCATCGGTCGATATCATTCTGAATAATCGGCTATCGGTCGATATCATTCTGAATAATCGGCTACCGGTCGATATCACTCTGAATAATCGGCCATCGGTCGATATCACTCTGAATAATCGGCAATCGGTCGATATCACTCTGAATAATCTGCTATCGGTCGATATCATTCTGAATAATCAGCTACCGGTCGATATCATTCTGAATAATCGGCTATCGGTCGATATCATTCTGAATAATCGGCTATCGGTTGATATCACTCTGAATAATCGGCTATCGGTCGATATCACTCTGAATAATCGGCCACCAGTCGATATCATTCTGAATAATCGGCCACCGGTCGATATCATTCTGAATAATCGGCTATAGGTCGATATTATTCTATATAATCGGCTATCGGTCGATATTCTGAATAATCGGCTATTGGTCGATATTATTCTATATAATCGGCTATCGGTCGATATCACTCTGAAGAATCGGCTACCGGTCGATATCATTCTGAATAATCGGCTATCGGTCGATATCATTATGAATAATCGGCTATCGGTCGATATCACTCTGAATAATCGGCTATCGGTCGATATCATTCAGAATAATCGGCTATCAGTATCGGCGGAGAAATTTAATATCTGTGAATTTCTATGTATTATTGTTCTGTCTTCCTGCTGTGCTGGTTTTAGGTTTTCTGATTTTGCTTCTGTCTATTTTGACCATCCTCAGGTGTTTGGGTCTGTCGATGAGGTCGACCCGATTGAATCTGAGCCCAAACCAAAAGACGAGAAGCCACAGCCCAAAATCCCAAACGGCACTCTCCCAAATTGCACTAGTTCTCCAGACTCCGGTCACCCGTCGTCTCGTAACTTCTCCGTGACTTCAGCGCTCTCAGACGGCTCTCCGAGCACAGAGGAGACGTCCACACAAGAGCCCAAAACCACAACTCGAGACCCGCCATCACAACATCAGACTGACCTGGAGAAGGCGGCCAACGAGGATCCAGCAGAAAACAGCTCGACTACTCAGGATACGGTCAAAGATGCTGTAGTTTCACAAACAGAGAGTGTCCGTTCGGAAAGCGAGTCAGTAAAGCCTCTAGAAAGTGAGACTTCTGAAACATCTGGGACTGAACTGCATCAGGAAATCGATTCAGTGAAAGATAAAGACACGACTAAAGAAAACACAGAAGTTAAAATGCAACCCAGTGCAAGAAAATCCGAAGAAAATGAAAAATGTGAACTTGGTTCTTTAAAAGATCCTATTGAAGAAATGACAAAATCATCAGAGTCAAAGGAGGTTGAGATTGAAGTCGATTCAGTGAAAGATAAAGACACGACTAAAGAAAACACAGAAGATAAAATGCAAACCAGTGCAAGAAAATCTGCAGAAAATGAAAATAAATGTGAACTTGGTTCTTTAAAAGAGCCTATTGAAGATATTACAAAATCCTCAGAGTCAAAGGAGGTTGAGCTTGAAGGATGTTTAACGTCTGAAGATGAAAACTCAAAATCAAAGACTGATAAAGACACAGATTTAAAAGTAAACCAAGGCGAGGATGATACAAAACCAACTGATCAAGAAATGAATCAAACTGATGAATGTTCACAGAATGTGACCGAATGTGAAGCTGAAACCATCAGCACACCGCAAACAATCAACTGGGACTCTGATCACACCATTAACACATTATTAATCAAACAAATCACCGAATCCGAGTCGGAAAGCTGCGGTCCCGTCACTTCCCAATCAAAACAATCTCCAGACATGTCTGACGACTCGCCGTCGGCTCTGGAAATGGAGGAGATCGCTTCATCCGTGGTTTATATGTCCTCAGAGACGCACATATCCCGGACTCCTCTGACGCTGGCTCGTCCGATGGGAACGCCTGCGCTGGAGCTCTGCATGGAGCCGGGCGTCAACACCACACCCGAGGGAACCGACTCCGCGCTCTCCGACGAGGAACCCGAGATCGACAACTTATTCCCCAAGCCAGACTCTCTCACGGTCACGGGGGATAAGATCGACATCGCGTCTCCAGTGTCGTCCATCGGGACAACATACTCGGTATGTCACCGAAAACATTCCCAGTTTAAACTTTACAGGGTTCGTTCGGGGGTGGGGGGATGCTTGGTCTTCCCCAAAACATTATTTTAGTTTAGTTTATGACATCCAAATTTTTTTTTTCCTGTGTTTGTCTTTGTATGTTTGTGTTTGTTTACTGTGTTTTTGTCTGTGTATGTTTGTGTTTGTTTACTGTGTTTTTGTCTGTGTATGTTTGTTTACTGTGTTTTTGTCTGTGTATGTTTGTGTTTGTTTACTGTGTTTTTGTCTTTGTAAGTCTGTTTGTTTACTGTGTTTTTGTCCGTGTACAGGTCCTTCTCAAAAAAATAGCATATTGTGATAAAGTTCATTATTTTCCATAATGTAATGATAAAAATTAAACTTTCATATATTTTAGATTCATTGCACACCAACTGAAATATTTCAGGTCTTTTATTGTTTTAATACTGATGATTTTGGCATACAGCTCATGAAAACCCAAAATTCCTGTCTCAAACAATTAGCATATTTTATCAGACCAATAAAAGAAGTGTTTTTAATACAAAAAAAAAAAAGTCAACCTTCAAATAATTATGTTCAGTTATGCACTCAATAGTCAATACTTGGTCGGGAATCCTTTTGCAGAAATGACTGCTTCAATGCGGCGTGGCATGGAGGCAATCAGCCTGTGGCACTGCTGAGGTGTTATGGAGGCCCAGGATGCTTCGATAGCGGCCTTAAGCTCATCCAGAGTGTTGGGTCTTGCGTCTCTCAACTTTCTCTTCACAATATCCCACAGATTCTCTATGGGGTTCAGGTCAGGAGAGCTGGCAGGCCAATTGAGCACAGTAATACCATGGTCAGTAAACCATTTACCAGTGGTTTTGGCACTGTGAGCAGGTGCCAGGTCGTGCTGAAAAATGAAATCATCATCTCCATAAAGCTTTTCAGCAGATGGAAGCATGAAGTGCTCCAAAATCTCCTGATAGCTAGCTGCATTGACCCTGCCCTTGATAAAACACAGTGCACCAACACCAGCAGCTGACATGGCACCCCAGACCATCACTGACTGTGGGTACTTGACACTGGACTTCAGGCATTTTGGCATTTCCTTCTCCCCAGTCTTCCTCCAGACTCTGGCACCTTGATTTCCGAATGACATGCAAAACTGAGCAACAGTCCAGTGCTGCTTCTCTGTAGCCCAGGTCAGGCGCTTCTGCCGCTGTTTCTGGTTCAAAAGTGGCTTGACCTGGGGAATGCGGCGCCTGTAGCCCATTTCCTGCACACGCCTGTGCACGGTGGCTCTGGATGTTTCTACTCCAGACTCAGTCCACTGCTTCCGCAGGTCCCCCAAGCTCTGGAATCGGTCCTTCTCCACAATCTTCTTCAGGGTCCGGTCACCTTCTCGTTGTGCAGCGTTTTTTGCCACACTTTTTCCTTCCCACAGACTTCCCACTGAGGTGCCTTGATACAGCACTCTGGGAACAGCCTATTTGTTCAGAAATTTCTTTCTGTCTTACCCTCTTGCTTTAGGGTGTCAATGATGGCCTTCTGGACAGCAGTCAGGTCGGCAGTCTTACCCATGATTGCGGTTTTGAGTAATGAAACAGGCTGGGAGTTTTTAAAAGCCTCAGGAATCTTTTGCAGGTGTTTAGATTTAATTAGTTGATTCAGATGATTAGGTTAATAGCTTGTTTAGAGACCCTTTTTATGATATGCTAATTTTTTGAGACAGGAATTTTGGGTTTTCATGAGCTGTATGCCAAAATCATCAGTATTAAAACAATAAAAGACCTGAAATATTTCAGTTGGTGTGCAATGAATCTAAAATATATGAAAGTTAAATTTGTATCATTACATTATGGAAAATAATGAACTTTATCACAATATGCAAATTTTTTGAGAAGGACCTGTATGTTTGTGTTTGTTTACTGTGTTTTTTGGTCTTTGTATGTTTGTGTTTGTTGACTGTTTTTTGGCTTTGTTTTTTATATTTGTGTACTTTTTTGCATGTTTGTTTTTGTTTACTGTGTTTTTTTGCTTTGTATGTTTGTTTGTTTACTGTGCTTTTGTTTACTGTTTTTTGGCTTTGCATTTTTCTATTTGTTCACTGTGTTTTTGTCTGTAATTGTGTGTTTGTTGACTGTTTTTGTCTTTGTAATTTTGTGTTTGTTTACTGTTTTTTTTCTGCCTTTGCATTTTTCTATTTGTTCACTGTGTTTTTGTCTGTAATTTTGTGTTTGTTTACGTTTTTTTGGCTTTGCATTTTTCTATTTGTTCACTGTGTTTTTGTCTTTGTAATTTTGTGTTTGTTTACTTTTTTTGCATGTTTGTTTACTGTGTGTTTTTTGGCCTTTGTATTTTTGTGTTTGTTTACTGTTCTTTTCCTTTCTTTGTATGTTTCTTTTTATGTTTGACAAACTCAAAAACATCATGAAAGTAGCTCATCTGGCTTATATACTATATTTCAAGTCTTCTGAAGCCATATGATGCTTTGTGCAAAATTTAACAAAATTTGGGTCTGTTCCAACACAATTTAAACCTCCTTTTGTGCAAGTAATTTAAAGTAATTTTAGGGTGACCTGTTCCACCATTAATGTGCGATCTTCAAAGACATTTTTTCTTCTCGTTTCTTTAACAGCAGGAGCTGGTAGACCTGTACACACTCAATCTACATCGCATTGACAAAGACGTCCAGCGATGTGACAGAAACTATTGGTATTTTACCCCCATAAACCTGGAGAAACTGCGTAACATTATGTGCAGGTAAAATATAAAGCTGATTGTGATGTTTTTTATATTTTAATTTAATGTATACCATTCAAATGTTTGGGATCAAAGTCTATTATTTGATTAAAAAGTGCATTTATTTTATTAAAAATACAGTAAAAATAGTTAAATATGATTAGAATTTAAAAACAGCTGTTTTCTATGTGAATATATTGTAAAATGTAATTTATTCCTGTGATCAAAGCTGAATTTTCAGCATCATTACTCCAGTCTTCAGTGTCACATGATCCTTCAGAAATCACTCTAATATGATGATTTGATGCTCAAGAAATATTTATGATTATTATCAATATTGAAGTTGTGCTGCTTCGGATTAATGTGGAAACCATGATAAAAAAAATGTTCAGGATTCTCTAAAAAAAATGGAAACTTCAAAAGAACATAAAATATATATATATATATATATATATAAATAAATATAACGTTACAAAAAAATGCTTTTGTCACTTTATCAATTTATTGCATCCTTATTGCTAAATAAATTTGTAATTACTTTGAAAAAAAAATACTTTTGAATGGTAAGAAATAAATCTGCCGCATTATACTTATTTACTTCCCATCTGAAATCAAATGAGAATGTTATCATGTTTTTGTGTCTCAAGTTATGTGTGGCAGCACCTGGACATTGGATACGTCCAGGGAATGTGTGACTTACTAGCGCCCCTGCTGGTCATCCTGGATGATGGTACAATAACCTTAAGTCTTACCCTATTTTCTCCAGTGACCCATATGTTCCGTTTAATTATAAAAATGAATATATTTCCCTCTGAAATCTGATAGGACATATATAACTTGTTGGGGAAATTATTTATTGTGATTTTTTAATTTAATTATTTGTTGAACAATGGTGTATTTTGTCATATTGCTGTTGCCTGTATTTAATAAAAGGAGATTTATTTAATACATTTAATTAATTGGAAGTTTTTTTAGGCACTATGATTCATGTTGTGCCTAAAAAAAACACTTAAAGGATTAGTTCACTTTTAAAAAAACTTTTGCTGATAATTTACTCACCCCCATGTCATCCAAGATGTCCATGTCTTTCTTCAGTCGAAAAGAAATTAAGGTTTTTGATGAAAACATTCCAGGATTTTTCTCCATATAATGCACTTTGCTGGGCACCAAACGGTTCAAGGTCCAAAAGACAGTTTCAGTGCAAACTGCAAACTGTTCAAAGGGCTTTAAACGACACCAGGCGATGAATAAGGGTCTTATCAAGCGAAACGATCGGTCATTTCAAAAATAAATAAACTTTAAGTTTAATAATGTCAAATGCTCGCCTTGCTCTGTTCTGTGTGACTCTCCTGTTCGAACTCGTTCATCAAAATGAACAAATCTTTTTTCGAGTCATTTGGTTCATTTAACGAACGAAATGAACGAATTGACTCGGAAAAAGATTCGTTCATTTTGATGACCGAGTTCGAACAGGAGAGTCACACAGAACAGAGCAAGGCGAGCATTTGAGCTTATAAAACTTAAACTTTGTTATTTCTTTTTAAAATGAAATTTTAAAAATCGCTTGATAAGACCCTTATTCATTTTCTGGTGTCGTTTTAAGCCCTTTGAACAGTTTGCACTGAAACTGTCTTTTGGACCTTGAACCGTTTGGTGCCCAGCAAAGTGCATTATATGGAGAAAAATCCTGGAATGTTTTCATCAAAAACCTTAATTTCTTTTCGACTGAAGAAAGAAAGACATGGACATCTTGGATGAATAAAGGTGAGTAAATTATCAGCAAAAGTTTTTTAAAAAGTGAACTAATCCTTTAAAACATTGTGATTTAAAGTCCCCCTCTGGTTGAAATCCAGCGTTTAATGTTGTTTATATGTCTATGTGGTGTTTTTAATGTGCTTTAAGACAAACCATGTGTAAATTCATAAGTCGACAGCATTGCTGAGTATTTCCTCATTAAAACTGCAGTGAACCAAAGACAGTCTCAAAAACGCGGTTTGAAATCGCTGGTGTTTCTGACGTCACAAACGACCTTGTAACCAATCAGATCAACGTGTGATCGTCAACCAGTGGATCTCTGAGCTGAGTGAGTGAGTGGAGGCGGGGCTCATTTGCATATTCATAAAACCGTGCATACTAAATGAAGCGAGGGTGTCGAGTTACATTCAAGATATTTTAAAGCATTATGAAAAAAATTAAGGACAAACATTTAAATTATGTAAAATTATTGACTACAGGGGGACTTTAACTAACGCAATGTGACCGTTATATTACCAACTGAAAAATATTTCTGAATCATCTGGTTTAAATTTAGAGGCCATGGCTTTCAGCTGCTTCACTGAGCTCATGAAACGAATGAACCAGAACTTCCCTCATGGAGGAGCCATGGACACACACTTCGCCAACATGCGTTCCCTCATCCAGGTTTCCCCCACAATCACACGCACTTATTAAACATGTTTCTGATAGCGTTTTAGTGAGTGTGTGTATGTTTCGGTTTCATGATTCTGTCAAACCTCTTCAGATCCTGGACTCAGAGCTCTTTGAGCTGATGCAGCAGAACGGGGACTACACACACTTCTACTTCTGCTACCGCTGGTTCCTCCTGGACTTCAAGAGAGGTGAGCGCATCGACGCCACACTGCGAAAACATCTGGAATTTCATTCATCATCAAAATGAAAACACTAAGAAATAATCAATATTACATGCTTAAAGGTACAATATGTAGGATTTTTGCAGTAAAATATCCAAAAACCAGTAGGCCAATGTTATATATTTTGTTTAGTTGATTACTTACAATATCCCAAATGTTTCCAACTATTGTAAAATGTGAGAAACAAGGAAACGGGACGTTTGCGATTTTAACCAAGGAAACAGGGCGTGTGAGCAGGGGTGAGGGAGTTGCCAGTCATTGACGTCATATCCGCGTTACCCTCGGTTTCCGCTCGTACTGCCATAGTAACCATGGCGACAGACGTGGACAACTGGGTTAGCCTAGCGGCGCGCTCACGCTGTTGTTGTTTTGTTCAAACATTATGGACCATGGCAAGCAGACTTTGAGACAAAAAGAGGACTAAAACGAGGATCAATATCTTTCGAGATGCCGAGAGCTCCACGTCCGCGACTAACTTCGACTTGACAGAGACGCTACAGACAAAACCATAGGTTATGCACGGGTTAATTTTTACATTTTTGGGATATTTTGCGTCCATAACTTTCAGACTAGTACTAAAGCAAACATCCAAAATACACATACGGTTTTATTACGGTATATTGCATTTTATTAATTTGCATCTAGATTTCAATAATCATACATGTATTTAAAGAGTTTTTTCTCCACTTCAGTATCACACACACACACCAAACTTAACAGATTTATTCCTGTATATATTCTGAAGGTTTTTACTGAGGGGTTTGTTTGTTCAATGTTCATATAATCATTTGCCTGATTTTATTACTAAAAACATGGTAATAATGTTTTTTCTTCTTCACTTCAGCACCACTTAAACTAAACTTTACAGATTTATTCCAATTTAATTCTGAAGGTTTTTACTGAGGGGTTTGTTCATACATCATTTGTCTGATTTTATACCCTATTTGGTAACACTTTATTTTAAGGTGCTTGTAATAAGCAGTAATTAACAGTTAATAAGACACTTATAAGACCTTATAAGATGCATATAAGCATTAACTAATTATAATAAATAAATAAAATTAAATACATTTCTCAAGTATCAATACATTGCACTTTTAGAACAGCCGAACAAACATAAATGGTAACACAAACTCCCAGTCCCTTAAAAATGTACCTTCCCAAGAGGGAGTAGTTTCCCTGATCTCTTCAGGGCCTGGACCTTTAATTAACCCTTATATGAAGTAGTTAATGCTTATATGCTTCTTATATGCATCTTATATGTATCTTATAAGGTCTTATAAGTGTCTTATTAACTGTTAATTACTGCTTATTACAAGCACCTTAAAATAAAGTGTTACCCAATATTTTATTACTAAAAACAAGGTAAAAAAAATTCTGCCATATCTTTACATTTTTTTAATAAGTAATAAGTAAATAAATAAAGTTTTTTTCTCCACTTCAGCAACACTTACACACACAAAACTTTACAGTTTTATTCCTATAGTATCGAGCCTATATTCTGATTGTTTTGACTGAGGGTTTGGTCATATATAACTTGCCTGATTTTATTTATTTATACTTCATTCATAAAGACGTGGTGAAAATATATATATTTTTCTGGCTGTTGATAGTATTTTCTGATTTATAGAGTGATAAAAAGAAAAATCCCAAATGTAATTCATTTTGGTGCCACTCATGCTGCAAAACTTCCCATTTAAAGAAAACTGATGCACTTAAAGTGAGTGAATCCTTTTTTTTTACCTCTTTTTTAAAGAAATGGTGTATGATGACGTGTTCTCTGTGTGGGAGACCATCTGGGCCGCCCGTTACGCCTCCTCCGAGCACTTTGTGCTCTTCATCGCGCTGGCGTTGGTCGAGCTGTACCGAGACATTATCCTGGAGAACAACATGGATTTCACAGACATCATCAAGTTCTTTAACGGTGAGCTGACTATTAAACGTCTATCAAACGCAGTGATGCAAAATCCCACAATAGCGGAAATTCTTCCACCTATTTTTATGCAAATTTTGGGTTAAAACCGCAGGATGGAAATGCCAAGATGCGTATAACTTCTAAAAATGGGTATAAAAATGTATGAATGATAATTTTTTGTATCCAAAAAGAAGATAAACTACGATTGAAACATTTACCAAATAAATGCCTCTTTATAAATGCCGACTTTGTGATCAGAGGATGCGATTGGACAACGAGTAACCAGTGGACCAATCGCGTCGCAGCATCTTAAAGGGATAGTTCACTTTGAAATTAATTTTTGGTATGTTTTAGCTTACCTCAAGGGCATCCGAGATGTAGGTGTCTTTGTTTCCGCAGTAGTTTCAATTTTGATATTTTTAGGTCAAACCGTTCTTGTCTGTCAGTCAAATAGTGCAGGTCTATGGTCACCACCTCAAAGAGCAGCACAGAGAAGTCCAAATTAAACATGATTTAATGACTCGTTAATGTAAGTACACATTGATGGATGGCCTAAGACACGAAACGAGCGGTTTGTGTGAGAAAACGAACAGTATTTATATCGTTTTTACCTCTTGTAACCACAGCCACGTCCAAGTGATCTGAGGGCGCCGGCGCTTCGGTCTTTTCCGGAAAGCGCCGGAAGTGATCTCTCGCGCGTGTACGTCACTCATTGTTTACACAGAACAGAGATTGTAGGTAAGACGGCTAATTAAAATGGTACTAATTTGCGCTTATCCGGGATGTTTAAACCGTCGTAAATGAAAACAAAAAAAATAAAACAATTGTATGAGTGACGTACACGCGCGAGAGATCACTTCTGGCGCTTGCCGGAAAAAACGGAAACGCCGGCGCCCTCAGATCACTTGGACGTGGCTGTGGTTACAAGAGGTAAAAACAATATAAATACTGCGGAAACAAAGACACCTACATCTTGGATGCCCTTGAGGTAAGCTAAACCATACCAAAAATTAATTTCAAGGTGAACTATTCCCTTTAAATGTTGGTTTGATCATTCTGAAATGCCAAAGTCTGTCATCTGAATGTATAATTTTACTAGGGCTGTCACTTTTGTGAAAAAATCGATTTGAGACATAAGTGTTCATTGAATTGATTGTAAAATCGATGCTCCATGTCTAAAGACGTTTCCATTTTCAACACCAAATATAGGCAAATCCACGGACAACTAACAGGCATTAGGACGAGCGTAAAGAGGGCGCTTGAGACGCACAAGTCAGCAATATTCCTGATGATTTATTGGCGTGAAGTTTCAGCACAATGACAAACAGGAGCGCAACATTCAGGGATTGAGATTAACTCCCTCGACCCGCCAAATGCGGGTATAAATGAACTTTGGCGGGAAACGCTGTCAAATCACGAGCCAGTTTGTTGTGTTTCTATGTTTACTCACTTTGCTGGGGAAGTTCGTGTAAGCCAAATCTGCGCGGATTTAGCGCAAATACGCAACTCGTGATCCTCATGATATATTAAATACAGCGTATCGCACAGAATCTGCTCATTTCTGGCTTACTTGAACACACACGTCACTACGCAACAAATAACGGCGCGCTTGTTCACTTCCATTGAAGTAATAGCGAATATTAAAAAGCATTTAGTTAACAGAGAAGACATTGTTATTCTCCAGCATCCTACATGTTCTGTGTCCTGTATTGATCTGTCCACCTAAAACACATTTTTGGGTACAAAAAAAAAAGGCGATTCCCCATTTTCATTTTCGATACTTGTGTTGGTTGGTCCGATCGATTGTGCAATCGATTTTCGAACGTAAAGTGACAGCCCTAATAATTACCTCCCAGAAGCGTATCGCACGATTGCGTTCACAAACATCAGCATCCGAACGCCAGATAACATGAGGTCACGATTAACTATTTCGTTCCCTTGATTTGCTATATCGTGTGCAGACTGAGGGATTGAGGGAACGAATTAGTATATTGTGCACACATTGTACTTTTTTTTTTCTTGCATGTCATATGCGGGTCATTTATGATGTATGAAAAATAGCCACAGTGGCTTTTGCACCAAAATACCTGTGACTATTTTGGTGCAAAAGCCACTGTGGCTATTTTTCATACATCATAAATGACCCGCATATGACATGCAAGAAAAAAAAAGTGCGCACAATATACTAAGTCGCGCAAGTTTTTTTAATTGCACATCCGAGGCATTTATTTGATAAATGTGTTTCAATCGTAGTTTATGCGCAATCCTCTTCTTGGATAAAAAAAATTCATACATTTTTATACACATTTTTAGTTATGCGCATCTTGGCATTTCCATTTCCAAACACGTGGGATTGAAACTCCTTCTCCAATGTTTATTGCGATATTCCAATTTTGTGCGCATGTTAAACTCCCAACTTTGGATGGAAACATAGCTAACGCCATGCTGTTGATCATTATGTCTTCATCTAGAAATGGCTGAACATCATGATGTCCCGAAGCTGCTGGTCATGGCCCGAGACCTGGTGCACAAGGTCCAGATCCTGATTGAGAACAAGTGAACAACTTCCTTCTCATTCTGCCTACCATCATCCATCTAAAGACGCAATGTGTCTGTTTTTGGCCATTATGAGAAAACAAAACCCTCAGCTACAGTAAATGCCAAACCAGTGTTTTCATCTGCCCCGATTTCATCAATATAAAGAGTATAAATATTGAAATAGGAAGGTGTGGCGGGATATATCAGTGTTTTTTAAATACCCAATAGCCCATTTGAATGGAAAAAATTAAAAAGAAACTTTTTAATGCCCTATACATAAAGTTTATTTAGTCAGATTAGCACTAACATGTCATTGGACTCGAAGCTAAAGACATAAACTACAATTTATTTTGATTTTATGGGGTCTGTAAAAGTAAATATGACTAGAATATATATCAGAGATTAAGAGAGATATTTAAAAAAAACAATGTAGGATACTTGGAGAATAGTTTTATACAAAATTGTGGATATAAACAAATGGCTATGAATTGAAATATATAAACATGATTATGAATGGCAGTGATGTGTGACTCAGATTTTCTAAAAGCACAAAGTATTAAAAATAATGCTGTATATTTATTTATTTTTTAAATGTGTGAAAATTAGACACTCATTATTGCAGAGATGTTAAGCGTACTTCATCACGACACGATATTTGCACGGAAAAATTGACGGCACCTTCTGTCAGGTTTATGGGGATGAACGTGAATTATTGTAATTTTCAGCAGGGTGAAAATCAGCTCATATTTGACCTCTAAATACAAAGAAAAAAATAAGAAATTAAATTTGCATTCTACTTTAGGAGCATTGGGATTATAGTATATTTGCAAAAAAAATATATAGTAAATCATTATTGTAATACATTTTTATTTAAATTGGCAAAAAGGCTGTACGATAAATATAAATACTTGATGTATAAATCTAAATCATAATTCTTTATATAGTCACATTACAGTAATGAAAAAGAAATTATACAGGGATGCACCGATATGAACATTTTGGCCGATACCGATAATTCTTTATATTTGAAAGCCGATAACCGATATATTTGCCGATAAATCTAAATCCAATGTTTTATATCAGCCTGATTACCAAAATAAAAGTCTCACCTTTAAATCCACGTCCCAAACACACAATTATACTGTTCCAATTATAATTTTATGTAGCCGATATTATGACAGACTTGCGCTGCACGTGTTGCACTAAACTGTATTTAATCCATTATTTATTGGCCAAATTTTCTTATTGGAAAGAAAATTATAACATTAAAAATTAACACATATCGTCCGATACCGATATGATAGCCGATATATCGTGCATCCCTAAAATTATACAATAAACACAAAGGAAAAACTAATAAATTAAATTTGCATTCTTTCAAGAGCATTAAGATTTTTGCCTATTTACCAAACTATAGTAAATCATTATTGTAATATTTTTATTTTTATTTTGAGCGAGCCAAAAATGCTGATCTAAATCATAAATGTATATTGCAGTAATGAAGATTTTATTTAGTAAAATGGTCTTAAAAACAGGCTGAATTTTCTTTATGCAAAAAAATAAATAATAATTTCTTTTGATTTTGGGGTAAAATGTGACCACGTTCACTCATTAAGCATCAGGTCAGCATCATTAAGCCCCCCCCCCCCAGCATCTTCGTCACTCAGATAATCAGTTGTGCTGCTACACAATGGCGAACCTCACTCAGTGAACCAACTCTACTGTAAAAACAACCGATATTTTCATTTATATTGATCTTTTTGCCTTAAGTTTCTCTGTTCAGGGACGTGAGTGGTGGGCGCTTGTCATGAAGTTCATGTTTATCTGAGACCGTATATGCCATATAGATGCGCGCGTGTGTGTGTGTGTGTACAGATGTGCTCTACTACCAGCAGCCGAACTTTTTGTATGGTGTCCCAAACTTTTAGCACTTGTTAGATTTGATGTGATTGTAGTAACCTGCTAAAACACGTGTAATCCAGAGCGACTGGATGAAGTGCCAGTGTCATCAACACTAATTCCCCTCCATCTTATTCTCTCTTTATCATCCATCTCTGTATGTATTACCGTTTAATGCCCTGTAACATTAGCTTACATTGAATGATGCTGTATGTAGCTCACAATATAACAATATCTACAAATGTTGGACGTGTGAATTGTAAAAACTTCAACTGATCAATGTATTTGGCTCACAGCCTCAGTGACACGAACTACAGACAACATTAGACACAAAAAGATTTGTTGAAATTGTATTGGAAACCTATATATTTTTATTGTACTCAGTGAAACTATATCGTATATTGTCAGAACTGCGTGCTGCATATGATATAATCTGTATTATAATATTTAATAAATGTATGTGTTGACTGTTTTTCGTGATGGATCATTCTTAATGCGGGTGGGAAAATATAAACATACATAAGTGCCTTCTGTACAGACAATATTAGAAACATTTACAATATACAACATTTAATAACCAACCTATAATGAAATGATGAGCATGATACAAATGAAATACTAATGCATAACATCACAAAATAAATCTTCAATATTGACCTTCAGCACTTTCCTATTTTTATTAACCATTTTTATTCATTTATTATTTTTCTGAAGAATGAAATGGTTCTACTTTTTCAGTAAATATTGACCTTCAGCACTTTCACACTTTTATTAAATATTTTTTCATTTTATTTATTTGTTATTTTTCGGAAGAATTAAATTGTTCTACTTCTTCAGTAAATATTTACCTTCAGCACTTTCCTATATTCTGTTTAATTTATTATTTTTCGGAAGAATTAAATTGTTCTACTACTTCAGTAAATACTGACCGTTAGGACTTCCCTATTTTTATTAACTATATTCCATTTTATTTATTTATTGTTTTTCTGATTAATTAAATTTTTCTACTTCCAGTAAATATTTACCTTCAGCACTTTCCTATTTTAATTACCTATTTTTAATAACTATTTTTTATTTTATTAACTATTTTTCGGAAGAATTAAATTGTTCTACTAGTTCAGTAAATATGGACCTTCAGCACTTTCCTATTTTTAGTAACTATTTTCTATTTTATTTATTATTTTTTTAAATTGACCATCAGCACTTTCCTATTTTTATTAACTTTTTATTTATTTATTCTCTGAAGAATGAAATTGTTCCACATCTTCAGTAAATATGGACCTTCAGCACTTTCCTATTTTTATTAACTATTTTGACGTTTTAAAAGATGACTCATTCTGTTATTGATTAGCAGAAAAGAAAGTGTAAAACTCCAATATTACAGATATTTCTGTAATAATATTTCGTCATATTTATATATATATATATATATATATATATATATATATATATATATATATATATATATAAAAATGTGCATATTTATTTTTTTCAAACATTAAATCAACCGAGTCCCGTTTTGTCCTTGAAGACTTTTATTACGCGGCGGTTGAAATGACGTCATCGCCGCGCGCCACGCGAGACCACGTGGTATCGTTCGGCAAAGTCAAGAGAGATTGCGGAATAAACAGCGAGATCTCCTCTGACAGACGACATTGAACCCGTGAACCGTGTGGTCTCATTGGGATAAGAAGATGAACAGTGTCGGCGAGGGCTGCACGGAGCTCAAGCGCGAGTATGATCAGTGTTTTAACCGCTGGTTTGCCGAGAAATTCCTAAAAGGAGACCGCAGCGCAGATCCATGCAGCGAACTATTCCACAAATACCACACGTGTGTTCAGGTACATATACGTGCATGTGAACAGTTATATATGTGATTGTGAATCAGCCCTCGGAGGTGAGAAAACACTTGCGACTGTATCAAAACCGAGTGAGCTTCCTATAAATCAGCTGTCAATCACTGATGCTCTGGTGTGTGTGTGTGTGTGTGTGTGTGTGTGTGTGTGTGTTTACAGAAAGCCATCAAGGAGAAGGACATCCCTATAGAAGGTGTGGAGTTCATGGGCCCAAACAGAGAGAAACCAGACAGCTGATGGCCTGATGTTCACATGAACGCGTTTTATTCTTTGCTTTACATGAACGAGGACAGATTGTGTTGCATCAGACACAAAGACTGCATCGCTGACTCTGATGGACACATATTTTTGAGACTGTACATTGCTTGTTAAATTATTGAATAGGGATTATTTGAGCATGTTTGAGCTGTCAGCATCACTGAGGCTTTTTAAACATGCAAGGAAATGCATGTGTGCATTAAAATGAAACCAGTTGTGTTTGGTTTGCAGACTGTCTTTAATGTGCCTCAGAAAATATGTTTGTTAATGTGAAACAATGCATGTGCATTATTTTTTTTACTTTCATTATTATTTTAAACGCAAGCCAACAATTATTTCACTTCTGTCCTTAAGGCCATTTTGTTTTAGGAGGGGGGGGGAGTGTAATTAAATACGTCCTTAAGTGAGGTAAATTCATAAGAGTATTCTGCTTGTATTAATCCAGGACAATCCAATAAAATATGTTTGACAGATAAAAATAATTAAAGAATATACATGGATTTCAGGTAGTGATGCATCATGGGAGAAACGAAGCGTTGATTCAAGGGAAAAAATATTCAGTTTCGAAGCTTTTGAAACTGTAAATGCAACAAAAACATGAATAGAAGCGCGATTTACACACGAATCGCAATTTTTTAATCAAAGTGTAATTATTAATATCGTTAAATATGAAAAGTCTGTATAATATGTGTTGTTTTATTACTGTAGTCTTGTTTTTGTTTTATGGAGAGCTTGGTTCAGGCCAATAAGAGATCGACTAATTAAATGTCTACAGTACACATTTATATAACTGATTAGATGAGAATCCATAAATCATATAGACACGGATCCATAGAGATCGATCAATAACCGTCGAAACTAAGCATCGTTTACTGGAATCACGTGACTCAGTTTGATCAATATGCGATCTGAATCAATCACTGGTTCAAAATATGATTCGCAAATGTTTTTCGAAGCTTCAGAAAGAAACGCGCCCATCAAAAAGTAAAGAATAAACCATATTTGCACGGATCCATGGTTTCAGAGAGACCAATAACCGTTAAAAATGTCGAAACAGTTATCAATACTGGAATCACGTGACTTTGGTAGTTTGATTGAAACGCGCTCTGAATCAATCACTGATTCGAAACATCTGATTCGCAAACAGAAAGACCAGTAAAATAACAAGTTATCATCAATTTTAACTATTAACAGAGCCCGTCTAACGGACATTCTCTGCTATTAACAAATAATAAATGTATTTTAACATGTACACCCATTCACTCTTATTCGTACGTGGTAAATGTTTATTGTATTAAATTATTCAGCTTATATTTTACATTCAACACGAAATTTGACTAGAAAGTATAATAGTTTGCATCACTGGATATAACTGTTGATCGTTTATTATTTATTTATATAGTAAAACAGCTATTTAAATCTTACCTCGCATTCGCACTCTTTCACCGTCAAACACTGAAGCCGAGCTGAAATTCGCGCGGTTTCTATGAAGAGTGACGGGGAAACTAAGCCCCGCCTTCTTTGATTTAATTGGCCATCCCTCATTTTTTTTACGTTAATGAGCTCAGTTTTTATTTATTTGATTATTTATTAAAGGTTTATTCCAACAAAATATACATGTAACATTTCGAAATATACAAACTTTTCTCATATAATGCTCTAAAGAATTCCATAACATTTTTAACATCAGGTATTGATTGTATATAATGAACTGAGGATAACTTTCATATTCAAAGATATTAAAGAAAAATATATTCACATATTAGGGAGGAAGAAAACAAAACAAATAAAAGGTAACATAAAAGGGTATAGGTGTATGCTCAAAATAAAAAAAGAGGAATTTAATTCTTTGTAAATTAACATGTTTTCTCTATGTTAGTGTAACTTCTAACACTTTGACATTAACAAATCCGTGATGTACAGAATCCAACACATTGTGTTATTTATTGAAACCTAATTAAATCTGTGGTGTCATATCAGTACACTAATGGAACATATCTATTGGGACTAATTAAAAAAGTGTGATTGTGTTAATTAATTAGCCTGTAATGGGCTTCACTTGTGATCATTTGGTACTAACCCTTGAAATTAAAATGATTAACGTTTTTCTGTACAAATGGCTCAGATAAGACAAAGAACATTTTACGTTTTAAATTAGCAATTTCTCAATAAATTGAAATATTGAGAGCTCAGCATAATTAATAAAATATTAACTGCTATAGAAAACCCCGTAACAGACAACTAAAGATGAAATTTAATTAATGCTCATTTTAACATTTACTGACAATGCCTGTTAACATTGATGCATCATTTTAATTAATTCATTATTTTAAAGTATTACTGATAATTCAATGACTTGATTTTTAACTCCAAATTTCCTGTTTTTCCATTATCTGTTATGGTTTCCGTTATTCCTGCAAAACGGCGGTGTGTAAAAATGACTCGCGATACATTGTGGGAGTAAATTTGACTTGATGCTTTAATTGAAAAAAAAAAAAAAATTATGCATACAGTCATCACATAATACAAAACAAACCGAAAAGAGGAAAAAAAAAAATCACATAGGGGGAAATTCCAGAAAGAAACATTTTAAAAATTCCAGCCTTTTATTCAAATCATAAAAAAGTCATGTTTATGAAATAGACCAGATTAATCACAAACAGCACGTCTTTAATATCGCCTCATGTCAATCACAAAGGACAAAACGGGTTATTCATCACAACCGCATCTGTTCTGAAAACACACACGCATTATCATCCACATGAGCATTTACATATTCGCATGAACTGAACGGTGAATAAGGCCATTCGGGTTCCTAAAATGGAATGTAAATTACAAAATTGAGAAAGGAAAAGAGGGGGTGACGGCCGAGAAAAGGAGCTGGCGCTCATCGATAGTGGCGTGGCGGCGGGCTGTGATGCTGGAGGGGGGGGCGGCGGGAGGGCGGGCTATGGCGGGTCATGTGACGCGGTGGCGATCGGTACCGGGGGGGCGGAGACCCTCTGCTCTGGTACGCGGGCGAGTAGCGTCCGCGAGACCTGGACCGGGAACGCGAGCGACCCCAGCTTGTGCCTCGCTCCTCCATGACTCTGATGTAGGCCGTCTCTCCCTGCACAACAAACAAGATGGACTGTAAATCAGGGCCCATATTCATAAAGAATCTCAATGCAAAGAGTAGCTCCTAGTGACAAAATTCTAAGAAAATTCTTAGAAATGTGGGCGTTTATACTTAAAATTAAAGAAAAAATCCTAGTACAGAAAAAAGTAATTCAGAAAGTATCTTAACCCTTAAAAGAGGTCTTAAGGTCAAAATTGTTAGGAGAACGGACGAGGACTTTTAAGAGGCTTAAGAGTTTCTTTAGCAGAGGAGAAATGGCAGAAAGACCAAGAGGGAGAAGAAATGTGATGCAGACGATGGATGACAGTGAGTTAATAAGACGCTATAGATTGACACCCGGCCCGAATTTTCCTTTAAGGATGGCCTTGTGTTCATCCACTAACTCGGCTAACAGTAAACACTGTTCCTCTGTCCAGTCTGGCTTTCTCGTCCTTGGTTTTGATTCCATGTTTGTTACATTAAAACCAACATTGAAACCACCACTTAAATAGACATGCCAGCAATCAGTGTAATTGGAAAGAGTGGAACAATTCTAAGCCAATCAAATACCTTATACAGGAAATTAACAGCATGGTAAATAAAAAAAAAGGATTTATATACACATATATAATGTGTGTGTGTGTGAGAGAGAATGGTCAAATAGGAAGAAATACGCATGTAATTTCAAAGTGAAGGCTTAGATTTAGACCCTATACTTAAAATCACTCTTTTTTTCCTTCTTGGACAACCAACCAATCACAGTCTTCAAAAGATTGTCACACACATAGCAACGGGGTCAGCCCCGCCTGCTTACTAAGATGAAAGTTTTTGTCTTTTCCTTACTCAGAGTTGCTCTCAGATCGGTCCCGAATCGCTCTTAAGCTAAGACTCCTACATAAAAGTTTTTAAGTTAAATTAAAAGTTTTCTGAGAGGATTCTTAGAATCTGTATGAATACGGGCCCAGGGGTATTATCGCTAACTAAAACTGGAGCTGTTAACGTTGTTTATATGCAGTGTTGTGGGTTACAGGTTACAAGTAACTCGAGGTACGTAATCAGATTACTTTTTTCAAGTAACTAGTAAAGTAACTTTTCAATTTACAGAGTTACTTTTTTTTGTGATCAACTTTTTTTTGTATTTAGAAATAGAAAATTAAAAAAAAATCCACTCAAACAAACAGACAGGGAAGGAAGGGGGAGCAACAGACATTATCAAAAATTAATAACAATATGAAAGAAAAAATATAATTCCCTTATATAATCCAATATTTTGGAAGAAAAACATTGCCATGCATCCATGGTACTAGGTTTAGCCTTGTTAATTCGTGCTGTTGTACATTCACAAGTCACTATTTTGTGGAGGCTATGAATCCAATATGTTTTTGCACACATGTGTGGAGTAATCCAGTTCTGTATTATTGTCTTCTAAACCCAGCAAACAACATTATTTTTTGCAATGAACTTATAAAGGAGTCAGAATCATCATTGAGAAGACATAAACCTGGATTAGACATGTAATCAATTTGTTATAAGGAGGACAAAACCAAGTTTACATTATCCCATATGTTGACAACAATTGGACACTCCCAAAACATAGGAAGAACTGAGTTACTTTTTTCAAAGAAGTAATGCAAGTTACTTTGCTTTCCCATGACTGACAGCTTTTCTGTCCCCATGCTGAGAAAAATCGTGAGTAAATGCAGAGGTGTTGTATTTGAAAATGATGTTTATTGTAGTTCTGGACTAAATGTGAGCATGTATTTACTCGTCTCACGTGCACAAAAAAAGATTCAGTATTCCTCAAAATGAATAAAATCAGTGAAATGCAAAACAGAATATTAAGCAAACCTCCAATAATGTTAAATAAAACAAATATTATTATGCATTTAAATCTCACTTTATTGACCAATGTACTTACTGAACTTGTTTTTATTGGTGAAGTAAGAGTTAAACTTTCTTGCATCCTATTCATGGCAGCATCAGCTGAAAGGTTTGTTTGAGCGGCGCACCTTACAGACGTAAATTTGCATTTCCTTCAGCCTTATTATTAAAAATGTTGCCCCTTTACATTTGCCCAAAAATAAAACTTTTTTGTTATAAAAAAAAAAAGCCCAGCCCAAGTGAGTAACACAAAAGTGACTTTACTTTTCTTAAAAAGTAACTAAGTAACGCAATTAGTTACTTTTTAAGGGAGTAACGCAATATTGTAATGCATTTCTTTTCAAAGAAACTTTCCCCAACACTGTGTATGTGTCTATGTGGTGTTTTAATATGCTTTAAAGCAACACCAAGTAACTTTTCCTCTGCGGTCGCCCTACAGGTTGGAAGCGGAATTGTCCATTACCGCTGTCGTAAATAATTTAGCCTAGCGCAGCCTACTGTCGCACACACGCTCGCTGTTTATCCAGCGCCGGCTTTGGAATGAACGATGTCCACAGACAAGCTAGAGTATGTCGCATGATTCATGAAAGTATGATGCATTGCGACATCAGAAACGAAGAAAAACAAAATAATGACTATTGTAACGCTTGACGTAAAGCAAGTCAAATTTGTAGTTTTCTTATGTCTCATTAGAACTACAGAAACGCGACCCGATCTTGCAATTTTACATAGCGTGGTTATAGCAGATATAGGACCGCAAAGCAGAGGCAGAAGTGCCTTTCACCCTGTTACGACTTAATGAACCACTGAAACGAGTTTGGAAACATTATTTTAAGGTAAAAAATCTTACTTAGTGTTGCTTTAAGACACACCATGTGTAAGTTCATAAGTCGACAGCATTGCTGAGTATTTTCTGCTTAAAACTGCAGTGAACCAAAGACAGTCTCAAAAACACGGTTTGAAATCGCTGGTGTTTCTGACGTCACAAACGACCTTGTAACCAATCAGATCAACATGTGATCGTCGGGGGGCGAGATTTTGAAGTCCAAAAAAAATACACCCATCCATCATAAAAAAACAAAACTTGAGGGACGAACCGAACATGTCTGAATTTGCACACTCAATCAATGCACTTCTCATAGTGCACGTTTCCCAGACATCCCAACCTGCTAAAAGTAATTTCAGGGAGGTATTAGGCTTGCTACGGTAGTCGGTGTTACCGGTGTTCAGGCGCAACACCGGTTTCATCACTTGTCCACCGCGACACCGAGAAAAAAAAAAATATATCGAGGGCTTGGAGCCAGAGGGGCGTAAGTGGCTTTTGACCAACTTTACAGGAGAGACAAAACAAAATTTTGACCACACTTCAATCACCTGTATCATTAACCTTAAACCACAAACATTGCAACCACAGGCATACTTACATGAATGAGTATTTAAGTAAAAAATGTATGGCATATTAACACAATGAACATGTTCTAAAACATTTTAAAATAAAAAAATATGTCAAAAACGTCAGATACGCCTTTTTGGCACCAAACATTTCCAAGTCTTCTATGGACATATTGGGCGTATCTGCTGAACAATGCAGAAAATAATTGATAAAAAGGGGAATTGATTGAATAATTAACACTTGAATCACACTTGAACAAGTAATTATTTTTCATTTAACTCATTCATTATTTTTTTTATTTTTTTTTCACCTTTCCATTCTGGGCATCTGCTGAACACTACAGACTGTAATTAAAGTCACTGAACTTGCTAAACACACTTCTGATTGGCAATTCATGAGTTGTTCAATTGATTTCATTACAATTCTTTTTTTTTCAATACTCTATTCAATTGACAGTTCTCTCATGTTCTTTTTGCTTTTTAGTTCTTTTCCCTCACCTTCCTTCCTGGAACATGAATGCCATGTGAATTAATGTACCCTTGGCCAGAATTTCTTAACCTTTTACGTTGGTTTCTTTTCCAATTTTCAACATCTCTCTGTCTTTTTCTTCCTTTTTGTGGTGTGTTGGCATCCTCTTCCTGGCCACTTTCAACCCCTCCCTCCTAAACAGGCTCAATGTCTACTGTCTCAGTCCCTCGATCTTCTTCTGTCTCCATGTGTCCCTCATCAATTGCATGATCTGTGTCCCTGCCTGTCTCTCTTTCCCCATCTTCTGCTGTCTACATGTGTCCCTCATCTCTCTCCCTCATCTCATGCTGTGTCCCTAAATTATATAATTAATATTTATTAATATCCTACATGAATGCCCTGATACTAATAATTCGGGGTAAGGATTAGATAAGGTAATGTTCTAACTTATTTTCTATGCAAGTCAGAACTCACTTCCTCCATCTGTCTCCATGTGTCCCTCAAGTTGATCTCTCTTCCTCACCTCATGTGGCTGGTCATGATCATGTCCCTTAATGATTAACACATTAATATTTATTAATATAATATCCTACATGAGTGCCCTGAATCTATTAGTTCAAGGCTAGGGTAAAGTAGATTATGAGAAAGTTCAAAAGAATATTCTCTGTCAGAACACAGGCACAGTTAGCCAGATCAGACCAAACCAATGGGATTAACGTTAGCCATGCTAGGCTAGGCTAACAAGGTAAGGCTCTCAAGGCATGATTATGTCTTACTGTCATCACTCTTGTGAGGAAATGCATTCAAACAACTCTGACTCATCTTCAACTTCTTCAATATACACTCACCTAAAGGATTATTAGGAACACCATCCTAATACTGTGTTTGACCCCCTTTCGCCTTCAGAACTGCCTTAATTCTACGTGGCATTGATTCAACAAGGTGCTGAAAGCATTCTTTAGAAATGTTGGCCCATATTGATAGGATAGCATCTTGCAGTTGATGGAGATTTGTGGGATGCACATCCAGGGCACGAAGCTCCCGTTCCACCACATCCCAAAGATGCTCTATTGGAGATCTGGTGACTGTGGGGGCCATTTTAGTACAGTGAACTCATTGTCATGTTCAAGAAACCAATTTGAAATGATTCGAGCTTTGTGACATGGTGCATTATCCTGCTGGAAGTAGCCATCAGAGGATGGGTACATGGTGGCCATAAAGGGATGATCATGGTCAGAAACAATGCTCAGGTAGGCCGTGGCATTTAAACGATGCCCAATTGGCCCTAAGGGGCCTAAAGTGTGCCAAGAAAACATCCCCCACACCATTACACCACCACCACCAGCCTGCACAGTGGTAACAAGGCATGATGGATCCATGTTCTCATTCTGTTTACGCCAAATTCTGACTCTACAATCTGAATGTCTCAACAGAAATCGAGACTCATCAGACCAGGCAACATTTTTCCAGTCTTCAACTGTCCAATTTTGGTGAGATCTTGCAAATTGTAGCCTCTTTTTCCTATTTGTAGTGGAGATGAGTGGTACCCGGTGGGGTCTTCTGCTGTTGTAGCCCATCCGCCTCAAGGTTGTGCGTGTTGTGGCTTCACAAATGCTTTGCCTGCATACCTCGGTTGTAACAAGTAGTTATTTCAGTCAAAGTTGCTCTTCTATCAGCTTGAATCAGTCGGCCCATTCTCCTCTGACCTCTAGCATCAACAAGGCATTTTCGCCCACAGGACTGCCGCATACTGGATGTTTTTCCCTTTTCACACCATTCTTTGTAAACCCTAGAAATGGTTGTGCGTGAAAATCCCAGTAACTGAGCAGATTGTGAAATACTCAGACCGGCCCGTCTGGCACCAACAACCATGCCACGCTCAAAATTGCTTAAATCACCTTTCTTTCCCATTCTGACATTCAGTTTGGAGTTCAGGAGATTGTCTTGACCAGGACCACACCCCTAAATGCATTGAAGCAACTGCCATGTAATTGGTTGATTAGATAATTGCATTAATGAGAAATTGAACAGGTGTTCCTAATAATCCTTTAGGTGAGTGTAGGATTCATCAGTTTGTTTCATAATATTCATCAAAATCGTTTCTGCCTCAGACAGTTCCATGTCTGCAGTTGTGTCAGCCATTTTGAATGCAGTTTAAGGGCACCAACTACACTTACGCCCTTCTGGCTCTGAACAAAAATGTGGGTCCTACATGTATTTTTCAGAGCCAGAAGGGCGTAAGTGGACTTACGCCCTTCTGGCTCCAAACATTACTCACACTTTTGTGTTAGGTCTGTATTGTTTTGTTGCTTTATTCAATACAGTTTGATCTCAGATAGGTCTTTTTGGCACAACTAGATAGAGCTCATCAAGACCTTTAATTTGATATATAGAACTCATTTTCGCCCAAAATGCCACTTACGCCCCTCTGGTTCCAAGCCCTCGATATAGGCATATATTTATATATTTAACGCAATTACGCAGTATCCGTTTTTTTCTGTCACCCGTTGACTACCGTTGTATGATCACGCTCTTATTAATGTGAATGATATTAAGCGCGACAAGACTAAAGAGACCGCGCTGTCCTGCCTACACACACACACACGCGCGCCCGACCCACAGAAAAGACGCGCGTCAGTATCGAGTTCTCTCTCGGGCTTGAACAAACCATAACACACACAAATTATGCCAAAATGTCAGTTTTGTCGAGTGTCCTCATAAGAGCAGTCTTAAATGATTTAAATAAAGTCTTAAATTAACGTAGAGATTTTGAGAAAATGGGACGCGTGTCGATCGCGTCTCTGTCAGCAGCGGCTGGTCTTAAAGTGTCATTAAAGTTAAACAAAGAACAAAGGTAAGAGAGTAACGTTAAATGACTCACTCAGACCCGGAGCCAGGAGGATTATTACACCGGCAGCCTAATAATCATGAATGCACACTGCTATCTTTAACACATCTCCGGCGAACGGCTTCTTCACGCAAAAGTAAAACTCTTCATGAAGCGCAGTGAAATTCAGCGACCTATATGGCGTTTCCTGATGGATCGAGGTTGTTCGTTAACTTAATTTTATACATGCAACTCACGTAGCCATATGACACTGACAACGTGCTGACAGACAGGACCGAGCAGGTAATATTTAATATGAAACAAAGTCTCAACTTTCAAATTTGGTCAGTCAAAGAAAATTAAACAATAGGCCTACCGTTTTGTGGCTCTAATGTGTCGTGAGAGATTGCCTCAGTTAAAGACAAGTTCAAATCCACCGACGCTAATGTATATAAGTGAAAGTGAAGTGCACACTGCTGCACCAGCTTTTTATAAGCGATGTAAAAAAAATCGGTGTTCTCGTTTTCAAATGAGTGGCAATTCAGCGCACAATAACAAAACAGTGTTGCTCCGCACGAGCACCATTATGCATGCATGCCCGTGCAAACGCGCGCATTTTACATGTGCCTTTAAATTAGCGATTTAAAAGCCCCCGCCGGTGCTAGCGGTATTACCGGTGTTGTAACACGTCGATTAACCGGTGTGAAAAAATCCTCACCGTCACATCCCTAGGAGGTATCCCGAAGAGATAAAAGCCTGCCCAAAATAGCCGCGTTTCCATTACCCTTCTAATTGCGCAAATTGAAAGTGCGAATTGAAAATACGATTACGCACAATTGAAACACGTCAATTTCGCCCAAAAAAAGTTTTTACGCTCGCATGAGGAGATTTCAGGCAATCCGAAAAAGGAATATTTTGAAAAACTGTAATGGAAACAGTTTTTGCGCATTTACAGTCGCCTGACGTAGATGACGCGGTGTGTGTGGACAGAATACGAGACAGAGTTCTTTATTATATTCATAAAAGACAAAAGAATTACAGGAATACTGGATTCTAAACCTCAAAGAAATGCCACAATCAAGACCAAATGAGGGAGAAACACAGAGAAACTCCTCATATGAGCCGAAGAGTCTTTCCTTGCCATTAATGCTGGATAACACACACACACACGTCTCCTTCCATTAATAATAATAATGTCTAGTGCGGTGGCTCTGATATATATATAAACCTACCAACGCCCGTTGCCATGATTTTGGGAATGACTTAGAGGAAAAAATTACGTTTTAGTCGTGTAACATCGGTTAATGGAAACGCCGTCATTTTGCAATCGTTTTTTATCAATATTTTGAAAAAAAAAATCGCAAAAGTTTTGTGCAAATCTGTAATGGAAACACGCCTACTGACAATTGATTGTTTGATTTACCGAAACAGGCCAATCAGGATGCTCTCTGTCTTACATGCGCTTCATGAGGCACACACTCTCGCTCCCTCTCCCTCTCTGCCGTGCGCACGCTACACGGTTTGGAGCTCAGTCTCGCATGCGCACTCGCTCTAGATTCCGGGAGATTTTAACTAATTTGCGGGCATCAGGGAGCCTCTATCAATATGCGTGAGAGACTTTGGATTAGGGATGGCGAAAACTAAAAAAATTCTTGCCCGACCACCGAGCCTCATTAGCCGGTTGAAACCGGTTAACCGATTAGTTTCAAATATGCTACGCTATTAGAAATAACAGCCATTTCGAGCCGCGTCTCCAATTTCGCAACTCTGTCGCATCTCTCTGCTCACACACACACTATAATAGTCTCTGAGCGCTGTTCGTCACATTTCCTACCAGCTAGCATAGATGACACGGTAGGTTGGCTTTGGCGGGTGTCGCGTTTTCAGGTGATACATCATAGATGATGTGCTACTACTGTATTTAAGCACTGTATCACACAAGTTGCAACTTACATCTGTGTCATTCTTTTTGGTGAAATGGTCCCACACACTACTTTTCTTTGCACGCTTCCTCCTGTCGTCTGCCCTGGCTCTAACCTCGAGTGTTTTAGCCTGTAGCCTTTACCTTTCGCAAACCTTGTGAGGTTTTCGCAAACCAAATGTTTTTATTGGTTTATTAAGTACAAACAGGCGAGTTATGAAATATTGAGTGTGAGGGATTTGTTCACTTCACACAAAAATATCTTGGAATGAAATGGCTAACTGTAGTAGCGTTTAGTCCACTGTCTATAATAGCTTAATTTAGAGATACCGACAACTTTGATCGGTTAACGTTGATACGGTCAACCATCGGTCAACATCCCTACTTTGGATGTCTGGTTTCCTCACCTGGTGTGATCTGAACTCTGTGCTGTCCAGACGCCGCAGTGCGTACTCCATGTCCTCACGTCTGAGGAACTCAACCACGCCCTCGCCGTCACGCTGCACGTCAGCGAAACACACGTCTCCAGCCTCACGCATGTGGTCTTTGAGGTCCTGCCAGCTGCCAGTGGGAGGAAGACCTGCAGGAAAGGTTTTTATTATGTTCATCAACCCATCTACAAAACACTTCGAGAGTGCTGTAAACATTTGTGTATTATGCATGTAAACAAATTAAAGTCAAGCATTCACAATCCATTATGATTATCAGTAAATAAAAAGTATCACATTTCTATGGTTCTCAGAAGCAAAAGTCGTCACAGTTGGGTGAACTTATATAGTGTTTAGGTTTAGGAGTGGATGGCTGACTCATATTTTTGATTTTCCTTATATTCTGTGTGGTGGTCAGTTCACAGCAGTGACAGAAATCATCTTTTCCAATTAAATATTAGCAATGCTGAGGAAACGCAGAAGCTGCATTTAGATGCATTTACACTGTTTAATGCAGCGACACAGATGCGTTTAACCTGCACTGACACATGCATAAATAATGTTGTGAATAATTAGACATAAAGCGCTGAATATTTATATTTTGAAATAATTTAAAAAAAATTAAAAGATACTTTAAATTTGAAATTAAAACCGCCACTAGGAGACAGCGAGTCACTGTTAATGAGTCATTGACATTCAACCGATTCATTCAAACGGCTTATTCATTCAAAAACGACTCTTAATGAGTGAGTCATTGAATCATTCAATCAAGCGATTCGTTCATTCAGTAAGGAAATACAGGTGTTGCTCAGAGATGCAAAACTGTCCTGTGGTTTTGTTTGGAACTATTTTTGTTGTCGAATTAAGCAAAAACAGGAAATACTGTGTCTAAAATGCAAGTCACTTAATATTAACAACTTGTTTATTGAACTGTTGTATAAAATCAATATCACATTTGTAATCATGCTGATATTTAGAGAAAAAAACGGCACTCTTCGTGTGACATCCATTAAAGTCCCCCTGTGTTGAAAATCCAGCTTTTAATGTTGTTTATGTGTCTAATATGGTGTTTTTAATCTGCTTTAAGACAATCCATGTGTATGTTCATAAGTCGACAGCATTGCTGAGTATTTTCTGCTTAAAACTGCAGTGAACCAAAGACAGTCTCAAAAACACGGTTTGAAATCGCTGGTGTTTCTGACGTCACAAACGACCTTGTAACCAATCAGATCAACGAGTGATCGTCAACCAGTGGATCTCTGAGCTGAGTGAGTGAGTGAGTGGAGGCGGGGCTCATTTGCATATTCATAGAACCTTGTATACTAAATGAGGCAAGGGTGTCGAGTTACAATCAAGCTATTTTAAGGCATGAAGAATTTTTTGTCCTAAGAAAAAACATTTAAATATGTAATTTTGGTGATCAAAGAAGATTTAAGGGGTCAAATTATTGACTAGGGGGGACTCTAAAGGACATACAGAGGTATTTTTGCCCTTATCTTGAATATTGAGGGCATTATAAATGCATTTTAATAGAGTAAATCATGCAGTGAAAGCATGCACACTAAATGCACAAGCGCACTAGTCAAGACTACATAACGTAGTGTGTTTTTGTGAGGGACATACTTGATAATGTCAGATCGCACATCATTGAAACAACAATCACGATATTATTGTAGACGATATTTATCGCACACCCCTAAAGTCATGTTGATTTAAGTGAAGGTGCCACAGTCTCAAATCTGTTAACTCACCGGTTACAATAACACGAAACTCAGATCTACGTGTCGGGGGCCCAAACCTTCCCCGTGGCCCTCCTCCTCCTCCTCCTCCTCTTCCACCTTCTCCTCCTCCTGAAGGTCCACTAAATTTGGATCCGGAAGAACGAGGGTATTCCACACGCAGCTTACAGTCTCCAAAAGCATATCCATTCCTTCCAAAGACCGCATCCTCGGCATCCCTAGAGGAAGAGAGGAAAGTGCTCCTAATTTTCGTTCTACACTTGAAAAAGCCTCGTCCATGAGCTCTCTGAGGCCGTGCGACTCACCGTGGATCCTCAAATCGCACAAAGGCAAACGAGATGGTGCCTCTGTTGTTCTTCAGCTCAATATCCCGAATTTTTCCATATTTGTAGAAGAGATCCTCAATGTCCCTCTCCTGAACTTCCATGGGAAGGTTTCCCACGTAGATCCGTCCGTCCGACATGGCTTAAACCTCGCTGGACCTGCAGCCTTCGAGGAAAGAGAGCGTTTTTTTCCGGGTCAGGGTGTTTAAAACATCCAAACTCTAGTCCGTTCTTCTAAAAGCCACTATTTACAACTCTAAACTCTGGTGGAAGCAGTGCATGTCGAGCTCAAATAACCCAGCAGAGGACCTTCTCCAGGATCACAGTCTGAAAACTTAGAAACACAGGATTATCATTCAATATCAACATACATGAGGGTCAGATGAGGAACAAGGGACTGAATGATGCTTCCAATCGACCACAACACATTTGAATAACGTCTAAGCAGCACATGTGAGCATGATTTAAATGGTGATTTACATTTTTGTAGGGAAAATATCATCTCATTTTGACATAGAACACGTATTAGGCTACCATACGTTAAGCCAAGATCTAGAAAAACTATTTTTAAAATGTTATAAATCATTCAACACAAACATTGTAAAACATTTTGTAATGAGCAGGGCATTATGAATGACTCTGGTATTAGCTTATGGGCTTTGTAAAGAGAATAACTATACAAATATGTAAAAAAAAAAATTTATTAATAAAGGAGTATGTTCAATAAAGGAGTCAAATGCAAATGACTGGAGGAGCCATGACAGCTGCTAACAGTGCTAACATCTCTCATCTCTTCTAATGTTGTTAAATTGCCCACGCAATTTAAAATATAAACCTAGATTCGTTAATTTATACTAGTATATATAATAACCACTTAAATTAGGCATAAAATTGTCATATTTAAGTATTGTTTAGTAACAATACAACACAATGACATTAGCATACTAGCTGCTAGCTCCTTTGTTGAGACCAACTGCTCAGAGCAAAATGACAAAACACGAGCAAAAACCGAGGTCTGCATTTTCCTCATGCGCGAATGTGTTTAAAGATTAAATATAAGGGAAATTTATAGTTTGATTTACCTTAATAAATTGAAGCTCGTATTAAAAAACCGAGGATAAACAGGCGCACGCGCTTCCCCTCCCCGGATCAGGAAGTGAGAGAATCTAAATTGCGCCCCTTCAGGCGGAAACACGCAAGTGCAGGAAACCGCTGAAACCTGTGAGCGCGCAGCGACACACTGACAAAACACGAGCACATCCGTGTAGCAGGGATAAATAAATATATAAAGTATATAAATATAAAGTTATTATAATTAAAAATTCTATAAAATGTTATTATATAAGGTAAAATACTTTTTATAAATGTCATTAAAGTAACATAAAATAATATAACATTTTGTTATAGTTAAAATTAAATTAAATGTAATGATAGTTCAAATAAAATAAAATATTATATTAAAAAAAATGTCATTATAGCTTAAAGAAAATAAAAGCCAATACTAAAATAATGTTATTACAGTTAAAATAAAATACAAATGTTATTATAGGTATATAACTCAAATAAAAATATAAAATCTCATCAAAATGTCAAATGTCATTGGTCAAATAAAATAAAAGATATTATAGTTAAAAAAAAAAAAAAAAAAAAAATGTCATTAAAATGTCATATTACATATTTAAAATAAAATATTTTTTTAATTATAGCTTAAATAAAATAAAATAAAATGTTATTATGGTTAAAATAAAACATAAATAAATAAAATGTCATTATAGCTCAAATAAATAAAATAAAATGTTATTATAGTCTGGATAAAAAAAATATAGGCCTAATGTTATTATAGTTAATAAAATAAAATAAAATTCAGTTATTTAAAGTATATCATACACAATGTTTTGCAAAAATAAAATGCATAAAGAAACATAATATTTTTAATATCCCATTAAATCAAATTGTCCATGATAATTGACAATTCCATTTCATGGGTTATTATAACTAAAACTAAACCAGAAATAAGGCATTTTTGTAAAAAAAATAAATAAAGAAATAAAAAATCAACATTTCTCATTTTTATTTTTGTTGTAACATGCATGTCCTAAAATAACGAAAACTGAAATATATATAAATAATTATTGATTATTTCGAGGTTTCAACACAAGTCTAATGTTCACTGTCTGTCACAACCTTGACATGAGCGGGGTGTGTGTATTGACCACATCAGACGATTCATAAAACACTGATGAAACAACATCTTTTCATGGTTTTATTAAATCCCAAATGGGTGCGTGACCTTCCATTGCTCTCTATACTGACAGTTTATCATTTATAAACATCAAACCAATAGCAGAACAAAGAACTGAGAGGTTGTTCTCCGTCAACAGCAGAACCGGTTCACGAGCGCTATAGATGTCCATCAATTCCATTGAGCACTGTTATGTTATCTCTGTCTTTGGCCCGTGATTTCTGGGATCATTTAATGTGATAAAGCAATGCAACAAGGACTGATCAGGTATATATGGAAGCTTGTTTCCGAATGAAAAATAAAAAGGTAATTGCGACTTTTTTTCTCACAATTGCGAGTTTACATATCGCAATTCTGATTTTATTTCTCAGAATTGCTAGATATAAAGTCAGTATTGCGTGTTGTAAAGTCAGAATTGCGAGATATAAAGTCAGAATTGATTGATAAAGTCGCAATTGCGTGTTATAAAGTCAGAAATGCGAGATATAAAGTCAGAATTGTGAGATATAAATTCTGAGGGGGGGGGGGGGGGGGGGAGTTAGTCTTTTTTCCTTAGAATTGGCCTAATAACACACAATTGCGAGTTTATATCTCACAATTCTGAGAAAAGATGTCAGAATCTCGAGATATAAACTCGCAATTATGTGTTATAAAGTCAGAATTCCGAGATGTAAACTTGCTGTGAGATAAAAGTCTCAATTCTGTCTTTTTTTCTCGCAATTGCGACTTTATTTCTCAGAATTGCGACTTTATATCTCGCAATTGTGACTTTATTAAACAAGCTCAAATCTTTTATGACATCATATGGAATTGATGACATCATATTAAGAATTATTTCTAATCAAAGCCTTTGAAAATGCATGAAGTGTTGTGATGCCTTCTTAAATAACTGCATGTCTGACACGCCTTTCCGAAACATTCAGGAAGAACTTGTTTTTACAAGTGTTTTTCATTTACAGATTTTACTGACGTTTTGCCATTCTGTAAACTCTTAGAGTGAGACTATAATTAGTTTTAACCACTTATGTAGACATTTCATCCATATCACTTGATATAGTTAGTAAATGTTGCATTTAAGGTGTGTTGGAATGAGATTAAGGCAAAAGTATAGGAACTTTGAAACAAGAGTTGTAGGCCTTGTAAACACTGGCATACGCATGTTTGATGTGTAAACACAGAGTAAGAAACACTTTCTGTACAAATACAGTATGACACTCTGTGCATACATACAAATCCAAACAACAATGCATATTCTAACAAATGTAGCTAGACAGGTAAAGTGCCTCTCGTTTGCAAATACCAAACAAAATCAAAACATGTCTAATAAAACTTATTTACAAGGAGTAAAGATCTGATATCATAATTGCATAAACACGGAAACCGTCTTAAGAACAAGTCTGACCAACTAGCAATCAGTGAGGAGTGAACAGTCTTGTTTTTCGGTTCTTGTTAGACTACTGTAAGCAATCGGCCACATGTAGATAAAGTGATCTCATCTATGATTTCCTTTTAAGGATCCAAGAGAGTTTGGAAGGATGATGAAGCGAGTGACACAAAAGTTGTTTTTTGGGGCTTTTGTGATTTGCATTATGGGATTCTACTGTTTTATTGGTCCAGCCTCCCTGGATACACACAGGTAAGCACACTTTGTTGTTTCTTTTTACATTTAGCATATATTTTATGTTAAAACAGTTGTTTATGTGATGTAAAAAACCAAGCAAATAAAAATCATAAGAACTTTTGCAAGTTTAATGTAAAAATAACAACCTTAGCAATGCCGAAAACCAAAGTGACACTTTCCTGAGAGAATAAAATAAAATAAAAACTTGGAATAACAAAATGCATAAGTCTACACACCCCTAAACTAATATAAGCTGAAGCACCCTTTGATTTTGAGTCTTATCAGCAGTTCTGATTTGTTTGATTTTATTTACATCACAAAAACCAGCTGTTTTAGCAGGGGTGTGTGACTAGACTTTTTTATCCACTGTAAGGCATGAGTCAGCAAGAAATCAGATTATGAAATCAGCAAACTGAGAGATCACAGATTGAGCGATAAGAAGCGAATTTAGCGATTGGATCACCCATATTATTATGGTGGTTGTCATAGTATTTTAAGGTAAAAACCTGATTTTGATAGTTCAAGATTGGTATTAACATATTTCATGTGGTTAAAAGTTGTAAAATATATAGTCCTGTAATACTGGAAACATCACGGTATTTTACATTTCTGGCAACCACAGCTTGTTTATAGTTAATTTAGCAGGATTTTTTTTTACATTTTATTTATGCCATACACTGTAAAAAAATAAAATAATTTACGGTAAAAAAACGGCAGCTCTGGTTGCCAGACATTTACTGTAAAAATACAGTATAGCAACATTTGAGGTTTTACAGATTTAACTTAACTGATACAACATTTATTTACCAACGTACTGAAGTACTAATATCTGTTCTGTGCATTTGCAATACAATGACAACCACCAAAAACACATGGTGAATCAAAGCTCAATACACGCAGCTCTTGCACAAGTCAATGCTAATATATAAAAGACACAGTGTCATTCACACAAACACTAAACACCATCATGGTAACACACAACACTAAAGTTATGCGATAAACATTCATTTAACAACATGTAATATAAAAACCTAATGTACACTGATTAGAACAAACTATAGGGCATAGTTAGAAATACAGAGAAAATACATCACATTTTCGAAGTGCCACACAGGGAATTCTGGGAATGTCAATTTACGGGTTTCACTGTAAATTATACAATGACGTGTTCTTTTTCACTTCTGTCAATTTAACTGTATTTGACTTTTTTAAGTAATAATGTAAAAACAGTAAACAGTAACAGTTTACAGTAAAAACTGTAATTTAAAGTTAGATTACAGTTATTAACCATATATCATAGGGAAACTTACTGTTAACCAATAAACAGGATTTACCGTAGCATTTTTACAGTTATTCACCGTTAAAATCAGCATTTTTTATCGTGTATTCCGTCTCAATGTCCGGCACGGGTAAATAATGATAATGCGGATTACAAGGTGAGGGTCACGAACTGCTCCGAGACACGAAGGTTGAGGATCCAAATGCAGTTTTATTGAAAGGGTAATCCACAATTGTAGTCGAAAACACCAGATAATCAGTCCAAACAATAACAAACACAACAAGGCAGGGAACACGGGCGAAAGAGTAATCCACGAAACAGGCAAGAAATAAAAAAAACCAAGAGACATAAAACCAAGGAGAATGCTTGGAATTGCAGTGTGACACTAAACAAGACTTTGCAGATAATGAATGAGAAAACCAGGCTTATATGGGGTGAGCTAAACTAGGAAATGAGACACAGGTGAATAGACAGTAAAAGAAATGGACACAGCGACCCCATAGACTTCAACGGAGAAAGTGAAGTCAATTAGAAGCATCTCTTCCTGATGGCGGAGCGACTGGGCAGACTCACACTGAGCTGGACGACGGAGATGTGGCGTGAGCCTGTCTGACAGACGTCTTCTAGTCGCTGTGCCGAGAGGAATCTGAATCATTCCCTTCCGGATCTCACAGAGCCGGAGAGCGAGAGTAGAGCTGTCCATGAGCAGCAGGAGCAACTTTATGACTCTCTATGGGCTTCTCCCTCCACTTTATGCCTCCGTCCCCCCGATTGACATGAGCTTCTCCTCCTGTCTATACGGTAATTTCTCTACTGTGCGACAGAGAGTCGCGTGTTATGACGCAATCGTTAGCCTATTTTTACAAAAACTGCTTCTACAGGGCCATAACGTAAGATACAAGGTAATGGAGACTTTTATACATTGTCGTGTTTCTTAAGAAATAAACAATGGACAAATGGAGTCTTTAAACGCCTCAGATGTAAAGTTATTCGCTGTCAAAGTGACGCCAAAATGAATGGGAGTCAATGGAGTGCAAACAGCAGGAGAAGGCTTGCCAGCCGATGGCGGCCCCCGGGGAGACTTCAGTTTCGGCTGATGGATTACACCCTTGGGTGAATGTGATAATGGATGAAGAGTCCGGGCAGTGAGTTATGGGAGATGTAGTTTGTGAGGGAATAACAATAGTCTGATGTGGAGTGCCCTCTGGCAGGGGCGTGTCTAGAGGGGGGGCACGGGGGGGCACCGGCCCCCCCTGGAATATGATTGGCCCCCCCTGGTGCCCCCCCAATCTCATTGGGTTAGATTTACTGTCAACCTGAAAATGCCCACCGCCATTGGACCAGAGCGCTGTCAATCATTGCCTGATTTGAGACTCGCGCGAAGCGCGTTGAGGGGAAGCACAGATGCACGTTTTTAAAACAGGAGGAAAGAGACACCACGACGACACGTCAGTGTTTAACGGTATGTACACACTCAATTATATATTCTGAAATATCGCATCGTATGTTAGTATTTAGTCTGATACTTTCGTGTGTGACTGACCAAGCTATGTATTAAGTTAAATATTTTGAAATATCGCATCGTATGTTAGTAGTCTGATACTTTCATGTGTGTGACTGGCCAAGCTATTGCATGTAGGTTAGCTAGTAGATTAGCTAACGTAACTGTGGCAAACTACTGAATAGAATTGACTTTGTCAGTGTTATTCAGCAGCAATGCACACATTTGAACATTTTTCAAAATATTTTCTTTTGTGTTCAGCAAAAGAAAAACTCAAACAGGTTTGAAATAACTTTAGGATGAGTAAATGATGAATTTTTTTTTTAAAGTGAACTATTCCTTAAATGTTTTTTTGTTTATTTTAAGGCAGAATTTAGTGTAAAAAAAAAAAGTTAAGAATGAAAAGAGGACAGAGTCAGACACAGCTACAGGACATCCAAGGTTTCTTTAAGAAGAAACCATGTCAGGGACAGTCAGATGCAGTGCAGTCCAGTGCAGGTCAGAGCCAGGATTCCACCAGGCAGGGCCAACAAATTAGCCAGCCTGAGAGGACCAGTGAGGGCTACGTCAGCAGCCACCTATCTGCAGCAACAGGTGAAAGTTAGAACATGAACATTTTATGCATTTTCTTATTTTTTGCACCTTTGCAGCCAGTTCACATGATACCACTTCATAGATAAATATTTAACATGGTATTTGATTTATGTTTTAGATCTACATGGTGATGAAAGCTCCCAAACCTCTGAGGGAGAAGAAGACCAGTCCTTTATCAGGCTTCGCACCAGAAGTGGTTCATATTCCAGAGGTGATAGTGACAGAGAGCACCAACCAGTCCTATCTGGATCAGAATTTGCTGTTCCTCTTGGACCTCAAGGTATATTGACAAATGTCATCTTCCAGTGTTTTTGGCCATTTTACTAGTATGAACATTGTTGATGTTGAAATGACAGGGACTAATCTTTGCTCAATTAATATGTCTATTTATTTAGATATTTCACAATCCAGAGCGGTTGGTCCTGTGCAGCCTAACTTAGCGATGTTTCCTAGAGCACCGCAAGGAAAAAAAAGTAGGGCATTTAATTCTACATGGTATAAAGAATATCCATGGATAGAATATTCACAAAGTCAGAACTCGGCCCATTGTTTTGTATGCAGACATTTTTCACTCCCTTCTGTCCCTCAATCTGCCTTCACTTCAAGCTCTGGTTTTGCAAACTGGAAAAAAGCATTTTATAAGGACGGTGGTTTTGCAATGCATTCCAAATCAGAGCACCATGTAAATGCAATGTTGGCATGGTCTGACTACAAAAGGGGAGCTGAGAGCAACACATCTTTGTTGAAATCAATTAATAAAGACTACCAAAAAAGAGTAAAAGAGAATCGGGACTATATAAAAACTGTGGCAGATGTTCTCCTGCTTACTGCTACACAAAATATTCCCCAAAGAGGCCATCGTGAGTCAGAGGAGTCTGAGAATAGGGGGAACTTTCTGGCCATATTGGAGCAAATAGCAAAACGTGACCCAATAGTGAAGAAAAAACTGTCCAGCGGAAATGCTAAGTACACAAGTAATACCACACAAAAAGAAATCCTGGAGTGTTTGGCTGAGATGGTTCGACAAAATATCATCCAAGAAGTCAAAGAAAATGAGGCATTCAGTGTTCTAGTTAATGAAACTAAGGACATGAAAAAAAAAGAACAAATTTCTCTGGTCCTGAGATATTATTATAAGGGTGCAGTACATGAGAGTTTTTTACATTTTCAAAAAGCTGATAGCTTAAATGCTGAAGGGTTGACAGAGAAGATCATCAATTGTCTAGAGAGATATGGATTGGATTACAGAAGCAATCTTGTAGGCCAGGGATATGATGGAGCATCTGTAATGAGTGGAAAACATACAGGTGTTTCTGCACGCATAAAGGCAGTGGCAAAACATGCGTTCTATGTGCATTGCAATGCACATTGCCTGAACTTAGTTTTAGTTGATACTGTCAAGTCAGTACCTGAGGCATCATGTTTCTTTTCTTTACTAGAAAAACTATATGTCTTCATGTCAGGCTCATACATTCACCACAAATGGCTTGAAATTCAGAAAGAAATGTATGGAGGTCAGCCTAGAGAGCTTCAGAAGCTTAGCGACACAAGATGGGCATGCAGGTACTTTGCCTGCCGTAATATGATGAACCGGTTACCTGCAGTGCTGTGTGTCCTTGAAGATATTGCTGAAGAGAGAAGTGGGGACCGGTCTGTGGAGGCACGGGGTCTTCTTGCCCAAATTGACTTGCCTTTCATTGGGCTTCTAACGACATTCTGCAAAGTGCTGGGTGACACCAAGCTTCTATCTGATATGCTTCAGTCACCGTCACTAGACCTAGCGAGAGCTGTTGAGTTTATTGAAGCACTTCAGGACACATTTAAGAATTACAGAGAAGAATCATTTTGTGATGAGCTATGGAGAGACATCTTAAATACAGCTCAAAAGTGTAATATCAGCATTGAAAATGTGGAAAAAAGGCAACGTAAGACCAGCTCTAGACTAGAAGGATCTGTAGTGACATCCACTGTTGGCGCGCATAGAAGTGACCAAGATGACAAAGATGGTTTTAGAAAGAACATCTTCTATCCAATCCTTGACTCTGTTATTGGGGAATTACAGAAACGTTTCTCCAAGCCCAACTGCAACATAATGAGAGGTGTTCAAGCACTCCATCCTAACAGCAACAGCTTTCTACAAGAGTCACCTCTTTTTTCATTCGCAGAGATCTACGAGTCAGACTTGGATGATCTGAAGCATGAGCTGCACCAAGCCAAAAGGATTTTGGAGAGGAAAAGGAAAGAAGGTATGCAAAGCCTCACCAGCATATTGGAGTTCACAGTGTTTCTGGAACCTTTCAAAGAGGTGTTCCATGAACTTTTTCGGTTATGCAAAATTGCCATCGCAATACCTGTAAGCACTGCTTCTTGTGAACGGAGTTTTTCCACCCTGAAACTGATCAAGAACCACCTACGAACAACCATGTCTGATGAGCGACTGAGTGACCTGGGAGTGCTCAGTGTAGAGTCACGGAGAGCCAAGTCCCTGGATATGGATGAGTTTATTCGATTATTTGGTAGCCAGCACAAAAACCGCAGAATACAGCTGTTCTGAGATGGTGCAGTTAACCCACAGGAAAGGACGCATTTCATGCTGAGAATGTTTACACACACACACACACACACATTTTTGTGTTGAAAATAAAGCATGTTAAATTACTAATTAATGTCTGTGATTTTTTTTTTTTTTTTTTTTTTTAATTGGAACAGAACTGTGTTGTCCAATCCATGCAAAATACAAAAATGTAATACCATCTATATTAGGGCACAGGGCATTGCAAAAGATTTTGGAAATCATGCTTAATATTTTCTAAAGTATTAATTTTCAGTTGAATTTTCTGATTGGCCCCCCCCTGACTGGTTCTTGGTCCCCCCTGTCCCATCCCCATTTATAAAATCCTGGAATCACCCCTGCCCTCTGGTGGCTCTCAAGGGCACTCCAGCTGGTGACCGTCACAGTGATGTATCTTTATTCAGTAACGAATGTGTTTTACTTTTGCTCAGATTTATGCGTCCTTGCTGAATAAAAGTATTAATGTCTGAAAAATCCTGATCGGAGTAGTTATCCTTTGGCTTTAAATAGACCCCATGATTGGTGATGGATGATTGGTATCGGCCACGTGTTGAATCATCAGCAACCAATGTAAACCCTGATGCTCAAAATAATTAATTGGTTTGAGTAGGGTAAACTTAAATTAAACAAATTTGCTCAATCAAATTAACTATTTAGAACTTTCTTTTTCTTTTGCATTCACAAAACTTAATAGTTTTGAGTTTTATGAACTTGGTTCTTTTCATTTAGATAAACTTAATATAAATTAAACTGGGCTGGGATTTCTATTTCCCAGCATGCTTTGCTATGGCACTTGAAAGGGAGAGTAAATACTAAAATTAAATATTCTAAAATGTGTTTTTTTTTTGTTTTGTTGCAAGATTAATGTTAAGTGGGAGATTTAGTCGTGTTTAATGTTGTTAAGATTGTGTTACCATTGAGAAAGTTAGCATTTACTGAATTAGCTAGTTAAAGCTAACCAAGTTTCCACTACTAAAAATTTAAAGTTGAAATTACATGATAATTTTAAATTAAATGTATGAATTAGATTCCTCAAATATTTCAAGTTAAGGGTAAGTTAATGTATGAGTACAAGATAAAAATCTGCTAGTTCTGCTTACTTAGACTTTGAATTTCTAAATGTACTTTTTTTTAATGTAACTGATTACCTAAAATTTTCAGCAGTGGTCTCTTAATTTTTTACCCCAAAGCTTCCATTCAATAAATTACATTTAAAGGACCATTTTCGCTGCTGAAATCAAATCGACATAGTCAACATTTGAAGTGAAAAAGTTCATCAAAATTGTCCTAAGACAAAAACGGGTATTGTACAAAATTCATATAAATTTGATGAAAGGTTTTGATCCAATTCAAATGTTGACTACTGTATAATAATTCAGTGTTTATCCTCAATTTTTCTGTATCTTTTTCAGTGTACTTCTGGCCCAATGTGCACCAAACACTAACAATTCACAAAGCATTAGAGAAGATGTGGCCTGTGCGCCTAAAGTGAACCTGATGTTCATGAAGACCCATAAGACGGCCAGCAGCACTTTAATGAACATTCTCCTCCGCTTTGGAGAAAAGCATCAGCTGAAGTTTGCTCTCCCAGACAGCCGTAATGACTTCTCCTACCCATCCAGCTTCTTTCGAACTCAAGTGAAGAGCTACCAGCCGGGCACGTGCTATAATATCGTGTGCAATCACATGCGATTCAATGCGCCCGAGGTGAAGAAGCTACTCCCGGCGGACGCCATCTTCTTCACCATCATACGAGATCCCGCAGAGCTTTTTGAGTCAACGTTTCACTACTTCAAAGCTTACATACCCCAAACATGGAGAATACCTGGAGAAAACCAATTTAAAGAGTTCCTCGCCCATCCAAACCGCTACTTCAACCCAAAGGGAATCAACGCGTTTTACCTCAAGAACCTACAGTTTTTTGACTTTGGCTTTGAGAACGATTTGGATGCTGGAGATCCAAGAGTTCAACAAGGGATTGAGTACGTCGAAAAGCATTTTCAGTATGTTTTAATATCGGAGCACTTTGAGGAGTCGCTCATTCTGCTAAAAGATGCTCTATGTTGGCAAATGGACGACTTGCTGTTTTTTAGGATTAATGCTCGAAACGCCACGTCTGTAGCTCTCATGAGCACGGAGATGAAGACTCAAGCCCGGCAATGGAGCGGCGCTGACTGGCAGCTTTATCGGCATTTTAACGCCACTTTCTGGGCCCGTGTGGAGGCGTACGGCCGGAGCCGAATGAAGGAGCACGTGAAGGAGCTACGCAGGAGAAACGCAGAGATGGAGGCCATTTGCATTGATGGAGCGCGAGCCGTGGAGGCGAAGGACATCACAGACAGACACATGAAACCCTGGCAGCCCATTGGAAAAGCTTCCATATTAGGATTCAACCTGAGGACCGATATTGACCAGCAGTACCAAGAGCTCTGCCGGAAAATGCTGACACCTGAGATCCAATATTTGACTGATTTAGGAGTCAATCTATGGATCACTAGATTATGGGGCTGGTTTAAGGATAGTATTATTCAGTTTGGGATGAGTTCATGACTTCATATAGTTTATGTAATTTTTAATTCTCACTGTTTCAAATTTAGTAGCTATAAGTGTTAATTTTTTGGTCATTTTTAAATTATGATTATTATTTTTAATATACTAAAAAATGCAAGTAATATAATTAGCCTAATAATAAATAATTACTAGCTTCAACAGTGTCATTAGATTAGCTACTTAATTCCTTTCTAAATCCCGTATTTACCTCGAGCAGTTTAACAATTATACGAGGATAGATGTGAAACTGCTCTTTTAATTCTTTCAAATAAATAATTAAACATTTAAAAAATTATTCTTGAACTGACCAAGTTATTTAAATGGAGAAGGTTACATTAAAAACAGACAATTTAACATTAGACATTACATTTTTATGTTAAAAATCCACAACTGTTAGAATTGAAGTATTTAATGCACCTTTAACCCGCGGGAAAAAAATCAACCCGAGGCAACAATTTAAAAGTAGCGAATTTGAGCCGATTTTAGAACATTGTTTTCATTTGTCACGCGTCACCTAGCAACGAGGCGCGTGGTTGTTTAGACAGGTGTCCTGCACAATCAACGGTTTTCTCCTCATAAAGCTCACTCACAAGTCGAGATCTTTGGTTAATTTTGATTAACTAAATATACCTAAACTGACAAGTGTTATTATTTTAATGCCATTTCATTGAATTGTTATTGCTTTCTAGCACAGTACAGTTTCACGTTATTACTGAAGCACAATTATTATTATTATTTTTTTTTTACTAATCCAACACATGCCTCATTGTATATAAGGCTCAACTAAGGAGTATTAAGGATTTACATTTAAATTAATTTTGTATATGATTCCACCGAGACTTAAAAAGTGTACTGTTTTAATAAACCAATGCAAAACAATAAGCTGTCGTCTCCTTCTTGGAACTTAGAGATTTTATTGACCTTTTTTATGGGTCCATAAGATTTTTTTTAAATCCATCTTATAATATTGTTTTAATCGGCTATTGATTGTTTCACAATTTTAATAAAGAGGTTTATTAAAAAATTCAAGTTAACTGTCTGTTTCAAAACAACGAGTGACGCTCAACGGACTTTTCAGGCGTTGGCCAATCGAACTCAAGCACATGTTCATTGCTGGTCTTTCATTGGACAGCATCGCGTCCTCCAAATGGGCGGGGCTTATCGGCTCGTACAATTTCCTTCTTATTTTGTTTAAATAATAATGCTCCTATTTTAACGGTTCACTGTTTATTTGAATTTAATAATCGATTCGCTAGTAATGTTAAACAATATCATTATTTCGATCTAAATTATGGATTGATAATTCACTGCTGCTGAAGAGACGGCGTGGTATCTGTTACTTTTCACCGCGATGGTCATAATGGATCAAGCACATCCGTGCCTGATAAAGATTTTTACATCGTATTTTATTGAACTTTCACGAGCGTATTTAATTTTTCTTCCGAGGCGTATATCAAATAAACATGTAGATTTAAAAGATTATCCTCCCTAGAGATCAAAAGCCCTCAACAATACAAAAAACTCATAAAGGTTTGAATGCGTCTCAATGAAAGATTCGGCATTCTGGGCCACCAAGCGCCCACACACCAACTATGGCAAGCCGTTTTAACATTTATTAATTCCCAGGATATGCATTCTTGATATAAAAAATTCAATTGTCACTAGTTAAAATTTTTAATTCTTGATATCACTAGGCTGCCATTCAAATCCCGTTGTTGAGATCAAGAATTGATTTCTTCCTAGTTGAAATTCCAATTTCACATATCAGAAAAATGATACTGCTTACTGTGCGTTCACACCGCCGCCGGCGAGAGCATCAAAGTGGCCGGAAGTCATTCATTTTCAATGAGAGCGAGGGCGGCGCGGCGCGTCTTGGACGGTGAGAGCGGCGAGGAGCGGCGAGGAGAAGTTGAAATCAGCTCAACTTTATGGTAATGATCTATGACGCGGTTCGGCGGCAACCAATCGGAATGCAGAAGTGCTCCGTTTGAGAGGATTCCAGAGAACGCAGTCAAGTAACTTTGGTTCCGACCACATTAGTTCCCAAGCAAAATAGAGGAGAGGTTGATCATTTGAATTTGATAAGAAGGCGCGCAACACTATTTATAGGCAAGATTTTCGTGCAAGAACGCTTGTTTTTCAGCGGGAATGCAAATTAGAATAGCACTTAACCATGAACACAAAAGCCACACCACACAAATGGCTTTTAATTGGTTTATTTCGTTAGCAAACATGTCACTATAATTGTTAAGTTCTTTCCATCGATCAATTTTCTGCAAAAATAACGATCGACATGCTTGTTTGCTTTACGGCCCCTTTAAATAAAGTTTTAAAAAAGACCAAACATTCGATCTACGTCAGAGCATCAGAGCGTCCACGAATCTTTCCACGGCGTCGCTGGAAGGGCGGCGAGAGCGAATTTGGCCGCTCTCGCCGGCGGCGGTGTGAACGTACAGTTACGCTCTGTTTACGCTTGTGTTGTGAAACCGGCCTGAGACCTGCAAGTAGCCTATAGCAGTGAGCTGTAGATACTTTTTAATTGATACTTTTTGACGTGATCGACCCAAGTTCGAATCCACCTTTTGCCAAACTTGTTCTTCTCCCTTTTCCCATTGCATATCAGATTGGAAAGGCATTTATTTTCAATAAATATGAAGAAAATATGTGAAAAGTGGAATTAAAGTGCCTAACGGTTATTTAATAATAAAGTGTTAGTGTTTATTGGGTAGGGTTAGGTGTAGAGAGGACTTTATTGTCCCAATAATACGGCATTTATTTAATAAATATAATAATATACACTCATTATGTTATTATTGCATACTGAGGTGCAAATAGTAATACTGAGGTGCAAATGCCTACTATTAACACTTATTGCAAAAAAAATACTGCTATTTTTACATAGTGGAAATAGAATCTATTGCTATTTTCACTTAGTGTAAATAGCATCTATCGCTAAGAAAATATGCTATTTTCACTTGGTGTAAATGGCATCTATTAACCACTGACATAATTTAATATTTAATATTTTTTAATATTATTAGGTTGTGGTATTTTTATAGCATGTTAAAATTATCCTTTTTTGAGGGTGAGCAAAAATACGTTGTTTTGTGTGTGTCCCTTTAAAGGGTCATGAAACCCCAAACCAAATTTTCTGAGATTTTTACAGAGGTATATGTGTTGAACACCATTGAAGACAATGTTAGCATCAGTTAGATTTAATAGCAGGGTTAAAATGGTTAAATTTGAGTTTTTTTTCGCTTTTTTTGTCTTCCGGGTTTAAAATCTTCATTGTGTCCACGTCACAGGCTGTGACGTGGCAGTGCACTGTGAGTGCGTTGATGACTCATCGGTGTCTCATAATTATTAATGAGACTGAGTTTTCATATCCTATGAGAAGACACTGTCTCTTAATTATTCATGACACCACGTGGATCTTTCCAGTGTGACAGACATGTCAAACTGTGATATCGCGTAGTAGATGAGAGAGGCAATCATGGGACGCACGCAAGAGTTTGTTTTCGTGGTGCAAAAGTCCAATTGGGTTAAATATGTTTCCCCGCGATGGCTAGACTCTGGCTCCGGGCGGTTGGTTTTCCATCAACCACGGACACATCTAAACGTGTGTGCCGCAAACATTTTTCTCGAGAGAGCTTCGAGAATTGGAGAATGGTGGACTTCGCCTTGTTGACAACCAATGCAGGTTGCGTCTTGCGAGTGATGCGTTACCAAGTCCCGAGGACTTTTCTATCCCTTCAGAGGTGTGTGTGTCTAAAATGAGACGTCATCCACCTCCACAGAGGCATCTTTATTATGGGGGTTCAGGGGGCGCGTAGATCTAGCTATGCACGTAATGTTTTTTTTTAAGCGGAAAATTAATAATTTTCAAATATATGTATTTATAGTGTCTATATAAACAACTATATATTTTATAATAACATTATAATTATAATATGTTCTCAATAGAATTATGATTACTGTAGGCTAATATAGCAGGGCATTTAGTTACTTTTGAAAGGACAATAATAAAGTGTCGTATTTCATAAGACTTTAACTTTGCCAGCTATAAAAAAAATCTAGCATTTCCTCACGTTTTACCACTGCTTTTAGTGACAGTCGATATGCATGGGATACTGGCGATGACAGTGATGGCCATACCACACCCCTTCTCACAGCCATCCACGCCCATTTAAGTTGCATTTTTCAAAAAGATTGTGAGCTAGACTTGAGCTGAAAGAGGGGGGTTTCATGACCCTTTAAATGCAAATGAGCTGCTGCTCCCGGCACAGAGAGCGGAGCTTTAAGAGCGTGTGTGTGTGTGTGTGTGTGTGTGTGTGTTCTCAACATGGACTCACCCCCTTTCTTGCGTTCCCGGGGGCGGGGTTTATGTAAATTTTAGGGTTAGTGATGTCACTAACCCGGGAGGAAGCTTGTGTAGACCCCTACCAGCCGTTTGTTGTAGTCATTAAAAAACAATTTCTTTAAAAGTAAATATCTTCCTTTTGCTTTGAACTCTGAGCGTTGTAATTTTGCTGTTTTTGCTCAAACAGAAACATTAAACACTAACTAAAGTTAAAAAAGTTAAATCATAATCAATCCCCCTTTAATTTGTATTATATACTACTAAAGTTCGTTGGTTAATTAAAAAAAAGAAAGAATTCATTTCCTGGGAATGAATAAAAGTCAAATTGGCTTGCCATACATACACCAAGATCCTTTGTGTCTCATCAGACAACTTTAACCGACCAATCAATGGCGCCGCACGCACGCGCAGGGGGCGGAGCCTCCCAGACCCCGCCCATCGCCGGGTAATCAACGGTCCGTCTGAACCGAACTGCAGTGCAGAGCCGGGATGGGGGGCTTGGCCCCGGTCCAGCACGGTCAAAATTAGCTCTCTTTTGAATTACATGCAGTCAGCCATTGGAAGCGGCTGAGTTCCAGTCCTGCAGCCTTGTATGGGGTGTCAGAGCCCCGCAAGGCTGCTGCTCGGGTCTGCCTTCATCCACAGACGTCTTTTCCAGCAGTAACTTTACAGTGAAAGGACAAGAACAAAGGCTTTATCTGTAAGTAAACCTTCACACATTCGCCAAAAGTTCAAAAACGAAGAATAATCGGGACTTCTTTAATGCTAGTTAGTTATTCTTCTAGTACTGAATATAATGTATGAAATTGTGTTTATCTTAGTCCAAAACATGCCTAGACTGTATCCAGCTCACAAAAAGCAGGACAGATGGGAATAAAATCGAACAAACGGGAATAACGAAAGTGCCGCTGATATCGCATCGCCTCCTTTGTTCTGTCTGCCGTTGGTTGAACAGGAAAGTCTAAACTTGATTTACTAGATTAATAAACGACAGTCAAAGACCAGCAGCAGCACAATAACTGAATGTACTAATGTTATTTGTACCCAGACACGGACTGACTGTATTCCCCCAGTCTGCCACCTACACACAAGAACTCAGCTTTAAAGCATTAAGGGTTATTGATGCTGATTATAAGAAACGTTTAAATGTTGCACTGTTGTGTGGGTTTAAACCTGTTTTCAGTATCATCAGCACTTCCAAGGGAAAAACCCCACAGCATTGCAGCTTCTCGATGCCAAACTCGTTTCTCAGTTCATGTTAGGACAAGGGTGTCTTATTTTCCACCATTTTCACCTCATTCAGCAGAGCTATACCAGAATGCCTTGTGCTCAAAGCAGGAATACCACATATCCGTGACTGTCTAGGGAGCTCCAAAGCTGTTGCATGCACGGCACAGTCCTAAATTTAGACTCAAAGATGAAGTCATGCATACGGGCATCGTCGGTAGACGTGTCTCCTTTGCTGTTATGCTTATTCCAGCATCATCCAAATCACCATGGTCTGTTTTCAAATTGCTTGTACAGACATCAAGGGCATTTGATTGCAGTGCCATTTCAGTCATTTGATCCCAAACCCCCTTTTTTTGCATTGCATGGGATTGAAATGCATGCAATTTTAGTTTTTTTGTACAATTATGCAATTGCTTATTATTGCATAGTGAATATATATGATTAAAAGCCCAGTGTAGACTAGGGTATCGTTGGCGTGAGCTGGAACCGTGTCAGCAGGGGCGTTTTTCCACAATCAGTCTGTTCTGCAGCAGGCAGATGGGTTCATTGGGTTCATGCGCGCTCAGTATGGCGGGCTGAGGCGGGGGAAAATGTGACCTCGTTTGACTGGATTTGGAAACGCTCCAAGCTGCAGTCAGGGAAGTGGAATGGGAAGCCAGTCTCTGGCCCCACGATTGCAACCGTTTGCATTTGCTTAAGAAAATAAATGCATATTCTTTGCATTGTTTGTTGCATTTGTCGTAATGTTCAAAATGCTTCTGTGGTGCATGTTACCAGCTCACACCGAGTAACGTTATCTCAAATAGATATTGTCGTCGTCTGAAGTCTGTCTGACTCAGCAGGAATGTGGGAGGATGAATGTTTCTTCAGAGCAGAGATTATGACCTTAAATTTACGAGACATTATGCATCATGCATCTGATATTTTGGTAATCGAGCGCAGCAGTTGGATTATAAGTAAAAATAGCATAGGTCATTTTATTTTCAATGATAACAATTTGCATTGCAAACCTTTAAAGACAGACCTACTGGGAACTAGGGTGTTAATCGATGGTATATGCTTTTGTTGAAGAAAAACAGCCTGCATTATTTCTTGAATAACTAATTTTTATTTAAATAATCGTGTTTAACTGTGGGATTCTTGGTGGAAAACGAAATTCTTCAAAGAAATGTCTACACATTAGAGGTATATATACAATTAAATGTATTTTTAAACTGGCAAAATATAAATTTATATATATATATATATATATATATATATATATATATATATATATATATATATATAATATTAAATTTTGCCCGTTTAAAAAATAATAATTTGATTGTCATTTGGATTGCTTCATAGGATTGTAGTTAAAGCCATTAACTAGACAGTCTTGTCTTTTTGTCCAATTTTCTAATTTTCAAATCAATGTTTATGATTAACCTCATTGCTGGTTCACATGATGTAATGTGCTGATTAATTAGTCTAATTAATCACAAATAAATTGCACATCAAATTTGGTTGAGAAATGAATCCTTTTAAAGATCATTTAAAGTTATTATTGTGCTAAATGAGAAAAGTATCAAATAAACATTATTAAAAAGTAGCTTTAGAAAGATATTTTAGAAATAAATATTTGATGATTAAACCTAGAATTTATTTCACAAACTTATAAGCTACAACGGCCATAACTTTTTTTCTGAAGCTGCAGCTGAATTGGTATTTAGATACATACATACATACATACATACATACACATATATATATATATATATATATATATATATATATAAAGAATTTTTTATTTTTTTATTTTTATGAAACGATACTCTAAATAAGAAACTAAAACTGCCAGTAGGGGGCCGTAAATGAGTAAGTCATTGAATCATTCATTGATTAGTTTTAAAAGGCTGATTCATTCAGGAATTACATAAATGGCTCTCTTTATGAATGAGTCACTGAAGGTTCACCCGATTGATTTGCTGATTCATTCAGAAACAAAGCACTGCTGTGTGTTGCTCTGAGACACATAACACTTCTGTTCTGGCTTTATAAATAATATTTTTATTGGCATAATTGAGCAAAAACACAATAATGTGCCTAAAATATAACAATATTAACTTCTTAATAATTGAACTCTTGTATAAAATCTATCACATTTGCACTTGTGCTACTCAAGACAAAAACAGCATTAGTGTGATATTGCGCTCGCTACTCATGTGATATCAAATAATATAAATGAGACAAACTCATACAGGCATTATTGCCTTAAAATCTTGAATTAATTAAATTAACATGTTAAATCGACAGCCATAATAAATAAATATAAATATATATATATATATATACATACACAGTCAACATTTGTAGTGGACCAAAACCTTTCATCAAAGTTAAACATGGATTTTGAACAATAACCGTTCTTGTCTTTGGAAAACTTTGATGAACTTTTTTGATCCACTTCAAATGTTGACTCAATTTTTTTGTGTCCATATGGTTGAATTAAATTTAAAAGGGTTAAAATTTCTAAATAAAATGGCAAATTACTTGCATACATGCTCTTTTTTGAGGACCAAGTCTAAAATTTCTGGTTTTAATTAATTTTGAGAGAATATTTGGGGGATGATTGCAAAAATGTCTATGTGGTGTAACCGTCAAAACTTTGTACCAAATAATTTATCTCGTTTAAAAAAGGTGAAATTCTCAATTAAACACCATATCAGCTAGTTTGGCATAATCTTACATTAGACCTATTTATCAGTAAATAAAAGTAAATTCCTAAATTCCTTATTCCTAAGTATATGTCAAATGGTATGACCCCGGGAATACATTGATAATTCATCATTATTATAAAAATGATTATTAACTTTAAAAATTACATTTTAAATATTACCACCAAGGCCACATGATTACATGATAATGCCTGTCAAATTTGATTTTAAACTGAAAAGTCAAATGGTGTAACCGGTTACACCTATTGACTCCTATTACAAGCCTTTCTGTTAGGGGCCAATTAAGTCAAATATCACTAGTTTATGATGTACACGTACACACACACACAAATTAATTGCTCTCTCTCCTCCAGGTTCCTTCTTCAAAATGACACCAACAGAAGCAATGGGGGATCCCATTAGGTAGGTTGAGTCCCCCAGTGATCAGTGTTTTAATGACATCACAGTGTCCCGAGCGGTGATTTCCATCTATTGTTGGTTCTCTTCCTCAGAGCGAACGGCCTTGTTCCCGAGCCTGGCGGTGTGGAGAGGAACCGCCACGAAAGATCGACATTCCTGTCTGATGTAGGATAGAGAACATGGCCCTCCGGGGGAGAGATTGTATCCTCATGTATATTATTTTTTATTTCCTAAATCATGTATATCCTTATTTTCTATGGTTATGGCGTGCGATACAGATGAATTATGACGCTGGGGCTTTTCCCCCATCTATGTGATTAATAAAATTTTAGAAAAACCTGGGACTCTAAGCCTTGATGATATGCTCTTCGGAAGGGGGCGGCAGTAAAGACACACAGCACCTCAAGACAGACTGGAGCTTCACTGAAGACCCACACGTGTGTGTTTGTTCCCGGGGGTCCGGGACCCTGGCGGCAGCAGCAGCATGTCTTCCACTTGTCCACTTCTACTTTGCACGGCTGGAGTCTTTCATATCTCTGTGAATTCCCTGTGAACAAAAAACCCACCAAGAAATGTTAAGTGTTCTGTAATGACATGCTACAATGCTGCAATGTGACGAACACTAGCGCTCGACCAATATGTGTTCAAGGCCGATACCAATGTCAGGGTTCCCATAGAAATATCAGTGAATTCGAATCGTTGGAAAAGAATATAATTACAAAAAAAAGTTGTTTTGGTTATTTAATTTAATGTTATTTAACTTAATGCAACATTTTTACTTAAATTCTGTGGGAACCCTGCAGTATCTATAATAAAATTGAATAATAGCAAATGAGACAATTGCCAAATGTATATTTGTGGTTGCATTTTTATTGATTTATAATTCTCTTAAAAGTATTTGAAGTCAAAACTAGCACTTCTGTGAACCATTTTGACACTATCGCCAAAAATAAAAGTCTATCACTGCTCACAGAGGCACTGTGATGTCCCTCCTCACATCCATACGTCTTCATTACTAAAACACGTAAACGTCAGTCAATACTCACACCTTACAGTATTTACTAAGGCTAAGAGTCCCCACTTCTCATGCAATTACTAAAACGCTACAGAGTTCATTTTTTTGGTTTCATTTTTGTAGTATTTGCTTGTTAATTTTTTGCTTTTGAACTTTTTTTGTTGCTTTGCCAGTATATTAAAGTGTAATCATGTACGTTGTGATATAGAAGTAGCTGTAGAGATGCATTGTTTCCTTGTGGTAAGTGACTGAGATGCTGCCACGGATTTGAGACACTGATGAATGGTGCTATTTTGGACTTTAATCTGCTCCTTGTGAAGGAAGCTCAGATGGGTTTTATTTTATATGTTCATGTTCAGAAGAGGTGTTGGTTCTTTGTTGTCTGGTTGTCGTAACTCGGATCGGATCGACTTTATTCTCCCCTTGTTGTTTCCGTGTGGCTTTCTCATTGGACAGAAAAACAGATTTGTTAAAGAGTTTGTGTTTTGTTTCTTTTCATTTTTTTTTGCTATTTGAAAAATTCTAAAACTTCAGACAATCGGAGCAATCACAAAACTGCAATTATTAACACTATTTACCCTTTATTGTAAAGGTTTAATTCAAGGAGTAGTTACAGTTCCTGGCACTAGTCACTTCTAGCAATAGCAAACTCAGTCTAGATCTCATACTTAAAGCACAGGGTATCTTACGGACGAGTCTCATGTTTTTGTTGAGCAGTGAATTCCTTAAACACATCAAGGACGCATTCAAATAGACAGAGGATGTTGTTGCTGTTGTAGTTTGCTGTGCTCAGTCCCAGGGATGCACCGATATGAACATTTTGGCTGATAACCTTTTATATTTGAAAGCCGATAACCGATATATTGGCCGATAAATCGAAATCCAAATTTGTATGTGATTTTTGAGAGCCTGATTACAAAAACAAAAGTCTCACCATTAAAAGCCATGTCCCAAGCACACAATTATAATGTTCTATAATGTAGCCGATATGACAGACTTGCGCTGCACATGTTGAATTGATTTCAAACTATTTAAAACCATCATGTTGAACAATGCGCATCTGAAGTGTCTCAGCTGAAGGAAATTAGACATTATTTATCGGCTTCAATATATCGGACAAATTTTCTTATCGGGCCGATAACAATACCATTAAAAATGAACATATATCGGCTGATACCGATACACATACACACACACCAGGGCAGCTGAGGTCAGATTTATCCTCCACCAGCTGATAAGTACAAACACACTCATTCGTTTAGCGCACAGGCTCCTTTGATGTATTTTCTAAGGCAAAAAATGTAGCATCAAAACCAACTTTCTCATTGACATTTTTAGCAACCGTTCTTGTAAATGAGTTTTATGGGTTAAAGAACCAAAAGCTTTATATTTATTCATTTAAGTAGCACTCGGTATTTGCAGTTTTGTCTTTGCTTCCAGTTCACATACTTCTAACAATCCTAATTCAAAGACCAACTGGAAAGCCCACCTTAGTTTCTTAGTCTTCCATAAATTTTTCCACTAGACTGGGGACCTTCCCAGCTTGCTCTAGTCTTTCCTTAGTGCTTACGGCGTATCGACCGCATGCTCTTCCTTTTGTTTCTGATCTGAATAACTCTCCTCACAGTTTCTTCTCATAGATTAGGTATGCTAACTGTGTTGTAAATAGCCAGTGAATAGCTTCTCGTATGTTGAATTATTCTGTAATAATTGTGTATGATTGGTGTACAAAACATGAAGTCTAGCCTCATCATCTTTTTTAAGGTGAACTGGTGTTTCATGTAATTTTGCAACTTAAGCTGTAGTTGAATAAATATGCAAGCTCTCACTATTGGTGTTGTTTATTGGCCTTGAAATTGAAATATTACATTATAAACACTAATGTTCAAAAGTTTGGAGTCAGTTAAGATTTGTTTTGTTCAGTTAAGATGCATTAAATTGATCAAAAGTTACATTTATAATGTTTCTTTCTATTCATGAAGAAAACTGAAAATAAAAATGGATCATGGTTTCCAGAAAAATATGAACTAGCACAACTTTTTTCAACATTGATGATAATAATAATTAGAAATGTTTCTTGAGCATCAAATCATCATATTAGAATGATTTCTGAAGGATCATGTGACACTGAAAATTCAGCTTTGATCACATTTTGCCTAGCCTGGTTAAAACCAGACCATTCTCAGTTGTAACTGAGTTATGGTCTGGCAAAGCTTCATAGACAAATCGTTCCCAAAGGGGCGTCACCAACGGCGTAGCTCAAATGCCTAGAGTCTGGGCGCAATAGAGTGCCGAAGTGATGACGTCACTTTGTAGGACAACTCGGAAGCTAGCGGCGCATGGGTTCCCTCGATCGAAAAGCTATGCATTTTCCCCATAGACTTTTGGAAAATCGCAAAAAATAAGATCTGTGTTTAACAAAGAGTTGTGACCCTTACACGTTTTGTCTATCAAGATAATCTTTACAAGTTAATCCAAAATGTATACATTTTGAAGCCTATATAAAGGTTTTAAAAAACAAGCAGACACAATAAAGTTTAAAAAAAACACAAGCAGGTTATACCTGTGTGTTCTATGTCATAGATCAAAACGTGAAAATATTTAGAGGCTTTGTTCACCACAGACCTTATTTCAGGCGATTTAGCAAAAAAACATTCAAAAATCCCATAGACTTTAGAGCGAGGGAACCGGGAGGCGATATTTTTTTTCACAGGATGGTAGGGGAAGACTCATGAATATTCATTAGGGAACTCATCCCTGATTGGTCTTAACCCCAGTGACGGGTAGGTTTAGGGGCGGGGTTAGGGGTAGGTCATCAGACCCCCAGTGACGGGTAGGTTTAGGGGCGGGGTTAGGGGGTAGGTCATCAGTCCAATCAGGGATGAGTTCCCTAATGAATATTCATGAGTCTTCCCCTACCATCCTGTGAAAAAAAATATCGCAACCGGGAGTGCTAAAATGCTAACTCACTTCCGCGTTTTGGCCTACAGAGTGACGTCGTAACTTCTGCACTCTATTGGATAGACCTAAAACCAATCGGAGCAATGAAGAAGATGACGTATGCAGAGCGACGTTCGTCTGTTTATAGAACAACTTGAATAAAGGAATAAACGAGCAGACACTGATTAGCTTCTTGCTTTACGTTTATTTAAAATGAACAGCAAGATAACTAGAAGTGAATGTGCTTTCCATTAAATAAATCACACACAGTAAACAAAACCTTAACAAAAAACTTTGCAATGAACTTTGCAATTTAGACGCGCAAACTGGGTGCCGGTGGTGTGAGACGTACATGCTCGGGCAGATTTGGCTTGAAGTCGTTCATCCTCGGACGCGGCGTCGCGCGCGCTGTTACAACGAAAGCCGTGCATACAGCCAAGCGAAATGGGGTCTTGCCGGTCTTGCGCACGAACGCGTCATTTTTGCCGCGCGCACCTTCGCGCTCGTGCGGACGCGTCGAGCATAAACAAGGCTTTACTCCGTGTCAGCGCGCGCTCTGATCGGTAAAGTACAGACAGACCTCTCCCGAATCATCTCCAGCACTCAGCCTCCGACGCACCACTAACTCCGCCTCCGTTTCCCTCGTAAGCTGATATTAGTATTTAAACATTCTCTATGATAAAAAATGTTTGTGAAAAAAATATTTTTATAACATGGTTTTGGTGGTTATAGAGTTCTAATAACAGTGTTCAACTATAACCGTCACACCCCCAATGTTTCTGATTGGTGCCGCGATTTCGACAGATTAGAAATGGGCTTAATGAGCTCTTTGCCAGACTAACTTGCAGAGCAAATCTAAATTTGCCGGAAGTTGTCTGGGTTTTCCCAGGCTAAATTTTGCCTTCAAAGCTGCATTAATTCTTCGTGGCAAAGATTCAACAAGCTTCTGGAAACACTCCTCAGAGATTTTGCTACATATTGTCCTGATATCATTAGGCAGTTGCTACAGATTAGTTTGCACATCGTTGATGCGAGTCTCCGAACATCCCAAAGCTGCTCTGTTGGATGGAGATCTGGAGACCGTTTGAGTTTAGTGAATTTACGGTCATGTTCAAGAAAACAGCCTGAGAGGTTTGAGCTTTGTGACATGAAGCGTTATCCTGCTAGTGCTAGCCATAGGAAGATGGTCATAAAGGGATGGACACGGTCACATGCAGGCTCACTATTGGCCGACGCTGGTCATGTGACGTATAACCCAGAAGCGCTGGGCTGTTACACTACGTGAACTCACTCGAGGCCCACAGAGAAGGAAATGAATAGCTGAATAAAGTCGTTATTTTTGTTTGTTTTTTGCACACAGAAAGTATTCTCGTCGCTTGATAAACTTAAGGTTGAGCCACTGTCGTCACTCGGACTATT